CCAGCACCAGCACCAGCACCAGCAGCAGCAGCAGCAGCAGCAACAACAACAAGCACAACAACGACATCAGCTACCACGAGGACGAGGAGGAGGACCGCGACGACAACAACAACGACGACAACAAACGACAACAACGACGACAACAATAACAACAACAACAACAACAACCACAACAACAACGACGACCACAGCGACAACACCGACAACGACAACAACGACGACAACAACAGGAACAACAACAACCACGATAACCGCAACAACCACAACGACAACAACGACAACAACCACACCAACGACAACTACGACTACTAGAAAGACAACAACGACGACAGCGACAACAACAACAACAACAACAACAACAACCACCACCACAACCACAACCGCAACCACCACCACCGCCACCGCCACCGCCACCGCCACCGCCACCGCCGCCGCCGCCGCCGCCACCCCCACCCCCACCACCACCACCACCACCACAACAACAAGAACAACAACAACGACAACTACAACAACCACAACAGCAACAACGACGACGACGACGACAACGATTACGACAACAACAACAACAACAACAACAACAACAACAACAACAACAACAACAGCAACAGCAACAGCAACAGCACCAGCACCAGCGACAACAACATCAGCAGCAATTGCAACCGCAACGACAACCACGACGACAACGACCACGATGACAACAACCACAGCAAAAGCAACAGCAACACCAACCACAACAACAGCAACCACAACAACAACAACAAAAGCAACAGCAACAGCAACAGCAACAGCAACAACACCACCAGCACCAGCACCGGCACCAGCGCCAGCAGCAACAACAGCAACAGCAGCAGCAACTGCAACCACAACGACAACAACACCAGCAGCAACAACGACAACAACAGCAGCAACTGCAACAGCAACAGCAAGAGCAGCTGCACCCAAAGCACGCAGTTGAAGCGGCAGCCTAGGCGAAGCCTCGCCGAGGAGCAGCAATACTAGTCTTGCTACATGGTAACGATGACGAAGTTGGAAATATGATGTTTTCATAATACGACAACTGCATTTTATATATCATACAACACTAGCCAAGCGTGCACTTATAGGTAGCTTCTGTGCGGCCAAAGGAGCTAAAAATCGTCTAGCTAGGTACTTTCCGAGGTATGTGGTGCTAGCACTCCCACTCCACTCCTGCCCAAAGTCTGCGCTGACTTCAGGCCGCAAGTCCTGGGCTGTGAGGTGAATGCTTCTGGTACAGGGTCCTGGGCTCGCGGGATGCGGGGTTCGGGATTCAACGATCTGGTTCTTGAAAATCTACCAGCCTTCTCAAATTCATTGCTCTCACGAGACCGAACATCGTCATCGTCATGCTCGTGGTCCTGTTACTGATAAGCAACCTTGTTATCATAACATGAACACTTGGGAATCATTGTGTTTGTGGCTCTGGGGGATAGGAGGTAAAAACTTCAGGCCGCCTCTTGACCTTGGAGTGCTGCACTGCAGCCGGGTGACTAGCTTGGTCTCCAACTCCGCACACCTTGTGCTGTCTGCACGGACTATGACTACGACATGGCCGAGGAGGAGGAGGAGCCCCTTGCGATGAGCAGCACGCAGATGATAGCATTGTTCTTATTCAGGATGATAAGGATAAGCATAAAGACGAAGAGGACGCTACCGAGGATGAAGCGGAGGTGGCTCACGGTGAGTACCGTTGATGTTTGCAATGATGATGACGAAGGGGATGATGGCGATATATGGCGATGGTGATGATGACCATCATCATGACGGTGGTAATGATGAAGAACAGGCATGACACGACAGATGACGACGACGGAAATGACGGGTCAGGGCACTCATGAGGAGAAGTTGGGGACGAGGACGACGAGAACCGGAGATGAAGACAGCGACGACGTGGTCATTATGACATGACAGGCTCGACGCACCTTGCGTTCGATAGCTGAGCCCGAAGCATGGCTTCCAACCTCTTGGCTTCCTGGATGCAAGGAAAGCCAGGCTTTGGGTGTCTAGAACACGGTGGCAAGCGATCTAGCTACATCTTGCAGCGACCAGGATTCCAGTGTCACAATAGGTGGCATGTACTCACACGCCGATATAGAGACATCTGATCGTAGGCTCGCTGCTGCGCTTTCGGACTCCAGCTCTCTGTGAGTTTGGTCCATGCGCCATCGCTCAGCCTGCGACATGGGGGCCAGAACTAGCAAAAACTGCAAAACTGCCATGCTGATGCTGTGCCTCCAGCTCTTGCAAGGCCGTGTTGACCTGCGCTTGAGAGGAGGAAAAACTCCAAAATACTCTAACCAAAACCATGAAGCATTTGGGGGGTCGTGCTTTTGTGGTGTTCTTACTTTCGTAATCCGCAAGACTTCCTACAGCAATGGGAACCTCAAAACGATGAAATCGAGGTATTTGTACACCTGCTGTTCTGTCTTTCCGCTTTTCGGCAGCTGCTGCTTTGAGTCTTTGAGCGTTGCGGGAAAGGCGTCAGAAAAGGTGGTCAGAGTTGGCACGTGTTTCGGCATCTCTCAGCACACCAGCATGGCAAGAGGGATCGGAGAGTGGCCTCTTCCGTAGTTCTGGCATGCTGGCGATCTTGTCTCGCTACCTTCGATCGAAGAAGGCGGAAGCCGGCTGAAGAGGCTCCGGTGTCTTCGCCTTCCGAAGAAGGATCCTCAGAAACCCATCTGGCCTTAACACCAAACTCCAGAAAAGACACGACTCAAAACCCCTACCATTTCCTGGCCTGGTCCGTGAAGGCATGACGCTGCTGCTGCAAGAATAGTGTGGCCTCCGCAGTACGACTTCAAGGAAACAGGTCATGGCAGCTTCTGACTTAGAGTGGGGATGTCTGAGGCTTGGGCTTAATCAGTGGTTCGAAAGGATTTGGACTTCAATTTTGGGCTTCGGGTGGTGCCCTGCTACGTATGTACGATCTGTAAACCGTAACTCCAAACTAGCCGGAGGAGGTTCAGGGAATGAGGGTTTGGGATCAAAGTTCCAGATCAAAGTTCCAGATCAAGGCCTAAGGTTTCAAAAAACAAATAAAGGAATGATTGCGGATTGTTTTAAAGCAGGGCTGCTGGCGATTTCTACTGAAGACGCAGACTTGCGAAAGGGGGTCTGGAGAAGGGCGCCTTGCAATCGCACAGCACTGAAGGGTGCTGCGACGTTCTGAACCAGTACCAGAATCTTCAAGCCTATAGAAGTCCGTCCAGCCCACCCTGTCCATGCCATTAACGTGGAGAACCACCGGCAAGGAGGGGAGGCCTCAGCCAGTTCTGCATCAAGCTGCTGCAGCTCTGCACGCAGATCTTGAACAGACGCGCCGCCCTGCATCCGGCGGATACAGAAGGGGAGTACGGGCTGGGGCTCGCCCGTATAGAAAATCAGGCTTTGCAGCTCATTTCTGAATTTCGGGCTCGGAGGTCCCATGCATGCTCGGAATTACGGTGACTACAGCCGAACTGCATGGTCGCACATGGAACGGCTACCAATTCAGACCGCTGCCTCGTTCACACTCCAGTCTCCATTTATGGCACGAGCAGGATCCATGACTCGGCAAATCAAGCAGCGCTTGCCCGGCAGGGTGTGGGGGCGTGCGGCACCCTACTACTCTTATCCGAGTTATCCGGCTGTGTGAGCCTGCTGCTATATAACCTGAAAGATGAGATCATGCCCACTCGCACAGGTAGAGAAACACATGGACGTGTATGGACTTGTATGTACCTACCTGTGACATAAATACTTACTTACTTACTTACTTACTTACATACATACATACGTACATATGTACATACATGCCTACACAATCCTACACATGTATGTACATGTACATGTACATGTACATGTATATGTATATGTATATGTATGTGCGTAAATACGTATGCTCATTTACAGCATCCATACATGCATCGATTGCAAACGCATTTACATCTATTTTGTGCTCTGTAATAGCTGAGGAGCTCTCGATAATGCAATGCGTCCAAGACAGGTTAGCATGTGCATGTATCAAGGAAGCTGTTCTCGCTGCAGCCAGCTGAAGCGGAAGCAACAAGCGCTTCTCGCACTCGATACCCTCCTTGCATATGCATATGCTGCTGCCCCTCTACCTGCGGTCATATGCAGCATGCGCACTGGACCTTGCATGCACGCACTTGGCATTTGTGTGCACGAACTGCACTTCGGCGATAGGTCGCACCTGACGATAGGGCAGAAAAAGAATAGGGCGCAACTTCTGTACACCTGCCATCTTAAGACGGGCACGCCGGGCCAAAATATCCGAGCGGCCCGTCCCAGACAGCTCACTAGCATTTAAACTGCGACGATGTCACACCACAGGCCTCAAGCTCAAGGATCTGAAGACGGGCTTAGAATCCATTCACAATGGCCTCGTGAGAAGCTCACCAAGATCGAGCTAAGCTAATGTCGATGCGGCCCTATTATATATACATATCGAGAGAGAGAGAGAGAGAGAGAGAGAGAGAGAGAGAGAGAGAGAGAGAGAGAGAGACAGAGAGAGAGAGAGAGAGAGAGAGAGAAAGATGGATGGAGATGGAGATGGAGATGAAGATGGAGAGAAGAGAGAGGCAAAGACAACCAGAGACAGAGAGAGAGAGAGAGGCAGAAGTAATATACTTAGGCAAAGAGATGCTTCCATGAGCACAGCATCCAAGACAACAGGTGTATGACTCCGCTAAGGCAATGTATTGCATTATGGTTTTACGCGGAGCATATGGGGAGAACATGATTCGGAAGTAGTGCGCGCTGCACTTAAGCAGATGTCGTTTGCTTGTACAGGCAGTGACAAGTGCTGCTGAGTCTTGCAGTAGCCTGACTGTGGATGCCCGCAACTGCTATCAAGAGCCTTCTTCCCCCCAGCCCCAGTGCGTCCTGTCGACTCATGGCCCAAATCATGCAGAAGGGCAGTTGCGCAAGCAGGGCGTTGACGAGAGTGGTGTCGTCTTGACTTTTCGTTCCAGCGTGGATCAACGCGTGGGGTGTAGTAGCTCGTATCTCCTGTGTGGTGGCCGTCCTGCCTGGTGGATGGCATCGAGGGTGCACGGCATGGGCAGCTTGAAATGCTCGCTCAAGCCGGCGTCTGTACGTGCAGAAGCGATGGCCTCCACACGACTCACGAATGCTTCCAGTTGTTGGGGCTTTCGCGCTTCTCCGCGTCGAGTGGTTTAGGGGTGAAGGGTTCACTGCTTGGGGCCTAGAGATCAAGGAGCACAGTTGCTTCGCAGTGTAGAGGTGTTGGTTAAGGCTTGAGAGACCCAAATTTCAAAAGTCCAAATCTTTGCCTCGGGACCCTCAGGTTGTGTTTCGCACTTAAGATTTGGACTTTAGGGTTTGCTGATGTTTGGGGAAAAGCCCCGCCTTCTTGGTTGCTCCAAGAACACTGTATGCCAGCCTCGGGGCAACACTGGTAGATTTTCCCTCTTAGGGGTTGGGGCCGGGGCCTGAGGCACGCACAAAGAGCGGCAGTTTTCGAATTCTGCTAAGAAGCCGACTTGGAACACCCCCCCAGATGCAGACAGGTGACATAAACGGTGGCTCGCCAATCGCTTTGGAGCCCAGCACTCCCTTGGGGAACGGATTGTCCCGCAGAAGCTCCACCCGGAATCTGGGCTTGCACTTAAGGTCAGGATGCAAGAGGTTCAAAGAGGCATTTGCAGGTTTCTGGCAAGCTTGAGGATTTAAGTCCAGGGTCAGAGGAGAGAGAGCTGCACCCAGAGAAACGACGCTTTACAAGTTGAGGTACAAACACTGGAAAGTCAATATTTTGTTGGGGTTTAGATCTTCGAGTAGGGCCACTTCACATTCCGAAACTCCCATAACTTTCTCGAGAAAGGATAAATGGTCGAAAATTAGCCCAAGCCGTAAACAATTTTCAAGAAACACCCTCAGCCAAGAGGCTCCGTGGGCACTTCTGCGGCCATTGGTGGCTTGTAAGCCCAAACACCCTGAGAACGCTCCACTCCGCGCATGTCTCGGAGAGGTTCTTCGTACATGTAGTAGCCAATTCCTGGCGATGGGACACCATTGCAACTCAAGACACGCTGTTCAGCTACATCATACCTGCAATCCGAGCCACCCCAGACGAAAGCACCTTCCAGCTGGCCGATGTCGATGCCGGGGTTAATCGACTGGCCTACGTCATACAGGATGTCCGAGCGAAGGGTCCTTAACACAGGCCGAACTTCAACGGTTCATACAATAGACAGACGCTCTCCTGACTTCGCCGGTCAGAACATCCAGCTCCACTTCTGAAATTCCTGATGCACGGCACGGAGAACAGGGGCTGAGTGGAGTGTGGTCGGAGGTGCCTGCTCCGTAAGTGAAATAGTCTCCGTGATGCTGCCCCAGCGTATTGCCCTCCACATCAGTGGTGTACCTGTCGGATGGGAACATGGCTGAATTACTGTACTCTGGCTGTGTCGGCGTCAGGCTTTCTGTCCCCCCCCTCCCTCCCCCACTCCCTCCCACTCCCTCCCTCGCTCTCTCTCGCTCTCTCTCGCTCTCTCTCGCTCTCTCTCTCTCTCTCTCTCTCTCTCTCTCTCTCTCGCTCTCTCCCCCACCCCTTTTTTTATCGCGGGCTTGGGAGGCTGCCACAACCCCGTTCCAGCAGGGCGTGTCGTTCTGTCTAGGGGGCTGTGGCTGATTGTCAACTCTCAGGCTCATCTTTATCGCTCTCGCTCTCCCTGCATCCAGGCGGCTTGTTGCCAGTTGGCGCAAAGATGCCTGATCAAAATGGACAGGCAAGAGTGTGCCGAAAAGAACATGACAAGACAACATGACCATGTCCGCAAAGGTTACTCCAATGCTGGTACTTCGGAAGGTACTCCGCTCAGCTCAATTTCGCCCATGGCCTGCCTGTCGCTGAGAGCTTCTCCTGATGACCCAGAACTGTGTTGGCGGCCGCAACCAGTTCTGGCCACGACGGATCCTCCGTGGTGGACGGATTGAGGGGTTTAGACCGTCCGACAGACACCTTCTTCATCCTGATTCTTTGCTCAGAGAATCCCAAGTCCTTGATCAGCCCTGAACGCTGAGCCTTCAAACAGCGGCTGCTGAATCATGATCACTGGCCCTTCGGCGCAAAGCAACATTCACCGCTTGCGTTTGGGATTGATCTTATTCTCACAAAGTGCACCTGACATTGCCGTCACCTTCACCACGACTTTTGCTACTATGACTCTGAGGGCTACTGCAATTCCTGATCAGTGTTGTCGCTTGCGCTTTGTTCAGTAGTGACGTCGAAACGTGGACTGAGTCCTCCGCGACTACTGGTCGCAGCCTTATTGGTTACTACCAGTTCTATTTCTCGCGAACCAATGAGTTAATTATGTCTATTCGCTGGAGGCACGGGCTCCTTGCCATCCCGCTTCTTGAGGAACTCCTTGTGGGGCTTGAGAGTCTGCAAGAGCTGCTTGCAGGCCTGCAGCAGAAGTCCCGGCTTGAAGAAGCCGTCGGCCAGTCTGGCCGATTCCTCTAGCCGATTCCTCTACGAGAAATCGCATGCGACTATGCATCTCATCCTTGTTGCGCCTGGGAGCAGTCTCTGGGCCTAAGACCCAAGGCCCTTGCCTGTCTCGCGGCCTCGCAGACCACCTCCGTGGTAATGGATCCACCCGTGAAGCGGGCGTTTGGAACAACCTTGCAGTGAATTAAGGGCTCGTTGCTTAGGGCTTCGGGTCTGGGGATGTCTGGGGTTTCCAGAGTGGGATAAGAGCTTGGACATCCTACCTGTCGCCTGTCGCACATCGGAACCAACAGTCAGCAAAATGGCAGCAGAGAGAGCACATGCAGTACGGGCAAACAGAACACCTCGCTGTTGGTGTCGGCGACGCGCACATGGTCGAGTGGACATCCAAGCGAAATCGCAACCACCTGTGCCACCTTTGTGTGAATTCCTGCAAGCATTCGCGCTCTAAGACCGGAGTTCTGCAGATATTGCGGGATGGGGTCCAAACTCAGACTTCAGGCGAGGTTCGGACCGGGAAAGGCATGCATTGACACACTCAAATTGTCTCCGTGTGTCCTTGTCCGATCTCGCAGCCACCGTGATGAACTGTGACAGACCCGTCAGAGCCTCGAGCTTGGCAACACTCGCAACAGGCATCCGATCTAAGGGTTGGTCGTTTCTTGCCGAGTTCCTGTGCCCGAGCGCTTCTGGAAAAGGCAGCAATCGCAACACCGCAACAGCACAAGCGAGCTTGCATGCGTCACAAGTAATGGATCGACCAATTCAACAGATTCTTGGAGATAGCCAGTCGAAGCCATCCTCTTGAGGATTACTTTGGGGCAAGACTAGCAGCAAGTAAATAAACCGATTTCGCCGGACCCTAGGCCCTAGAAATCTCAAACCCCGGACCTTGAACTCTGCAGCCCCGATGAGGCAAGGGGCCGTGGATGTTGACCAGTGCCCCTGTCCCTGCTGCATAAGCGTAGCAGTGGCCGTAGGCCAGCGGCACGGCACCTAGCCCGGCAATGTCGGATCCAGAGACAGAGAGGGACTCCAAAGATCCGACACTCACCTCTGAGCAAGTCAGAAAAAAGCAGCTATGCGTGGCAAAATAAGATGTTTACAGCTCTTGCTCGTCCATAGGCTCCGTACAAGTATGAATAGTATTACGAAAAGTTGTTGAAGCGAGACGCTGGCACTGCAGCTGAAGTCTGCATGCAAGTCTGAGGCCATCAACACGCAGCAGTGTCAGCAATTAACAGTTGCCCATTGGAAGCGTCACCTTACACTGATGCGCTAACAAGAATAACTCTAATTGGAAATAATACGGACAAGAGCTGATGAAAGAGGGCATCGATGCCAACGATCTAACAGAGAAACCGGGGCCCCTTACTAACGCATCATGAACTACTTTAGAATTTGGGGGGTTACGGGTTTAGGGACTATGGGGATCACAGGGTCCCATCCTGAAGCCTGGATTCCAAATTTCAGACGCAGTCACTGACGGCGCGTTTGCGCCAACGGTTGGTCTTGTTGAACTCTTCGCAAGCCTTCGCCCGTTCCTCGTACTTCGCGTCCTGTGGGCGCCCTAGAGAACATCGACAACGATTAATGCTGCTTCAGCTGCCCTGCACCCCAACATGTAGACTTGTAGGGCCTCCTTGTGGTCCGTGTACTGCATGGGAAAGAGGAGAAAGCTTGCACCACTCTGGGCATTGGCACTTCCAAACAGGCCTTCAGACCTGGAAACTCCCCTTCAGCTCCAACAAGCGATCCCCCAAATACCTTTGTCAGCTCCTGAACATACGCTAAAGTCCCCCACCCACCCTTCCATATTGAGCCGCGCTTGGTTCTCTTGTGCAGCTTGTTTGTTTTTGTGTGTGTGTGTGCACGTATGTCGCATGACACGATGTCTGAAAATACGTTGGCTGAACGGGGGGGGATAAGGCCCAACCCGCGACCGCGACAATCTCCTAAACGACGAGCCCATAAACCCTGAATCCTAAACTCTGCATCCCGTAAATGTGCCTGCTTCAGCTTGTTCCAGAGGGTGTCGACCTTTGCATTGCAGCATTACGCAGACTTTTAGCTCACTATACCTCAAACCCTCATAAGGAAACCACGACCTCGCAACTGAGGCAGCGTCATTGTAGAACTCCATTGGTTGGCCCCAGGGTGTCACAGCATTCTGCTTGGTGCACATATTGATCTCTCGGATTTCCTCCGGAACTTTGCCCAGCCTGTTTCAATATGAACAGTCTCCAGTGAAGGAAAGTCGGTCGGTAGCACTGATAGCGACAACAACCGCACCAAGAACAACAACAGCATAACAGAAGTGCTATTCACGAGTCCTGACATTATCATACCAGTAAACGGGCGGCAAGGCTGCAAAAACTCCGACAGGAAGTCACGGCAATTTCATTGCACGCAAAGCTTCTCGGCATCTTGCGACTGGCTGAATACGCTAAGACCACGGCAAGAGCACGCAGCAACGTGTTGACGCCAAGCTACGCCAGCAAACCAAGCCCCAGATTTTATGGCACTCCGCCTGCCTGCCCGCGATGTCTTCGATGATTGCTTCGCAGATGAAATATCCTAGGTGGCAGCGGTTGTTCTACATTGGGGAGGGCGGGGGGCGTTATATGTCGAGCAGTTTTATCTGCAGTAATCAGTAGCAATGCCGCGCGACGTACAAAGACCCTTCTCAACGACAATCATCTAGTCAGCCATTGGGTGAACCAACAAAGCATGGACAGGCCACCTAAGCTGCCACTCACTGTCGGAAAAGGCTGCAGACCACGGTTCAGCATGGAACAACTTGGGCGTCGCCACCGTGGTCATTGCCACCATCGGCATCGCCTTATAACCATCAAGATCATCATGCAGCATCGTCATCATCCTCACCTCACCAACATTTACTATTCTGATGATACGTGCTGTACAGGATTGCGCCGGGAGGAGTCATAGTCCGTGGTAAAGCCGCAGTGCCCACCCTTGTTATAAGTCCTAAATCAATGGAATCGACCGCCGAGGGTCCTTGCGGGCTGCCAAAGGAGCGGACGGCAGTGTTGCTCGGGGTGTTGGTCTTCATCGCCTCAACAAGGCGCCAGAAACCCGGCAATTGGTTGGCACCCAGGAGAACACACTTAAGGTCCCAGACTTCGTAGAGATTGGCTCTTCGGAAAACTGCGGGCCAAGGAGCGTGAACGTTGACTCGCATGTTGGGCCAGTCATACACAGAGGGTATCGCTTCGCCCATCTCCAGATTCAAAAATCCCGTGAAGTCATGAGTGCATCCGCCGTTGCACCACGACTCGACGTCGCACCTTGGAGGCTGAGGTCTATTGACGTTTCGATCCCGCTTGGCAGTGCTCCGCAGCACTTGAAGTCTGAGACTCCCTCCCTAGGCCCTGGGCCACCTATGCCCTGAAGTCTCAAACATGCGACCGAGCCGCGCTTGGATTCTGCCGTCCTTGTTGACGCCCACCTGCCCACTGCAATCAAAGAAATGCAGTGAGGGGTTTATTCAAGTTGTGTTTTCTGTAGTTATTGTTCCGTGTCTTTCTGATGCTCGGTATAATAAGCGTCTCTTCACAGACTTTCGGCTGGCTGCCCGTGTTTTGTAGGGATTTGTCGCTTCCTAAGGTTCCTCGTGAGGCTTCAACAATTTCAAGAAGGGCTTGGCTTGGGGGCTGGACTGATAATCGCAGTCATTCCTCGTAAAACAATCGTAGAGCCATATGCAGCCTTACATGAAAGATCATGACAAGTCCCGTTCCCGGCATCGTCATGATCAAGTCAGAACTAGGCATACTGGACATTATGGATAGTAATAATCATGATACTCGGAAAGATCATGAGGATCCACATTGTACCAAAGAACGTCACAGTAGTCGCGGCACACTGGTAGTGGACATCTCCACTGTGATTAAGTTGACGCGCCTTGTACTGAGTCTTGAAATTATGCCGTCCGCCAACTGCATTCTGCTCCAGTGTTGCTTCGTAGGCCACGCGCACAGCTTTCTCCAACCTGCAATATAAACCTTTATGTCTAGTCCTTTTCGAAAATATGGTTCAAGTCTACCACCTCTTTATGCATACCCGTTCGTATGCGGGTGGCCCTGTCCGCAAATGAGGCAAATAAACTTGAGACATGGGCTACGAAAGCTAGAGCAAGGTCGGAATAGCATGGCAGCAGCACGAGTGGTCATTTTCGAGGGGACAGTGCAATACTACTATTAACTTGCATGTGCATGGTGCAGAAGTTTTCCGATCTCAACGACCGCATCCGATCATAGACGTGAAGACTCTCGCATCATGGCAAGCTCTAGGGCAGCAGATAAACCTTTCGGGAACATCGCGGATTTGGTGCGCTCTTTGGAGTTCTTGAGAGAGAAGAGCCTCGGAAGAAGGGGGGGGGGTGAACGGGCTCCACCCCGGAGCAAACCCGCAAAGCCCAGGAGCTTGTGGGCGGCAACGGCGGCCATGGCAGCGACCGGTGCTTGTCGACTGTTCTTGGGGCCAAAGGCGCCTGGGTCGGGTTTAGGAAAATAGGAGTTCAAGAGCTTGAGGGTCTAGACTAAGCCTGGAGGACTTCATGCCTTTCTCGAGTTTTAGACTGCTTTTCTGGCTTGAGTTTGCGTTTAGGGCCACCCCTCGGCGCCAGCAGCTGGGATCCTAGACAGATCTTGGGTCCGAAGGCGCCCCCGGCGCGGGTCTGCTTGCAGACGACGAAGGATCCAGGGATGCCCAAAACGCCAGCCAGCCTGGTTCTGGGCTTCAGTGCTTCAGGCTGCTGAACCTCCACTGCACGGATCTGGAGAACTTGAGTTCTGCAAAGCTGCACTCCCCTGGTGAAGTCATGCCCTTGCGTGGAATGCCACACCTTGCAAGACCGGCGGGGTGTAGGGGCTGCCGGAGGAGCAGGGAGCAGGGGCCTGAGGTTTTTGGGTTTAGGACTCAATGCGTCTAAGACTAAGACTTTGCCATGGTGCAGTCATGCCCTTCTTTTCCTCAGGCACGGCCAAGGCCGTCTGCTTCTCCATCGGGAATGCATGCTGGCCGATGACGTACGTGGAGCCCTCAAACACCTCAGCCGACACTCGAGCACGCAAACTTCCTGAAGAAACCCCTGAATCCCAGATGCAACTCACTGAAACTCGACGCTCAAACTGGGACTGGGGGCCAGATCGCTGCTCGAATAGCCTGCTTCCAAATCTCCTTTGTTGATGGAGTTCTTGAAGTGGGCACCTTCGCTTTGACTTTGGGCATTTAGATTCCAATGTCCGAGGTCCTGGGTCGCATCTGAGGATGGAACTCTCCAGAAAGGATTCTGCCGCTATGGCCTGGTCGAGGGTGATGATGGCGCCTCTCTGGCAGCCACGGATTCCCGCAATGCTCTAAAGCAGGATTCTTGACACATCCGCCAGTAAGAGGAACAACGTTCCACGAGATGGGCCCGAAGTGGGTCTGCAAATACTTTGGAAGAGCCCCATCTTGCCGTCAGATAACCAAAAGACGTCAGACCTCAGTGCCTTCCCGCATCGGACATTTCTAGTCGAGTCCCGAGCCCTCAGGCCCAAAAAAACACTCTTACATGACCTAAACTGCTGACACGACACAGAGCCCTGATTGTCTGTCTCTTTTTGATTGCTATGAAAGGGAGAATAGTTATGGTAATGAGGATGTTTGAGAAGAGGAGACCCTCTTAAATCTTCACCTCCACCGGGGCAGCTAACAGCTAGTATGCCAACCATGACTTAGTTTCTGACATGTGCAATGCAGCAGGAACAGGAACGCAACTAACTCGCAAAAACAGCACACGACCCAAAGTTACATCAACCGTCCCAACCCACACCCCTAGCATCACCACCGCCGCCGCCAGCACCACCATCACTGAATCACCGCCACCAACAACAACAGAGGAGTACAAACCGGGCAGAGCGTGGAATCATCGAGGAGCCTTGATCACGCTAAGCTTTGAGGCTCGGTCCTTCGTTGGCTCCGGAGATTTTCATCTGCACCGCTGCGGCGCCGGCCTGGAGCGAGCTAGTTCAATTGGTCTCGGATTCATGCTGAGGGGCCGTGATGGCCCTGAAACCCTCTGACTCACAGCAGTTGCGATGATGGCAGTTCCAGCAAGACTAATGATTCATGATGGTACCACCGCCTTGGCCGCGCGGTAGGAGGTAGCCACAACCAGGGCGATCTGCTGCCCCACAGTCATGATGCTCCTTTCTTTGGCACAAGCTCTGCAAAACCCCAACTGAAAACAACCGAAGACCTGTAAACCGAGAAACTTGTACCGACCAGGCCAGCAGCGGCCTCATGTGTTGGGGCCTCGAGGTCTGCCTGTTGGATCCAAACTCAAAACCTTTGAAGCCGAGGAACGACAGTTCCTTTCTCCAGCAAAGTCTTTCATACTTCGCCGGAATGGACTGCCCAACACAGATGCGCAATCATTCAAACAGCCGCACCCCAAAACAACCCGAAATCCTACCGACCAAAGCTGTAAACTCTGCACCCCTCAAGCCTGAAGCCTAGTCCGTAACGGCCCGAATGCCCGCAAGCCCGAAACCGTCTGGACAGTGCAGTTCAGCTTCCCGCCGATCTCCACCTGAGAGCATCTCCAGGTTTTTGACGAAAGCCCCAGGCTCTTGGTTGTACTTTTTAGACACGAGCGACAACCGCAACACGTGTGACCTTCATTACCACCAGCTTCGTCACCAGAGCCAGCAGGGGAGATTGATTGCAACAACAGCGCCAGTCGACCTACAAGTCAAAAAACTAACAAAGAAAAGCCTCAAGGCTTCTGGCTCAGTTGGGGACCACGCTTGCCTTAAACTCCAAATCCTTGACATCAACAAAAGCCGAAGACAGATCATTAATCGAGGAAAAAAGAACGAAGCAAGCGCCGATACTCCCCCCTTACTGTTGTTGCCTGGGGTCCTTGTATGGGGTTCATGGGCGGTTGGCACGTGACTGATTAACTGTCGCTACATGTACCCAGAGCTTTGGTAAGTTCCTTGCAACGCTACTTGTGAACATGTTCCCCTTTTGAGGTCCAGGCGAAGACCGGCTCCTCCCCTGCAAGGCGCGATCGCTTCAGAGGGCTAGGGGGGGGGCTTTTTCGCTCTTGCTACGAAAGCATTTACGGGGCCTTCTGTAGTTGGGGTACAGTTGCCTCTGCTCTACGGGGTGCTGACGCGAAGGTTCCTGGTTATTGGTAGCTACCATGGCAAGTGCTTCTACGTTTGCCGATAACAACCGACAAACATGGTACTTACTTCAACCCCCGATTTCGACCACGCTGGCAACGGCCCATCAACCCGAAAGAACACAAACCAATCGCAAAAGCTTGAACATGGAGTATGTAAGATGCAAGCAGCAGCAGCAGCAGCAGCAACAACAACAACACCACCAATCCAACACCAGCACGAACGACACCACCACCAACAACAAGACGACAACAACAACAACAACAACAACAACAACAACAACAACAACAACAACAACAACAACAACAACAACAACAACAACAACAACAACAACAACAACAACAACACCAACACCAACACCAACACCAACACCAACACCAACACCAACACCAACACCAACACCAACACCAACACCAACACCACCAACAACACCACCACCACCACCACCACCACCACCACCACCACCACCAACAACAACAACAACAACAACACAAGCAACAGCAACAGCAACACCAGCAGCAGCGGCAGCAACAGCAACAGCAAGAAGATAAATACAGATAGCGACAACGACGACAACGACACCGACGACGACAACGACTTCGACAACAACGACACCGTCGCCGATCATCATCATCATCATCATCATCACCATCATCATCATTAGCATTAGCATCATCATTGCTTGTAACAGCGACAACCACAATGACAACCACAACGACGACCACCACCACTGCCACAACAACAACGACAACACCTCCAGCAGCAGCAGCAGCAGCAGCAGCAGCAGCACAAGATAGCACAAGCACAACCACAGCGATAACTACAACTACAACCACATCATCCACGAGCACAAAACTGATGAACATGGTTTCTACGCCTACAGTAGACTACCAATGTGCCTTCAAGGAGGCTGTAAAGTTCAGTGCAAGGACTTCTGGAGCTCGTGACTTGGGTTAGTCTTTGTCGTTTAGGCCGAGGGCTTTAGGACCGGTAGGGTGTACAGGGTGTCTAGCGTTCAGCGATGCGTGCAGAACAGGGTCCATGCTAAATCTGCCGTCTCTACATACAGAGGCAATCATTTAATCATGAGAACTCGGCTCTGGTGCCAAGGGCTTAAGAATCGCTTGAATCCGGTTCATCATCATCCCAATGCATCCCAACCCTGCAGCCTACATTTTGCACTCTAGATCAAGTGGCCTGCAGCGAAGCCGCAATCGTTCTTCCCTGGCACGTCCTGGACATCTTGAGTTGCTAAAGCCAGAAGCCAGGTCCTAGGGAAGGGATACAGGACCTAGTAACTACCTCATAAGAGTACTTGCAAAGTCGCCTGATCTTCTGAGTAGGCATTCCGAACCCTGAAATTTGCCCGGCTTTAGTGATAGGCACGGCAATATAGCGGGACTACTAGCAGAGCAAGAACCCATCACTACACCGACAACAGTCATGACATGGACAGTCAAATTACAGCGACAAGACTCCTTTACATGTTCCAAACAACCCTGAATGCTGTGAACCCTTGTTTGCCTAAGCCCGAAACCCAACAAAATACAACAATTTATTGTTGAAGAACGGCCAAGGATCCGCTGCTGTCACGATGTCCACCACACCAGCCACTTTGAAGGCTTGGGCCGTGTCCTTGAGGGTCCAAGGCTGACGGCTCAAGGTTTGGGCCAATTCAAGATGAGATGTGCACAGTGCAGCAGTGGATCCAGTTGCTCCAGCTTGCCCGTCGCCGCCTCACTTAAAACCTGCATGCGAGGAGGGGAAGCTGCTGCAGGTTCTAGCACTGATGTCAGAACACTCCTCTCATGCCAAGAGCTTGAGCCAGGCCCGTCCGTGACACCAAGAAGCAGGATATCCGAAGAGACCGGGCATGGGCTGGTCGTCCGTGTATCGGACCTTGTCTGAAGTGATGCTCAGTCCGTGGTCCAGGCACGGGACCAAAGCTGTGCCCCTCCCCATGGGAGCAGCACAAGCCACAACTGCACGTGTGTGTGTGTGTGTGTGTGTGTGTGTGTGTGTGTGTGTGTGTGTGTGTGGGAGTGGGTGTGTGTGTGTGTGTGCATTTGCATCTTGCATCTGTGTATACATAGATATATATGCATGCATGCATGCATGGATAGTAATTCTACAAAATTACATACGTTTGCATCTTCATATACCAGCATGTATACCTTTGTCTAGACGTGTGCCTCTATATACCTAACTACACTTATACCTTCATCTACACCTAGACCGACACTGAAACCTGAAACCTGTGCGTATATGCATACGGACATGTAGAAATGAAATATGGACGTATTCTATACATATGTATAAATACGAATATATATGTATATATATATATATATACAGATACAGATACAGATATGTATGTATATATACATACATACATACATACATATGTAGAGCAGAGAGAAGGTGTGTGTGCGTGTGTGTGTGTGTTTTCTTGTGTGTCTGTGTGCACTTCTGTGTGGATACACCTATCTATCTATCTATCTACGCACATATCTCTCTGTCTCCTTATCTACCTATCTACATACCTATTTATTTATCTATCTGTCGGCTATCCGACGAAAGCACAAGCCAAGCCCAGCAAAGCCAAGCCACTGCGTTGTGGAGGCCTAGAGTCCTAGAGAAAGACGGCGTTCTACAAAGCGAAAGCGAAGCCAAAAACCAAGCCACTTCCCTTTGTCTTACTACCCGAAGACCGTGTGACGTGAGGCAAGACCCAGGTACATATACTTGCGCATACCCAACCCAGCGCGCGACACCAATAAAACCGAGCCCATCTGCCTACCTGAATCTAGTTATCGATCTATCTAGCTATTTGTCTATCTGTCCATCACATCGTAAAATTATGTACATACGCTTGTTGCATGGATATACACATACATTGACACATGCATACATACATACTACCTACCTACCTACGTACCTGCCTCTACCTACCTGAATGTTTGCCTGCCTAACCATCCTACCGATCGAGCGACCGACCGGACGACCTACAAACGTACATACATAATACATGCATGCAAACATACATACATACATATACACATACATGCATACGTGCATACATGCATACACATACATATACACACATACAACTACACAAACACATGCGTACGCACGTACATACATACATATAGACATGCGTGCATAATACATACATACGTACGTACATACATACATCCGTACATACATACCCATATGCTTTCAGAAAATGAGCGCGGTTCGTGCGTGCATGTAAAGTGTAGATTTATATGCCTATGTCTACGCGTATATACATATCTATCCATCTGTCTATATATACATATATAAATATACGTGTGTATATATATATATATATATATATGTGTGTGTGTGTGTGTATGTGTGCATGTCTATATATGCATGCACGTGTATGTATGCGCAACTGCGTACATGTATGTACATATATATATATATATATACATGTATATATGTTGCGTTGGGATTTGTTGTTGATGATATCCTTGTTCGCTCACCCCACCGAGAGCTAGTAAGTAGTTGGTTGCCCTCAACAGACTCCCGGGTAAACTCCACGCTCTCCACACTTCAGATAGGAATCCCTGGCAGGCAGACTCGGTGCTCGCTTGTTTTCTCGTTCGAGAGGCGAGAGGAGTCGTCTATGCACGGGATGGCTCTGATCCTCTTGGGTACACACGAAAGGCTACAAGCTTTGGTTAGCTTGCGGCGTTAGTTTCTTGAGCTTAAGTTGCGTTGTGCGGAAAGTAAAGTACTCACACTGTGCCATGGTCCGACAAGCGGGTTCATGGACGAGTGTGTTGGGTCAGGGTTCGCAAGACGATACCCTGCCCTCTGTACATGACGAATCATGACACTGCTCACAGCTCTGATAGCGACACCATAGAATTGGACTAGGCATCGAGGTCCGCTCGCATATGTAGCTCTGCGTGTACGCGTAAGCGTCTTTATATGTATATGAATGGGTATGTGTATACATATATATATATATATATATATACAAGTGCGTTCCGATGATTCCGATGTGTATTATGTAGATGTACTTGTTCTATATCTATATGAGCATATATATATATACATACAGATATATGCATGTATGTATGTATGCATGTGTATGTATATGTATATGTATGTATATATATATATGCACATGTATGTACAGATGTATACACACAGACAAAGCATTTGTACGATCATATGCATACATACATGCGCTTTGCCAGTCCTCGGGTGCTAACCCCCTCCACACCTAAGCTATGAATCCTGAGTCTGTTGAACGCCCCAAATATGAAACCTAAACCGTCAAAGGCCCCCTATTTCCTAATTCTTGTGAAGCTGAAGCGTGCAGGAGAGAGTCAGCTCCGGTCGTGAGGCCCATTGCAGACAGCTGGGGTTTGTTATCCAGGCCAGGCTGCTCCTTATGCCCCGAGCTGAAGGGCTTTTGGGGATCAGGGCTCAGTCCGGGCCACACCGGGTCTCTCCACGAGTATGTGTCTGTGCTGTATGGGGTTTAGGAGCAGGGCTTTGGCTGGGAAGTAGAGATGAATTAGACTAAGGTAGAAGCCAGAAAGTTGGAACATCATTATCCTCATGCCCTTAAGGTAAAGCATAAGGGATCCTAGCACTAATCCTCCTACGGCCGTGTTCCAACTTTCTGGCTTCGACTATAGAGCTTTAAACACTCTAAGCTCCATTAACACCTGCGGATTCAGAAGCCTTCGGGTCTAGGTATTATCACGATTTAGGGCACAGGCCTAGAGATTCAAAGGCTTCGGAACCAAGGGGCTAAGTGCAAGTAGGCTTTGGGGATTCAATATGCTGAGGATTTGGGGCCATTGGCGTCTTGAAGATTACTGATGCGATGAGGTCTCAAGGCTCACGGCTGTCTCACCCCGACACCTCTTCAAACCTGAACCCAAGGCCTCGACACTGAGCTCCCTGGGACTCCGGCCTGGAATGTGAGCTGTCCTGTCAAACAGTGGAAGACTTCTGTGAGAGTGCAGGGCTTCGGGTGCTGAAGTAGCGGGCTTTCTGGCTTCTGTTTCTTATGTTCAAGTTTGCTCAGTAGATAGAGAAGCAAACGATTGCAGCATACACACCCAGAGATGAATTTAGAAGTCAGGCAAGTGATGGCAGCAGGGCACTGCATGTTGCGACAGGCTGCGCTGATCTTGGACTAATAAAGACTAAAGCAAAAGCATAAGCATGTAAGGCTAGTAAGGGACGACATAATCCGTCTCGGCAGAGAACACAGCGTGCTTAACCCGTGTTCGTCTCAAACTCAAACTGCAGCTGTCGAACCCGAGGTCTGAACCTTAAGAGCAAATCAAAGCCTTTGAAGTTTTGAACCCCAGGAGTTCCTGACAACTCTTCGTGCAGTGCTAGCTTCTGATAATGCCCTCAAGAAATTTGAATTCGTAAAGCCCTGAAAGCACCGACTTTCCGCCCAGTCTCCTGCTTTCAACGGCTTCAGGGGCAGGCTTCCTAACTCTTCAGCCGGCCACTGCTTGATGCCAAAGAAAGCCTGTGCCTGCAGGGTTTTGGCAGCTACGGTAGGCTTCAAGGCTTTGGCTTCTGGGGTTTCGGGCCGACTAGAGGACTTAGAATGCTGTGCTTAAAAGAAAGAAAAGGAGGACCCAAAGGCCCAAAGGCCGGCCCAAAGGCCCTGGCTTTGCTGGCTCCTTGGGCCTCTTTGAAGAACTTGAAGACATAGGTGTCCGGCAGTTGACGGCGATATTCGTCCTTTAGCATGTAGAGGAGCATTACATCACGTTTGCTGCAGGGGCTGAGACGGGTAGAACCAGCGAGTGTGCTCCCCCCAGCCCTCCTTTCCCTTCGGGTTGTCGATTGTCTGGAACTGGCTCTCCCCTGCAAATTCCAGCTCGGAATGCCTCAGCCAATGCCCAAGACTTGAGGGTTTCCCGGCTGTGAAGGACTGAAAAAGGCTTGTATACGGACATGTGCAGGGCTTTGTGGGGAGGCTTGGAGTCTCATTTGGAACTCCTCGTGCTCACAGCGGGAAAGAGTGGCAGGAAGCAAAACCTTCAAACAGTTGCCATAGTGAAGGTCGAACGAATGTCTGCGGCACAATCCAGTACCGGCGGGCACGTGGTTCAGTATGCACGACCCATGATGCTCCTCTAAAGCCTTCACCAAGAGGCAGGGCTGCAATCGCTTTCTGGAGGGTCTCCGTGTCCTGCACGGTCTTCTCTTAGCATTTTGGTAACTCTGGCAAGTAGAATATATGATGCACAAATTACAGCATACAGTAGTGGGTCTTGGCAACAACGAAAAGGTCGAACAGCATGCGGTCACCCCGAAATGCAATGTACTGACGGCTCTTGAGATGCATTTATGTTTTTGCGTGGGGTTCAACACAACAGTCGAAGTGTGGCCTCGACGTTGATCACAAAAGCGCGACTGTAAGTGTGGCATGTCAGGTCTCAGCGCTCAGGCATTGCAATGGCTCAGGAGCCACCTGCGTACGACGTCCTGATCCATTAAGGTCAGATGACATCCGATATTCTCTCATGCAGCCAGCAAACTGTTGCTGCAAGCAGTGTCACTTCTGACGGCAAAGTCGCCGTGCTGCCTTCCACCAGAGAAAGCCAATCGCATTGCTTGTCTCTTGTTGCACAACCAAAAGGAATGCCAACCTTCAAAAGGGCCAACTAAAGAACAAATCCTACAGCAAAAGCTCAAGAACCACGTCGGCACTCAGCGGTCCAGAGTTGCTCCGACCAGGGCCGACTCGGCCTGGTAGGAACCTCACCAGAAGAGGGCCCGTTGGGGTCTTTGGTTTAAGGCCCAACTGTGCAGTCACAGCCACGAGTATGGGGCTTTCGACAGATGGGAAACTCTGTTTATGGCAGAACGGAAGACAGAAGATTCACGAAGCTTGGTCGCCAGCTCGTCACTCCAAGAAAGCATTTTATTTTAGAGTGGATGGCTTTCGGTCATCATGGTGCCAAAATGGTCTAACAGGCCAGATGAGGTTGCTGAGGTTGAGGTTGAAGTCGGCACGCTAAGGGTTGAAGGGCTTGGAACCAGCGGCATCTGAGCAGCCGTCAAGACGGTGGAGAAGAAATGACCGGAAACAAACGAGACAAGAACTTGCAGATGGGAAGTACTGAGCCCTACTGTATGTATCGATCCCGGCCCTCGTGTCCACATCAGCAGACTTTTGATGTCATGTGAGCGCACACGCTGCAGGCATGAACAAGTGCAGCACACGGTGAACCGAGGGCTCCACGAGACGGCGTGGAAGCCCAGTAGCCTTGGCTAGGAAAGCATGGATTTCGCACCCGCAGCGGCCGCCGTACAGGAGCAGTCTTCCGTCGTCGTCGTAGTCGTAATGGTATTCGTATTCATAGCAGTAGGCAGCAGTAGTAGTAGGAGGAGGAGGAGGAGGAGGAAGAGTGAGAGTACGAGTACACGGAGTAGGAGCAAGAGCTGAGCAAGAGCAAGAGCACGTGCAAGCATAAGACCAAGAATAAGACTACGAGTAGTGGTGGTAGTAGTGGTAGTGGTAGTGGTAATTAGTGGTAACAGTAGCAGTAGCAGTAGCCGGGCCGGAGCGGTAGAGGTAGCGGTAGGAGTAGCAGTAGCGGCAGCAGCAGCAGCAGCAGCAGCAGTAGCAGTAGCAGCAGCAGCAGCAGCAGCAGGAGCAGGAGCAGGAGCAGGAGCAGGAGCAGGAGCAGGAGCAGTAGTAGCAGCAGCAGCTGGTGTGCTAGTGCTAGTGAAAGTACCTGGCAGAAGCCTAAAGGCTAGACGGCTAGACCACCCGCACACCGTGCCCTGCATGGGGCATCACCTCCTTGGCTTCAAGCCGAGAAGCCCAAGCAGACCTGACCACATTCTTGAGAAGAGCAGAGTCCATGGGCGAAGGTTTGTGATCTCCGGGTCCGTATGTTGCGGTAGCGTAGCTTGGGAATGTGTTGGATTGAGGTTGCACATGTCTTCGATAGCTTTCCACGTTCCACCATTGCAAATGAGATTGGGCACTACCCGTCAGTTACCCGAGCAGATACATCCGTGACATCATCAATCACTCAGGCACTACAGTCGGAGTTGTGGAACATCATGGGTGGCAAACGGGACGAGGCTTTGTCCATGATGTTGCACATACTTGGCACTTGGGTTCTAGGGTCGATGGACCTCGCGCACATTGCCAGCGCGGCTTTTAACACTCGTGCAATGTATACTGTAAAACTCTATTTGCCAACCAGGGTGGGCAGACTTTGGCGGAAGTCAGCGCATGCTTCTGTGCAGCGTGGCATTGCCGAGATGCAGTGCTGATTTGTGGAAGTCCCTTGATGGCTGGACAGCATGTCCGATTCAGTACGTGGCTCCTTCCTTCGACTAAATTAGCTGCACCCTTTGCCCCCTGAAGCATGAATCCCACGACGGAGAGGGGGCTTTGTCATACTGCGTGCACTCAGCCAGAAACGGGCATGCGCCCGTCGATTGATCGTGTATGCAGTCCCTTACAGTCGCTCCGATCGTTTCGAAGTGGCGGAAAAACTCCTCGGGTTGAAGACGACAAACTTTTGCACTTAAAGAGCTGTGCTTGGCGCTCCACCGTGCAAGGTCACCAAGGTTAGCCACGTGGTTTCCCGAAAGCATCGAAGCACGAGCAACACGCTTGACCAGCTTCGTCCATTGCAAATCAACGAAGGATCGAGAGTGCCGAACATTGATATCGAAAACAACCGGCGGCTGTGTTCTGCAACTCTTGGCATGTCGTCGAGCTGTATGTCAGTGAACAGATATAATGCTCGCAATGTACCCAACCGCAATACAATCAATACCCTACTGATGATGAGCAAAATGACTTTGTCGAAGTCTGAGTGCCCAACGCGAGCTTCGGTGATCTTCTTGGCACTGTCCAAGACAACACGGAAGCCTCCCGACTCTAAGTTTCCGGGTGTACGCTTCAAAGCAGCTTGGGGCTTACAGCCAATAAACGATGGTGTTTTGATGCAACACACGAAGTACCGGCATGAGCTAAGTAGTAGCTGCCTTATGTTGTTGGTCCCATCCCCGATATCACACAGGCTTTTGATGTACCAACTCAGCCCATGCCCATAATTTGGAATCAGCTCCATGTGACACTACAACAGCAATGCTTTTGTCTTAAGTGCACTGTGTGAGTCGGAATACCCGTCTGCAGTGACTTCAAGTAGCACGTACATCACTTTACAACACCAACTCCCAGAATAGCCCACAACGCGCATAAAAAGGAAGATATATCGTCTATCCAGGTAGCCATTTTCGAAGTCCCTGCCTCCACTCGCGAAGCAGTGCGACAACCATTTGCGCTGCCCCACTCGGAAGTACCTGAAGTTGTGGTCCTTTCCCAGATACTGCTTCCAATTGCAATAACCATCCCCAGCTGGCTTCGGAGGGGAGCTCTAGGTTTGGGGCTTATCAAGGCCAGAAACTCCCAAATCCCTTAATGGGATTACCAGAAAAGGGATCCTTGGCAAAGGAATTCTGGAGCTCTGGCCACTGCACACCTCGTTCCTAAAGCTCAACCTGAACATTCCTACACTGACCTTCACCTCTAAACAGCAAGTCCCAAACCGTCCATGGTGCTTGTAGAAAGAGCTTTGCAGATTCGGAATGTGGAGCTTTGTCAGCCTCGGAAGTTCGCATTTCGGGATTTCCGGAGCCAGGGCTTTAAACGGCAGGCTTCAGGACTTTGCCATCCAGCCCCCGCAGGGCTTCAGCTTGCAATAGTCCTATCCAGTGCAGCCGCGAAGCAAAGCGTTGAAGGGAACAGCCTCGGCTGCATTCTTGAGCCAGTCTACGCTTCAAGGAAACCAGCTCCATATTTAGGATCGGTTTGCATTTCATCGGGTTCCGGGCTGCAGAGTTTAGCCTTAGATGTCCGTTTGAAGGCATGTCCCGTTGATGGCACCTGGCTGCTTTGGCTGCTGAACCAGCTAGTTCTCACGATATCACAGGTTAGGAACGATTGTCCTACTAATTGTCGAGACATCATTAGCCAGGGAAGCTTGCGTAACGGATCTTGGAGCTCAGGCATCCGAAGCCCTAGTTCACATCCTGACGCACCACCTATGACAACCCATTCGCAACACCAGAGCCTCTCAATTTGCGCGGCATGTACTTAGGGCCAGGGTGGTCTGGGAAACCCGTGGAGTCGTAGACCATTGCTGGCAGAGGCTCCCCGGGCTTAAACTCCGCGAGTGGTATTCGCGTCTCCTCGGTGCTCTTGGTCACGTAGGACACTTCCGCGTCAGCTGCACAAGATATGCAGGGCTGATTGGCCCATTGGGAGCTGGATGGTGTCGGAGATTAGAATCGCAGAGCGCTCACTTTTGGGTTCGGCACCTGGCCCTGCCGCAGCCACTGTCACAACACTCCAAGGCTTTGATGGAACCCAAACCTGAGAACCACAAGATGGATTCTGGACCCTTGGCCTTCTCAATACCGTCAAAACACAAAAGCCGTGCGTCCGAAACTCAACCCGCAAACCCGCCTGCGAGCAGAGCGGGGAAAAGGTCGGAAGGAAATCCACGCCTTGGGTACAGACATGAAACTAGACTTAGTGTTCAGATTCTGGGTTTCTGTTCCCAAGGTGTACGAGTGTTCGGGGTTAGGGGTTTGGCATTAAGGACTCTGAAGGCTTGGCGGTTGGAAGGGGTTCGGGGTTCAGGGTTTACGGTTTTGAAGGCTTTGGAGTTATGGGTCTCCGGGCTCGCTGAAAAGCGCCAACTTCTAAAAGCACTGTTGCTCGCCCTCGCATTTTCTGCCCGGGGCCTCAGGTAGCTGTTGCAAGAACTGGGTTGGGTTCCTCTCGAGCTCTGATAAAAACTGTACCCCAGTATAAATGACCATACATCCCACAGCTCCCTTATTTGGAAACTCTGAGCCCGTACGCCGTACGGCAACAGGCAAGTTCAGAATCCTGTGGCCTCGCGAGCATTTCAAGGAATGGAGATGACCCTTAGGCATCGTGACTTTCAAGAGGGACCGCTTCTCCCTTAGCTCACAGGAGCCCATGGTTCCAAGTCTGGACTTTCTAGTTTGGTACGCTCTGGTGTAGCAGGCTTAAGGCTTCCTGCGAATATGTTGCTGCTGTTGGACTTGAGACTTCATCCTTCTACAGCAGAGGCACTGAGAAACTTGAGGTAGTATTCTTGAGCTGATGTGCTCCTCTGGGCCCATGGTACTACAGAAGAACTGCAGGGCTGTCACTGATTGGAGTTTCTGGGACAAGTTGCAGCAGGCATTCGCGCCATGAAGCAGCAAGCCGTCACGAACCCGTAGCACTTACTCCCGAACCAGTCAAAGCCCCGAAAGCCTACACACTACGCCCTAGCCTAAACCGCAAAGCCCTGCACATCTTGGGCAAGGCACTGGATGGTGATGAGCAGATTCCCTGCCCAACCTGTGACACCCCCCCCCCGAGGCCGGAGAGTCAGAATCGGTCTCAGATCTACCCTCGAGGGCCTAGACTAAGGTCGCGACGATGAGGTGGCCCTGAAACCCTAAACTCTCAACTCTGAGCCATTCTAATTACCACGGAACATGTCAAAACTTGGACATGGTGACAAGGTCAAAGCCCATACCTTATCATGATGAGTGTCGCAGATCCGGTGCGCAGTGCACTAGCACGGAATAGCAATTACCAGTAGTACTACACTACACAGACACCGCAAACACGCGAAACCGCCTCAGCGAAGTTGAATTCCTTAAGCAGCCAATGGGAAACTCTTCCAAAAACTGCTTAGGATTACATCGGGGTCCGCCTTCGGATCTTCGTTGTGGCCGGGTTGGACCAACAGAGGTTTAGGATTCCATTCTCAATCCCTAAACCCTAAACTCCATGTAAAGCCAGACCGTGAGACTATTGTCTTGGGCTTGGGGAGGTTCAGGTCAGGGGACGGAGCAGAATGGTGGGCTTTAAAGTCCTAATTCGTTCCAATAAATTCAACTGCTTCCTCGGCTATAGTCCGCTCCTGCTTCCGAGCGCAGGTGATGCTGTGCCACGTGCTTCACTGCATCGGCCAGAGCCTGTTGCGCTGACGCTGCATGTGGTGGCTTAGTAGTTGCGGGCCTTGACGGTTGGGCCCAGACAGTAAATCAAATTAACAAGTCCATAGCAGCGACAGCAACAACAAGTTGTACTAGACACCATCAACAAGTAATTGTCCAATTCTGATGTCGGGCGAAAGTGCGCAGCTATGCACAAACACGCAGGGATGTGTTGCTGCTGGGTTGACAAGCCCACACCTATGCAATCAGCAAAGCCAAGAAGAAACTTAAAGACCCAACCCCAGGAATTCTCACCCCAAACACTAAACCCCCCAATCAAACGCCAAGACCCCGACCGGTTTCAAGCGACAGGCGATGAAGGACGCACAAAAAGGCTGAGGTTTAAAGCAATGATCTGACGTCAGAGCACGCGACGTGCTTGGGCGATAGAAATGGATCAAACCACGAGATGACCACACTTTCCTTTTGCTGCAAAATCCCTGACACTGGGTGAGGGCCGACCTCGTTGGATAGCTTCAAACTAGAAGTCCCGCACTGTTTATCTTGCTGTGTTCAGGGTGCCTGCAGAGGCCCCAACTCGACAATGCCAAGGTACTTTGGGCCACTGCAGGCTGGCATGCTCCTTCTGGTACTTCTCCAGGGCGTCCGTGATGTGCTGAATAGTGAGTGCGCCGCCGATTGTCAAGCCTGCCACGCCACAACATTGCAGTCCTATGCCCGAAACGACAAGCCCCAAATCCGAAAACTCTTGGCCCTTGATGGCCTGCCTCTAAACCTGCCACTGCGACTTAAGATCTGCTGTACTTGCTCGACAATATCTCCGAGCTGGCAACGCCAAGATAGCAACAGGTACATACAGAGGTAGGGTAGATGACAGATAGAAAGGTAGATGGATAGGTAGATATGTAGGTAGACAGGCAGACAGACAGGCAGACAGACAGATGGACAGATAGATAGATAGGTAGGTATAGAAATAGACAGACAGGTGGATGACGCATGTAAGTAGGTCGGTAGGTAGTTAGATCTAGATCTAGAGATAGGTAGATAGACACACAGGCAGACAGATAAGCCGAGGTGTGTATGTGCATGTGTATGTGTATGTGTGTGTGTGTGTGTCTGGGTACAAGCATACCCATGGCGAAACAATGCTGTGTCTGTAAAACAACTCCCGCTTGTGAACGAAAACTTGCCGATCCAGTATCGGGGGAGTGAAACCTCGAGAACAGGTCAGGGTAAAGCACATAATTCAAGGAGCGAGTTGTTCCGTAACACACTGCTCCACAAGCTTCTTCTTCTGACCCCCCAGGTTTGCACCCGCGCCGTGCAACCACCGGTCCGGTCGGCACAAGGCTCACTCTCTCTCTCTCTCTCTCTCTCACTCTCTTCTGTCTCTCGCTTAATGTATACAGACCGTATTGTTTACGAGGCCGTAGACCCAAACTGCCCCCGCCTGCGCCGCTTGCTTGAAGCATATTCAACTCGGTGACCTCAGGGCAGTGAATGGCAGTGACCGAAGCTCTACAATTCGGTGCAAAGGCGATGTCCGCGAAAGGGATGAGTACTACAACAAGCACGACTTAAGACTATTTAGCACTCTCACTGGCCCAAGCAGCATTGCGAAGCCCGATCACGTCGCTGGCTCTTCCGTTGGCCACCTTCAGATTGGCAAGAGCGCTGTGACGAGAGGGAGCTTGTGCCGACTTACACCGTTGAAACTTTAAGTTCTCGTGTGGGAAGTCGAAGGAAGTCCCTGACTCAAACCGGAGCCTCGTAGGCCGCTTGCCGGATGCCCTTCGCTGTGTCACCCACAATATACATCGCGCGTGGCTTGGACTGCTTGATATCAAGCACCTCCTGAAGCAGAACTAGCAACATTGTCAGTGCCATCAAAGGCAATGACCATCACCACCACCAGCACCAGCAGCAGCCTTGTTCGTCCACGCGCTGATCATTTTCATCCTCGGGTCAACATCATCTTCACCACCAACAATGACATCGCTATCGTCATCACTCCGATGACTCTCGCCACAATTTACGAAGCATTGGCATTAACTTCGTCGTCGCCTATCATCGCACCATCATTAGCAGCGTCAGGAAAGTCGTCACGACCTGCACCGCAACCCTCCCTAGCAGGCACACCAACCAGATTGATGTCATCACCACTGTCGACATCATACCATCATCCATCACCCTCGTCAAACACAACAGCAACCTCGAAAGCAATGCGATTATGATAGTTGCTTTCGTCGGTAACATAGTCTGATGCAAAGCCTTCGAGCTCTCAGCACAGTCCGGAATATGATAAGCACCCCAATCGATGGATTCAGCAGATCCCTTCAGCTCTACTGCATGTCCCAGCACTTGTATATCAACTCCTAGGAGTCTGCAAATTCAGACAGAACCGAAAACCCAAGTCCCAAAGCTACAGGATGTTACTTACGGACTCTGACTTCGCTGGCCGGTCTGGTCTTTTTCGCGGAGAAAATCGTGCACCCAAAAATCCTATGCCCTGGGTTTGACAGAAGCCCCCTTGGTTGGCTCTGCGAAGGGTCTCCGGGGCCGTTTTAACATCCCGAAGTCGAAGAGATGGAGTAAAGGAGGTCAACAATGGAAGGTGGAAGCGTACGTTGTTGCTTTTATGATTGCCACACGTGTATCTGCCATGTAAAAATTTCAGGAAGTGCACAGCGTCCTGAAGCGTCATGGGAGCATACCAGGTGAACTCATCCTTGCTGAACTGCACCTCAGCTGTGCTTGGGGTGTAGCGGCATGAGGTCATGATGAAGCTGGGACCCACGGCCGCAGGCGTTGTTTCGCTTCAGGAATCTGTGTAATCTGTGCATTCCGCACGGTGCTACTGCGTCCTTGGCCATTCGCCGCCCTGGCGGCTTGGCTGAAGCTCTGCACATCTCCGCACAGCCCTCCAGAACTCAGAATAGAAACTTTTCGAGCGTTGCAAGACGCGGTGCCGACTTCATGATGCGGTCCATGTCCTTGTGCTGTGCTCCTAAGATTTCAAGCCGCGGACCCAAGCTGCAAGACCTTATTGTTTTTTTTCAGTTTCTTTGTCGTCGTTTTTCCTCACAGTCAGCCTTGCCAGTTTCAAAGTATTCGGGGCCAAGACAACCAGGGCCTCAGGATGTAAAAGCCGAAAATGAACAACCAAACTTCAGCTCATTATGGCTTCAACTTATGTCGGGTGCGGTGCAAACTTCCGCAACGGGCAGCCAGATGTGGTCTGGTGAGCAGAAGCTCGGCTGGAGCTGCTCTACACTTGAGCGGGTGATGACGAAGAAGGAACTGTGGACAGGTTACTTCCACGCCGGATTGACGAAACCGATGAAGGTGGCGACGGCTACGACACGTGCTCGGTCGTGAACAGCTAATCTTCAAACGATAACGGTTACTACAACCATTCGGAAAATTTTAAGGTTGGCTGTGGTCGATCCAGCCAGGATGACATTGACCGGCACTTATTCTCGTGATCTCTCGTGAGTTTTGTTCTGATTTGGCAAGATTCCGCTGAGCTTGTCACAGAGATCTGCATCGTGCTGTCCACACCTGGATGCATGAATTTAATGCGAAGTCAACAAGCTGGCCTAAGCCTTGCACGGAATACCCAACCCGCAGACCACCTACAGAAGCACAACACAGAGACAGAAAGAGAGAGAGCGAGAGAGAGAGAGAGAGAGAGAGAGAGAGACAGAGAGAGAAGGAGAGAAAGAGCGAGGAGAAGCTAGGTCAGCTAGGCAAGTTACGAGACTGCGATACCAGTACCCATAAGAAGTACTCGCAAAGCGGACCCTCATGCAGAACAAACCTGCAAATGACGACTAGCGCTAGCTGATCTAGCATGGCATCCCCGTGTGAAAGGCAAAGCCGCTTTCTCCTGGCAGAAGTCCCCAGCCTGGTTCCAAGCGCCTCCGCTTCTGGAGACGCATCGGAAGCGAAGGATTCAGAAGCCTGCCAGATGCAGCATCAGCATTCTGTACAGCACAAGCAAGTTACGCATGCTGGAAAGGAATCTGAAGTAGCAACAAAGCAGGAGTTGGATCAGATCAGGCGACGGAAACGATGCCTCTCGTTGGGAGCGGGAACACCTAAGCAGACCAGGCCTTTTCCAGGCGATTCTCTAAATCCCCAAGTTTGCCTGCACGAGGTTCCTGTAGCCAGTGCACCGACAGATGTTGCCATCGTAGCTTTGCATCGACTCTTCCGCCGTGGGCTTGCCACCCGCACGCAAAAGCGCATAAGTGTTCATGACCTGGGGAATTGAGGATTCTACAGGGGTCCGGTTTCCTGTCTACGGGTTCAGATGCGAAGCCAAACCATGAATCGAGACCACGGACCAACTACAAACGGAAAACAATGACACGAGCGCCAAGGCGTGTTTGTATCGTTGTTGATGATGATATATGTTGATGCGCATGATAACCATGGCAATGAATGGGGGAGCAATCATGAACCATGATCACCGCGAAAAAGTCAAAGCAACACGAACAGTTATTGCAATGGAAGCCATCTTGCATACGACATACACAACGGCAACGGCAGCAGTAGTCGCGGTAGGACGAATACTTATACTTTTACTTTTACTTATCTTATACTTATACTTGTACTTATACTGCTACTGCTACTGCTACTACTGCTGCTGCTTGCCACTGCTACAACTGCTACTACGTACTGGTACTACTACTGCTACTACTGCTACTACTTCTACTACTGCTACGACGACTACTACTACTGATTACTACTGCTGCTTCTACGACTACGACGCTCACTACTACCACCACAACTACTAATTATGGCTACTAGTAGCAGTAGTATTAGCAGTAGTAGTACTTGTAGTAATAGTAATCGTTGTTGTCGTGTTAGCAGTGGCAGTAGTGGCAGAAGTAGTGGCACCGGTAGTCGCCCTCTTGCTGCTGCTAGTACGTCTCCAAATCATCCGACATATGATTTTGGCGTCGCATAGAATACGGTTGCAAAGCTTCATCTGCAACCTGGTCAACACACTTGGGCCTGAACTGTGATGACAACTATCTCATTGCTCCTGCAGACTACCTCCACGACGATAAGAACATGTTGCAGATGTTGAAAGACATGAACCGTTCAGGCAATTCATGTTATGAGGTAGTGGGCCTGACTGCAAACAAAATGAAGCTAAAGCTAAAGATGAGGTAGCGCAACATGGTGCCACATCGCGCTGCGCGATGCTGTTTGATGTAGTACGACAGAAGGGCGGCCTGTAGCAGACTGTAGTTCGATCGATGCCTTGCCGTAAACAGTATCGCACTGCCACGATCATGTAGCACCTGCATGATTTCAGATACCTCTGATCTACTGCTCAACATCGTAAAAGTTAAACCACCAAAACATTACTTAAGTCTACATTGTGCAGAGTGTTATCCCACCAAACCTCGGCTCAAATCCTGGATGCACTGTTTCAGAAAATACCAAGAGCCTACTCCACGTCCCCGAGCCACTCTCTGCTGAAAAAAAAGCCTAACCTAACCGAAAATTCCCACAAGCAGAGCCTACTGCTCCAACTGAGAGCCGAACCATGCCTGGTGTGCAAAAGCCGCACTGCATGCCGTGATTCTCGGCCTTGGCTCAAAACACTTCGGGGATCGCAGACAGACATGGCTGCAAATACTAAAATCGACATGAACGGACGACGGACGGGTCCAGCCCGAGGTTATCAACGCTGAATTGCAGCAGCGGGCAAGTTCCGTTTTGAGCTGCGGAACTCGCTGGTTACAGTGATGCTGCGAGCATACTGTTACTAGTGCCCAGGCACAATTCGCTGCTGCACTTGGTGCAGGCACTTCCTCTCCGTCCCGACACCCTCAACAGTGGTGATGGACGCTCCGTGACAGGCGACCAGGGGCTTCAAACCTGGGACATCTGCAAAGCAAGAGACAAACATAGTCAAGAGAGTTGAAAGATCACTCAAGCTGTACATATGCTCTGGTACGATACAGGATAGTACAGTACAACTGTAAACTGGCATCAGAAGATAGCGCCGCGCAAGAGCAGCAAGTACATCCCAGTTTGGTGTTGTTGCCGTAGCCATGGCAGAAGCAGTAGCCGCCGCAGCTGCTGCAGCAGTAGCAGCAGTGGAAGTCGCATTATGGTATCACTATTACCACTAGCACTGCCAGTACAAACACTGCTGTTGACCACAATCTTGCATTACACCGCACACAGCTTACGGCATAATTCCCAACCTATACTCTGTGGCATTGAAGGTCATGCAGGACTTGGTTCATAAGCCTGACCAGCATCACTACTAACAGTACACGAGCCATCGTCGACGTAGTAGCATTCGCAATGGCAGTAGAAGCAGAAGCAGAAGCAAAAGCAGTAGTAGCAGTAGTAGTAGTAGTAGTAGTAGTAGTAGTAGTAGTAGTAGTAGTAGTAGTAGTAGTAGTAGTAGTAGTATAGAAGTAGTATAGAAGTAGTATAGAAGTAGCGGCAGCATATGGGGGAAATAGGAAGAAAAGGAGCAGCGGCAGCAGCAGAAGGAGTGGCAGTGAAGCAGACGGGCAGCTGTACCAGCCGAAGGTGCAATGGAAATCTTACTCTTACAAGTGTAAGCAGGAGTCAGCACTATTCTTTGTGAAAGTCTTGAATATTTACGAAATCGCGCGAGCAATAATTGCAAGAGTGGTCCTCATCGTTCCGACTTGTCAACCAAGCATGATAGCTGAGCTCAAAACAACTGTTCACCGATCGATATCTCCACTGCGAGGTGGCCATGTCGTACTCTTGGATAGCAACCTCAAAGGGCATAAGGGTCGGAGCAGTCTGAGACAAAATGATGGAAGCCCCCAAAAGGTGACCGTTGAGTCCTGACTTCGTGTCTTGTGGGGAACCCTGGCTGCAAGATTTGTCCACCCCAGCAACAACATTACTTGGAGGTCTGAGGGGTAGGTATCCTCCGGGCTTGCGGGTTCACGATACGGGAAGTTTGGGATTCTCATTCCAAAATTAAGCTTCCGAGAGCTCTCGACTTCTGGAAGCTCAAGGTTTAGTCTTTGGGGTGAGAACTTGAAACAACCCGAAACAACGCGAACTGCTGATCAGAGCAACGACACAAGCGCCACAGCCTCCCTGAAGACAGCTCCTGTTGCGATTCTCGTCCGTTTTGGGTGTCAGTCGACGAGCAACTCAGTAGTGTGCTATTTAATATCTAATCACAACGGTTCTTGTTCCATGGCCTTGCATCGTACATTACCCCCTATGCTGTGTGGGTTTCTCGGCAGGCTTAACAGCTGGGGGCCTTTAGGCGGCCGTCGAAGCCTTCTATCGACAACCTAAACCGCGTGACACGCTCATCACAGGCTCTGAGTTCTGCTACTCGCCCCACTTGCTGGTATTTTTGGTTGCCGAGTCATTGAAGTCGACTTCGCACCACTTGTCGGACTTAGGATGTTGGGTTAAAGCTGGATTTTGGATTTGGGCTGGCCTTGGCCCTGGCTCCTGGGCTCCTGGGCCTGGCCCTTGCCGGCCTCCCGGCCTACGACGTTAGAACCTGGGCACCTCGTCCAGAACATTCCAGATACAGCTGTAAGCCATCTCCTGGTACCTCCAGCAAACCCCGATAGATGAACCTGCTCATCTTGCAAGCCATACCCTGGTACTTGGGTCAAGACCCCACCCAGAACCCGACGTACCAGCCTACAGATCCTGCAAGCCGTTTCGGGTGCCACATTCTGGGAATTGCACCAACACCCGGCACACAAACCTTAGGATCCCACCAGAATCTGCCAGGGCTTCTGCTTCATTAGCTAGTATCTTCAACTTATTACTTCGTATGGCTTCGCGTACCTGCATGTTTGTGTGGCCCTCGTTTCTTGTTGCGTCGTTTCGGCGGGCGGAAGACCCAAAACACCTCAAACTCGCCAAGGTTGAGGTGTTGGGTGGTTAAGTTGGGCCAGGGCCTCGACAACCGCCACGAGGAGCCTCGAGCCGCAGAGAATGCTTCAGCAGGGGGGCCCGCACCTCCTTTCTGACAAGGGTTCCCCCGCCAACCCTCACGACTTAGGGCTGCCAAAAGGGCAAGGATACCCGCCCCCCAACCTGCTGGGACAGACCGTACAGAAAGCTCACTGCCTCTTGCCACAAAAGCCCATCACCCGCTTCCCACACCTCGAGCCTTAAACCCAAACAAACACTAGAGACAGTGAACTCAAGTTAAGTCCTAATCCCTGAACCGTCAGCTGCGGCAACTAGGACGCAACTGGGCGCAAGTGGGGCGCAAGTGGGGCAATCAGGCTTATCGTTCACCGGATAAACGATCACTGATGGGCAAGTGAAGCGATAAACGTTACCGTAGTGGCTCTAGGGTGTGTATGCAATGTGCTCGTAACGAGTAGCAATAATCAGGCCTGGGACATGGGCGATCCTCGAAGAGAACTATCCAGACTAGCAATCACCAAGAACGATCACCAATGCCTTCTTACCGATTTCGTGTCAAGGTTCTGCCTTCAAGCTCTCACTTCGGCTCCTTTTTGTGCCAGTCAGCCCCTTTGAATCCCGCAGGAATTCGATCAGCATCTGGCGTGGATCAGCTCCCACAACTTCCACGAGCTCGCCATTCAGGTGGAACCGGAGAACTTCCTCAGGACTCGCATAAGTCTGACGTGTCCGCTCCCCGAATTTTAATGAACAAAACCCTTCCCTTACTAGCTGTCTTCATCCCTTCCGACAGCCTATCCAAGCTGAAGATGGCTTCGTGATAGGAGCCCGAGTCACCTAGACTACACTTGACTACACTCCAAGCTGGAGATATTAGTGGAGCCCTCAAAATCTCACGGTCCCCAACTTTGAACCCTAAACCGCATTCAGGGATCCCGGAAGCCTCAGCATGTCATAAACACCATCGCAGGCCCTTGCAAGCCCCGACTCATCCCAGAAGGGCTCTTCGGGAGGTCCAAGGAGCGCTGCTGAGTTGGCCGACTCTCGGCGGAGGCAGGTACTCTGGCATTGCGCCAGGCTCTAAAGGGGGACAGGCCCGCCACGGGATCTTGAGCACGCTGTGTGACCGTGGAATGAAGAGTCTAACGTAGGAGTAAAGAGTAGCATTAGGAGTAGTGGGAGTAGCAGTCGGAGTCGGAGTGGGAGGGTGGGAGTGAGAGTAGACGAAGCAGCAGTAGTAGTGGCAGTCGGCGCAACACCAGCAGCGGCAGTGGTGGTAGTGGTGGCATCAGCAATGGCCTTAGCAGTAGTTGCGGTGTAGCAAGGGCGCGGAGTTGCAGTGGCAGTCGCAGTAGCAGTAGTAGCAGGGGTAGTTGTTGCTGCTGCCGTAGTCTTAGTCGTAGTCGTAGTCGTCGCGAGTCAGAATCAAAGGAATAGCAAGAGGAAGGGAGGAAAAGAAGGCGCAAAAGTAAGAGCAAGAGAGGGGGGGCAACGGTACTAGCAATAGCAATGGTAGCAGTAGTACTAGCCGTCATCGTCGTAGTAATAGCAGACAGCAGTAGTGGTGGCAGTAGCAGCTTCAGTAGTGGCACTTGTACGGACCTACATAAAACCTAAACCAGGTTCAGGACCCAAGGTGCAAACACATTGTACTCTGCACGGAGCTGCGCCCGCTGGAGTATCTTAAATAACTTCTGCCTTTGGCAAGGCCGTTTGGCCACTCAAAATTTCTCTTAAAATGGCCCAAAACATGTCCAGCCATTTTGCTACCTGTCCGCGGTTAGTGATGATAGCATCAACAAGAAAAGGCCGACAATAGCAACAAGGAAGCCTCCAGGATTGGGTTCCTACAAGAAGTGAATTTCACCAGGTGCAGGAGCTCACTTCACAAGAAGCCGATGCAATTGCCACATGCGCTTGCGCGCAGCCTTGTAGATCCTGCATCGAGGTAGCGCATGTCAGGCTCCAGAGAACTCAAATATGTCTTTCAGACACCATGCTGCGGGAACCATGTACACAGACTCCTGGGGCGATCAATAGACAGACAAAAACAACCCTTACGTATGTGAAACAGGTTAGATACGAAGAATGACGGCGGCATGTTCTTCGTCAGTTGTGGCAACGGCATCGTAATCATACTTCGGGCCTTCAGCAATAATGGCACTACTACTGCCAGATCAAATTAGAAGAATCAGAACGACTGATAATTGCAGGCCTTAGCAACACGCGCAACATTCATGGCAATCCTGCCTGGACTCCTGCGATGTCACAGCTCGAACGGCACGCAGATGCGCTGGAGTGGGATGGCAATGGCTGTCGTACTCCTTGTTCCTGAAGACTGAAGCCATGGACCAGGCTTTCTAGTTCGTGATTGAACATAGGCAGGATTTGAATCATTCCACAGAAGTGGTCAGGTTTGAGCAAGTTCGTTTTGGAGTGGCGTAGAGAATTCGTGCAGGGCCTTGCGTCCCAAGAGTCTTGTTCAGCTTCACCTTCCCCAGGTTCAGGAACGCGTCTGCCATTTGTGGAAATGCCGCCGCAGCCACCTGCACGCTACACTTACGACTATGACCATGACAATTACAACCAATATTTCTGCAGTTGTCCGAGCTGCATACGTATCAACTGGCGGCATGGTCATCACTAACTGCAGTACCTCATACATAAGGTTGAAGCTCTGCTACGGTTCTGTCGACTTCTGCTGCTGCTGCTGCGGTTCACAGTGATCCAATGATCCAAGCAACGACAGTGATGCTGAACATGATGCTGATGATTCTAAGTAAGGTGGCGACGATGACGACTAGACTGCAAGAAGTGGTACAAGCAGTCGTCGTACTGGGTATAGTCGGCCACGGCATACAAAGCCGTTTGCCAGTCAGATTATGCCTGTTTCGCTTGAGCTGAAGCAGGCACCAGCAATATCGATTCGTCACTGCCAGTTCTTCCTTGGGTGTGAGCATTTTGCTGGCATCCTTGCATCCAGCCAAAGCGAGAAAAGAAGGCCCCAAAGGCAACGACGAAAGCATCTGGGTTGACAAGGCCGTAACGGATCTTTGTATGAAGCCCCACGGACTCCAAGCTGAAAGCTGCAAGAAGCCAAAGCCGAGATCTCCAGGTCATAAGGCTGTAATCTAGACCGTAGATAATGAGTAGCACGCTCCGCACGCTCCGCCATGTCCTCTTACTATTCTCGTGTGTTTGTTCTTGGGTGCACATGGCCTTGGTGTCAGCTCAAGGTTTTAGTTGCCTTGGAGACTGTCGGTTTGCATTCTCTTTCACCTTGATGTGGCTCGTCAGTTTGGGGAGCGACATACAGTTTAGCACCCATGAAGGAACTATCTTACAGTACTGCCAAGATCTTCTATCGAACTTGTGGTGGCCTTGTAGGACTCGGGCTCCTCGATGATCAGGGGAACGCACTTGGACAGGTGAGCCAGAGTCTGGCTCCAGCCTTTGACGCGCTCCTGCAATGATAGCGATACGTTGCACGAGTACCACAAATAGCAACATCAGCAGCGCAGCGAGTGGCAGACAACACATGCACACGCAGTTTCGTCAAGGAACATGTCTTCAATAACAGGATCGCCTGAGGGTAAGCCTCGGGGTGTCAAATACACTTGCTAATTGTGAGCTGTCTAGCTTCACATTTCGAGATGAGACTTCCTGTGCATTCCTCACAATGCGAGGATTATGTATCTGGATAGGAAGAACGGTTGGGCTGTGGCGTAGTCCAATTTCTGGTTTTCCGACAGGAGCTTATCCTCTGCAGATGGCAGATGTATGAGGCGCTTCAGCTTCAGAAAATCAAATGCCAGTCTTCCAGACATAGCGTATCGAGAGATCAGGCTCATGCGAAACCCTGAAACCTAAAGCCTAAATGAGTCGCGCTGCCCACACCCCGAACTCCCCAAATCAGAACGGGCCCCTTCTGAAGGCACCTGATTCGTCTCAAAGTGTTCGATCTCGCCTGCAGCGTTGCAATCGCCGATCCTGACAGGCAGCGGAAGCTGCAACTCCTCCGTGAGTTTAACGTAGGGTTTAGGAGGGTTGAATGCCCTGGATCTGCCAGCGCCTGCGGAAGGGCTCGTCGGCGCAAGCGTGGCCAAGCAGCTCGTTCTTCAGCTTCTCCTGTGGGCCAAGACTTATTTCAAGGACCATGTTGTGAACGGCTCTTGCATTCGCTCCGGAGGCACGTCGGCCACACAGGTGGGCGCAGAGTTCAGCTTCCCGACCAGCCGGTACGAGTAGCAGGACAGGACTCGCGGAACGGGATCTCGGAAGATGGTCACCTGAAGCTGGGCTTAAGGCCCTGGGTATCGATGCTCATCAACATGTCTCCCAAAAAGCTTCACGCACAACGTACAACGTAGAGGTAAACGCAGAGATAGTTTTGCAACAAAGACGCATGGACAAACAAAAAAACGGGGTATCTGAACAAAAGCTTGGCCAAAACGCATTCAATTCTGATTATGCTTGAGACTGGGCAGGGGGGCGGGGGGGGGGGATACATCCGACTCAACTCTGGCTCAGCAGAACAACTGAGTTGAGCACGACAGCAAGTACACACGTTCTGAACACTCAGCACTGTCTCGAGGGTGGCATTCCAACTTCGAGGCCATTACAATTCTCATGCTGGCATTCGACATTCGGGAATATCAGCAGGGATGTTTCATCACAGCATCAGTATCACCCACCTTCTTCGCTCATCATATGAAACGTCATCTTCATCATGATCATCATCGCCATCACCATCACCCTCACCCTCAGCATCATCCCGACCTACATTAACATCGGCATCATCATCATGATCATCATCAGAAGCAGCAGCAGCAGCAGCAGCAGAACCATCATTATCAACATCATCCTCATCATCATCGTAAGTGTCATTGTCACCGTAATCGACATCGTGACCACCGCCATCATCAGCTTCATCATCATCATCATCATCATCATCATCATCATCATCATAAAGCCAGCATCATAATCATCCGCAGCACCATCGTCATCGACGTCGTCGCCATCGCAATGCCATAGTAAAGCCATAAGCAACAAGAGCATCTTAGCTTTCGCACCACACTCATAATGGTCGGTGAATTCAGCGAGTTCGACATCCCAGCATGACTGCGGCAGCAGCATCGAAGGTACTAGTAGCAGCAACAGTGGGCATAAGCAACATCAATTGCATCGTCAGCACCATCAGCAGCGGCATCACCAGCAGCAGCAGCAGCAGCAGGTTCACCATCATCATACGATGACAGCTACCATCATCACCACCATCTGACATCAACGTCGGTCCTCATCCTGGTGTTGCCAATCTCCCCCGTAGGAGAAAGGCTGAAACTTCTGTCTCGAGCGAAGTGGCGCAGGAGAAGTCGTTCACACCGCGGCGGGCAAAGTCCTTTGCCAAGGAGGTCCAACAAAAGTGGCCTCCATAGACTGCAGCGTTGTGGCCAACGGTGTTGTACTCCTCACTGCCAGGAAGGAAAGGGACTGTGGTCAGGGCCTGAGTTCAGGAAGACACGACAATCCCACAGCATCGATTGAGGCCTGGAGCACGAAGCGGCTAGCCGTCCTAAATCCCTGCTCGAGCTCGAGGTCTTTCCTACAGCCGCTGAACCCAAACCTCTCCTGGCAGTCTACGTCGTGGCACGGGATGTAGGTCTTCAAACCTTGGCTGCTGAATAAACTTCATGCTTGATGCATAGACCACGCAGCCTCAGCTATGGAGAGGAGAGGCCAAGATTGTAGGCCGCCTCGTGAAGCTCCTGCCTCAATGAGGTGCCTCCAGACTTGGCCTCTGCTGCCAAGGAGTTGCCCCCGGACTTCTGGAAGGTTCAGGGCTTAGGGGCTTGGGGTTGTGCAAGTTGTGCCTGATGCATGAAGACCAAGGGATGCTTGGGGGAGATGTTGGAGTTGACATTCACCGGCTTGGCGGAGAGGAAGCCATCGATCAGCTTGTTGATCTTGACGCCCGCCAATCGGGGACTCCTGGGCAATGTACAATTGCTGCGCCGTGGACGAAAACTACATGCCAAAGGAAAACCCCTAGTTGCCACCATTTGCGGTCTAAGCCTCAAGCTCTCGCTGAACACACTGGGCTTGATTGGGATCTGACGTCTCTGCTCTCTCTCCGCCATCCTTCGTGCCCGCATCGCCATTCGTTCCTCGAGCACCTCCTGATGCTGGCGATGCTGGCGGAGCTTTTGCCTCTCTCGGCGCAGCGCCTCTTTGCTCATCGCCCTTTGCTTTGACACCTCCTTCGTGGCTTCCTTAGCCACTTCTTCTGCCACCTCCTCGGCCACCTCATTGGCGGCATCTGTGGCTGCCTCCTCTGCTACCTCCTGTGACTCATGCAAGGTCTTGTCCGAAGCGAGATCAGATGCCTTGTCGAACGCCTTGACCAGCGCATGGTGGATGGCTGCTTGCGCATCCCTCTCTAAGAGTTCGCGAGAAGTCTTGTGCACGTTCTTCTGCACGTCCTGGACGGACGGCCGTAGCTGATCAGTGTGGAGCTCGGCCTCCCAAACAGGGGCACACAATTCTACAGTCCTTAGCTAATGCCCACAAGGCCCGACGCGAGCATCTGATATGACTGTCCAAGCACAGCATTTGGTTTGCAGTCGGCTGCAAATATGCCTATGACGACCCAACACGGATGAAAGCAGCCTTAAAGGAGCCGCCCCGGCCTGTGCCACACTCACAAGCGCAACCAGCAGCCACCGCATCATCTCAGCCTGGACTCTCTTGTCAGGAGTGTAGCATCGCTCAGCGGGAGCTCTGGTAGCGCCGAAAGCCCCAACGCACGGCTGCAAAGGGTGTAGGATCAAAAAAACACCTTTTTCGGATATGTAATTTAACCTGCAACAAGCAAAACAAAATCAAACAGTATAAAGAAAACAGATACGCCTCTGCTGCCTGTCTTGTTCAGTCGCAAGCTACGCGCAGGCAGATGTTACTTGGCGGCAAACTCTTGCAGAAATCCGATTCACATGGTCCTGTTTTCAGGTCACGGCGGCCTCACGAAGCCGGAAATCTTAATCTTATGCGATTGCTGGCTTCGGTGACAAGGTTCAAGAAGAATGACAATAGTAGTAATATTAAAATCTTGAAGGTACTAACAGCATTGATACTATTTTTGAGCTATGAGACAAACAATAGTACCTAATACTACGAAAAATACTAGTAGTAGCTGTAGAATATTGGTATTAAAAATGACGGTAGTGTGTAGTACTAATCTTCATAAAAACGGAAACAATGGTACCAACAATGATTGCGAGGAAACACTACTCGTAATAACAGGCAAATTAATGAATAGTATTGACAGTCAGAGTGGCAACAATATCTCGCTGTAAGAACAAGAGTACTAGCAGTAACAACAAAAACATCGACAATACTTACAACTAGCACCAATGCCAATGGTAGTACGTAATTGACATAATAGTAACAACACTAACAACAATGATTGTAATGACCATCATCATAGAAGGGCCAACCAATCATAAGAGTTATACTCGTACCAACAGTACCACTGGTACCCGCAGAACTGTAAAATCGTAGTAACAGCAACAATGACAATAGCTGTGAATGTTAAAACTAGCAATAATAGTACTCATCTCGCAGTACTAGTAATAATGATAGTAATAGTAGGACAGGGAGCAGTCGGACATAAGGTTTTCTTGATCTGATCCCGCAGAAAGTATTCTGGCTGTGTTGCTTCAACGATATGGTCTTTATTGGTATTCGGCAACAGCTCTCCCTCCCCTTGAGGTTGCATCTTGTGGTTCCTTTTTGACGCGAGCGTTCTTGATCCAGAACCCGCTGACAGCCCCAGATCTCCTGACACCAAGACGATGCAAACCCGCAGTTCCCAAACTCGACTCCCGCCAATGGCCAACACCCACCCCCTCCCTCATTGCGGCTCCAGCCTCCCCACTCAAGCGCCCCGGGGGCCGCTGTAGACCCCAAGGACCTGGCGCTGCTACAAGTACTTGCTTTCTTACTGCAGCTGCCTGGATTCGTTGCCGAGTGTTGAGGTTTAGGGCTGGGGTTTAACTCTATGACTCTGTGGAAACTTTACATCGAAGCGAAGGTGGCACACTCACGTCAGGCCACGGCCGCTCCGGGCGTGTAGGAGCAGCAGAAGACTGTGACTACCGCGACTGGGATCCTGCCGAAGAGATAACTCTTGACCGGTAAGACTCCGATGCCTAGTAGTGGTAGGATTTGGCATAGTAGGTGGGAAGCAGCAGCAGCAGCAGCGGCAGCAGCAGCAGCAGGAGTCGTGGGAGTAGTAGTAGAAGTCACCACCATCATCAACATCACCGTCATCATCACCATAAACATCGACACTTTTGACATCATCGGTACCATCGCCATCAACGACAGCATGATCATCATCGCCACCATCATCACCAACAGCAGCAACAACACCAGCAGCAGAAGCAGCAACAACAACAACAACGACGGCAGCAGCAGCAACAACAACAAGAGACCGCAGCAGAAACAACAACTACAGTGACTACAGCCGCAACAGCAATAACAACAACTGCAACGACAACGACGACGACAACAGCAGCAGCAGCAGCCACAACCACAACCACGACCAGAACCATAACCATAACCCCAACAACCACAACAGCAACAACCACAACAACAGCAAAATAACACAGTCATCATGATCATAAGGCTCATCATCGTAACCATCATCCTCACCATCGCCATCATAGTAATCAGCATCTAACTGCTATAGTCATCGTCGTTTCCCTCGGCCTATTCATCGCTGGCCACATCATCAACCACAACAGCAAGGCATCGCCGCCGTCTCCCGACTTCACCACAGCTGATGAAGATGACTTTGGCCCGGTCACGATGTTCTTGACTTCAAACCTTACGCCAACCCATGAATCCTAAGCCCTCAACCCTTCCTCCACCGCACAACCCGAGCGCCTTTAGGCCGATGGGGATCAAATGGACGGTTCGTTTGAGCCAAGCTGAGGATCCCACGCAGGCACAGGGCCCATCATGAGGCCTGCATGGTGTAAGACTACAACATTTAAGTCAGGCTGATGGTAGTATAAGACTAGCAGTGACAGCAAATGACAAGCAACAGCAGGAATGATGATGACAGTACTTGCCATAGCAGTAGTCATGCCTGCAATAAACAGCCAGTGCCTAGACGAGCAGCAACATTCACACATGTCAGGCTGACGTTCGTTCGGGCTTGGCTAGGGCTTGGGGTGTGGAGTCTTCAAACATCGGGCCTCGGGCATGTGGAAGGCAGCTGCAGGCTGCGGGGTCATCATCGATACTTCCAGCAGGAGCACGCCCACAGCCCCGTCAGCTTCAGGCAGCTTCATTTCTGGGCCGCATGGCACCTAAATCTAAGCGTGGAGCGGCTCCACTTTGTGGTAAGCTCGCTCGAGGTGGGGCCACTTCAGCCTCCGCACCAGCTATCAAAACATTAAAAGTCACTAGAGCTTCAGTTCTTCCTTCAATCGCCACACTCGCTTCTTGGCCGCCTTGTACATCCTCGCAGCATGGATCATGGTTGGAACAAGAATGCAAGCGCCAGGCAGGCCTTGCCGTTGAATGCAGCTGAGGCGCTTGATCTCATGTGACGCTGCCTCCTTCACGGCCCGAACATGAGCATTTGTAATTTTGCAATGATGGTCGTACTTCTTGTTCCTCGGTGTGCAGGGTCTCTGGTATCGGGCTGACCTCTGCACAACCAGGCTGGACAAAAGGGGAGCTGGCCGAGAGTCTTGTTCAGCTTGACCTGCCTCATCTGGTGAAAAGCATCGGAAAACTGAGGGAAGAGGTGTCCCGCGACCTGGAGCATGGGCTTCTGTTTCTTTTCGTAACCTCTGAAACTCGTCAGCCCCGAAACACTAGAACACTAAACCCTGGACGAGATCTCGAAAGCATGAACCATACAACTAACCCCCTTACAACCCCCCATCCGAGGAGCCGACTCTCTACGGGCTTGACCCTAGAATCCTACCCGGTCCCACCCCCTGCATCTTAACCTACATAGCCCAAACGCAAACATTGAGACAAAATTATGTTGCAGCATAACGACTGGATCCGGATCAGTTTCAGTTATGGATGCTCCATGGTTTCGACACGGTGTGCGTTCATGGTTTCTTTATGGATTGACTTTACGTATGGTATTCATGTAGTTTTGTTTATGTTGGTTGAGTGCTATTGCTTCTTTTTCTGCCATGACTTCTTTTTCTGCCATAGACTTTGTATCCTGAAACTGAAGGAGTGACACAACCATGCATGCCAAACATAAACAAACCGTTTGAAAAATCCACAAAAGACATTCCCAAGGATGCCGCAATCCTTTGCACACATCAACACGTCAAAGCTAACAGATCAACTCTGTCGAAGGTATCGCCCGCCTTGTAGGACTCCGGCTCCTCCGGTTCAGGGTTTGGGGTGTATTGTTCCAGCTGCTGAAGCTTTCGGATTTCGGAAAAGCAGGTAGGTTTAGGGTTTCGGGATCAGCTTTCCAGTATTATCACTCAAAAACAGGTTTCGAGTTGGGCAGTTTCGGATCTATTGTGGGTTTACGGCGAGGGTTGTGCTACGAGGACACTTGCAGAATCGCAAAATCTGCAACAGCTTTGTATGGTCAGCCAGAAACGCCGAACGTTTACCCAACACCCGTCCTCCGTGACAACCCAGGTAAGGCCAGCCTTGTTCCCCGAACATGCAAAAACAACACCTAAAACCCTTAGCTTCGCGGCTTCACGGCTGCTTTCTTCTTGAACCCTCAACCCCGCTGTGTGTACTCTTCAGACTCCTCCAGGATGATCGGAACGCAGCCGGCGAGGTGGGACAATGTCGTCTGCCAGGCCGAAACCTGCGCCTTGCCGTGGAGAGTCATGAAGGGTGACTTGAGAGCGAATCGACGAAAGCCTAGGGGGGAGGGAAGTGGCAGCCAAGTACTGCAAATGCCAGCAGACGTTGGCAAGCGACTGTGAATGCTGCAGTGCTCCTTGTATGCTGCGCTGCGAACTGTCTCATACATAAACCTAAGGCTGCGCTGACAACGCATTTCAAATCTCGTTCCTCGATGCAAGAAGCCATAACAACGGTGAATCGCTTGTTTACCCTCGGGTGTCTTTCTTTCTCTCGGTTTCTTTAGTTCTGTCTTGATTTGTTTCGTTCATTGTGTTTGTCTGTCTCGCTATCTCTCTCTCTCTCTCTCTCTCTCTCTCTCCTCCCTTCTGTCTTGCATTCCTTGCTTTTTGCATCTATTGATTTCTGTATGTATTTATATTATCCGGTCTTTGTCGCGTTGTTTCGTTCTTTCTTTATGTCGTTCCTTCTTTGTGTTATTCGTTATTTCTTTCGTTCGGTCGTCCTTCATGTTTGTCTGTGGCTCCGACTCCTGCTTTCTGTGATTACTTCGTTATTAGTTTGCTTATTTCTGTCCTTCGTTCTTTCTGAATTTATCTATTTCGTTACTTCTTTGCTTACGCATTTATAACGTTGTTTCTTTATTTCGTTATCGGTATCATCCCTCTCTTCTCTCTTGCATGCTTTCACTAAGTCATCTTTTGTTACTGGCTCCTTTCTGTCGTGCGTTCTTTCCCTCTCTCATCTGTTCTCTCTTTCTTTCATGCGCCCCGCCTCCCCCCGTCCGCCCCCAAAAAATGGGGTCCCCTTCACCCTCCCAAACTCGTCGATGCTTGTGCTTAGCAACGACGAGCCAGAAAAGATGCCTGATCTGTGAACGTGATTCAGCATCAGGCAACTACTGTCTTCACTTTGTGCTACTGCTGTTGTGGTAGTAGTAGTAGTAGTGGTAGTAGTAGTAGTAGTGGTCGTCGTCGTCATCGTCGTCGACGTAGTCGTAGTCGTCGTAGTCGTAGTAGCAGTCGCAGTAGTCGTAGTTGTAGTAGTCGTCGTCGTCGTAGTAGTAGTGGTAGTGGTGGTTGTAGCTGTAGCGGTAGCGGTGGCAGTAGCAATAGCAATAATAGTAGTGGTGGTGGTAGTAGTAGTAGGTAGTACAGTAATAGTAGTCGTCGTCGTGGTACTAGTAGTATTCATCGTCGTAAACGTCGTCGTAGTCGTCGTCGTAGTCGCGATCGTAGTCATAGTAGTAGTAGTAGTAGTAGTAGTAGTAGTAGTAGTAGTAGTAGTAGTAGTAGTAGTAGTAGTAGTAGTAGTAGTAGTAGTAGTAGTAGTAATTAGTAGTCGTAGTAGTAGTAGTAGTAGTAGCAGTAGTAGTAGTAGTGGTAGTAGTAGCATTCATAGTAGTGGCGGTAGTAGAGACTAGGCCCACTCGCCATGACTGCACACAATTCACCGGTATTTACACTACTTTCGGCTTGTTGGCTCAACTCCGACGTCTTTGACCTGCATTGGAACTACATAGTTTGTCCCCCAACAGCGCTGGGACCTGAATGATACATGTTTCTTAGAATCTACAAAAGTACTGTAATTTCCACTACTTCACGCACTACCACGTTGCCACGACTTTGCTCCTGGCACCGGGCGCCCAGTGAGCCCGGTGCGTAGTAGTAGTAGTAGTAGTAGTGAGACCGCTTCGATAGGGAGGGGTGGGGGGGGTTGTTGTTCGTGGATTTGGGGAACAACAACCCCCCTCAGCCCGTGGGCGGAGGCGCGGGGAGCGGGGGGGGGGGTTGAACAACAAGGGGGGGGGGGGGTGTTGTTCGAAGAAACGGAGGGGAAGAACAACAGGGGGGGGTTGAACAACAAGGGGGGGGGGTTAAACAATAAGGGGGGGGGGGGGGTTGTGCTAAGAAACAAACGACAACAACTACTACTACTACTACTACTACAACTACTACTACAACAACAACAACTACTACTACTACTGCTACTACTACTACTACTACTACTAGTACTACTACCTACTAGTACTAATGGTACTACTGCTACTACGACTACTACTACTACTACTACTACTACTACTACTACTGCTACTACTGCTACGACTACTACTACCATCACTACTACTACTACTACTACTACTACTACTACTACTACTACTGCTACTACTACTACTACTACTACTACCAAAATGCGCCAGACCATGGACTTCATTAGGTTTTGGACATGGATGCTCTCCAAACCTCAATGCGCTAGACCACGGACGTCATTAGGTTTTGGACATGGATGCTCTCCGAACCAAAATGCGCTAGACCATGGACGTCATTAGGTTTTGGACATGGATGCTCTCCAAGCCAAAATGCGCAAGACCATGGACATCATTAGGTTTTGGACATGGATGCTCTCCAAACCAAAATGCGCTAGACCATGGATGCCATTAGGTTTTGGACATGGATGCTCTCCAAACCAAAATGCGCTAGACTCATGGACGTCATTAGGTTTTGGACATGGATGCTCTCCAAACCAAAATGCGCTAGAGCATGGACCGCTTCGATAGGGAGGGGTGGGGGGGATTGTTGTTCATGGATTTGGGGAACAACAACCCCCCCACCCCGTGCGCGGAGGCGCGGGGAGCGGGGGGGGGGGGGGGGGGGGGGGGGGGGGGGGGGGGGGGGGGGGTGGGGGGGGGGGGGGGGGGGGGGGGGGGGGCTGGGGTTTGTTGTTCGAAGCAACGGAGGGGAAGAACAACAGGGGAGGGGGGCTTATTGTTCTCTCAAAATAAGAACAACAAAGGGTTGTTGTTCCCCAAATCCATGAACAACAACCCCCCCCACCCCCCGGTCGTAGTAGTAGGCTGGTAGTAGTAGTAGTAGTAGTCAGTAGTAGTAGTAGTAGTAGTAGTAGTAGTAGTAGTAGTAGTAGTAGTACTAGTAGCAGTAGCAGTAGCAGTAGCAGTAGCAGTAGCAGTAGCAGTAGCAGTAGTAGTAGTAGTAGTAGTAGTAGTAGTAGTAGTAGTAGTAGTAGTAGTAGTAGTAGTAGTATAGTAGCAGTAGTAGTAGTAGTAGTAGTAGTAGTAGTAGTAGTAGTAGTAGTAGTAGTAGTAGTAGTAGTAGTAGTAGTAGTAGTAATTAGTAGTAGTAGTAGTAGTAGTAGTAGTAGTAGTAGTAGTAGTAGTAGTAGTAGTAGTAGTAGTAGTAATTAGCAGTAGAAGAAGTAGTGGTGGTCGTGGTGGTCGTGGTGGTAGTAGTAGTGGTAGTGGTAGTAACGCTGGTAGTGGTGGTAGCAGTGGCAGTAGCAGTAGAAGTAGCCCCCAGGCGCCTGGTGTTAACCTCTGTTTTTTTCTGATTTTTTGGGCATTTTGCCAGGGGTGGGGGGGTGGGGGGGGGGGGGTGGGGGGGTGGGTGGGGGCGGGGGGGCTAATAACGACATGGTCGACCGCAAGCAGTAACGCAGTAGCGCCGGCGCCGGTAGCAGTAGCAGCAGCAGTAGGCAGTAGCAGCAGCGCCTCTGGCAAACACAAAACCTCGAAAAAATCAAGGCGCGCACCACCCAATCATCATCCTCACCATCTTCAGCATCATTGGTTAACCTGACCATCACCATCATCATCTTCATAACCATCTTCCTCGCCATCTTCAACATCATCGTTAACCTGACCATCTTCATCATCATCCTCATGATCATCATTTTTATGGTCATCACCATCATACACCCGAGTAAGTAGCTCTTTGAAGTTGGCTTAACTACAATTTCTCAAAACTCTCAAAAACCATTTTACACCCTCGAACCCCTGAAAACTACCAGGCGCCAGGGTGGTAGGACCTGGTAGGAGTAGGAGTAGAACAGGATTTCCGGTGAGGCCTCGTCCGATTTGTGGTGTTCTAGACGTGTCGCCACATTGCAATCTCCGATCCTGCCATGCTTCCCATCAATGGTTCAAACAGCAACAGCTATGTCTTCGAGTCGACGCCCGCAGAGAGCTGTTCAAAATTGTGGGCTTCTTTTAGGAATCCTCCCTGTCTAGCAAACTCCCTTTCGGGGATTGACCGGGGCTCTTTGTTAGGATTCAGAACAACAGCCCTAGACCAATCCATCAGCCAAAGTTGCCAACCCCGGAACCGCCAGAACCTGTATTCGCAGGCTGCAGCTCGTAGAGTCCTCCGAAAGGGCTCGTTGATGCAGGCACCATCGATCAGCTTCGACTTCAGCTTCTCTGGCGGCACATCCGAAATGCAAGAAGGTGCTTTTCCGAGCTGGCCGACGAGCCGGTAGTAATAGCCTGGCGGATTCTGCCAGCACGAACGTCAAATGCCTGGTAACATGACAGCACCTGCACGTATAATACCACGGCAATTCACTCTGCTGGCCAAAAGGACTGAAGCAGTCCAGTTCTGACAGTCGGCAGTGTGTCTTCTTCTTCCTCTGTCAGGCTCGGAGCCTTCGGGAGCATGCCAGCCTTTCGGGCCACAGGCCACCCGATTTGCCAAGGGTTACCGGTCACGACACTGACAACAATAGGGTGCACGACGGACCTAAACTCCTGTCCCCTGTCCCATGAAGCAGCAAGACATTACGAATTACGAACCACAGCGCAAGCATTGCGGATATCCCTTCCGATGCAAATCAAATCATCCTTTGCCGCGAACACCCCGGACGCGATCGATGCTATCCTCTCTCTCCCTTCTTCCCCGGGGCATGAGGGGTGGCTCGCTCTCTCTCTCTCTCTCTCTCTCTCTCTCTTGCTCTGCAGGCATGCGGGCACTCAGCACACGTACTGCATAGAGCCTTCTAACATGCAAACCAGCCGCCATAGTGGCAAGCAGGCAAATCCAGAAAGCAACTCTACAGTATTTGATGCCTCAGGAGCCTTAGGACAGCACACCTGCTTGTCTTCCCAGGGAAATTAATCCTTGCGAATCTCGGCTTTCATGGCTTTCTTAAGCTGAGTCAAGCAGCAAGATGTGGCGCGTGCCACGGGCTCACGGAAGATGGTGACACATGAGAACTGGCGGACCCCATGCCTGTAAAGGTTGTTGGTGGTCGCCTTCCAGCAAAAGTGGCCTCCGTACACCGCAGCTGTCTCACCGTTAATATCAAACTTCTGGCAGTGGACTCCGCCGTTGCAGGGGATGAAGGCGGAGAGGCCATGATGCCTGCTGGTCTGATAGAGAACCTCACGGAGCGATGTCCCACCACTCTTTGCCTGGTGCATGAAGAGAAGCGGCCTCTTTTTCGAGATTTTGTCGTTACGCGCCGGTGGTCGAGCATAGACGAACTTGGCAATCAAGCTGTGAATGCGCTCCGCTGGAGACCTTACATGAGCGACGATAGCTGATCCAACCCATTACTGACCATTGAGAACAGTCATGACGGTTCGAGCAGAGGATTGAACTTACAGCTTCGGATTGCAGGCATCATTACTTCAATTCTTCAGAGGGCAGCACTGTAGTTCTAGTTAAATAGCGTCCATGTCCTGCTGTCAGAAGGCCTGTACCGTCCGTTTTTGGCAAGGCTAGAATTCTCCTCTATCTGAAGCTCTTCATGGCCGTCCGGAGCGGGTACTTCGAGGTGAAGGTCATCTTCATCCTCCGCATCCCCAAAATCGTCCTCTGCAACCTTGTTGGGATCTGTGCTCTCTTCCGGTTCCTCATCTTCCAGCGGGTGCACGTCTGTCGCTTCATCTTCGGAGACGTCTTTATCGTCGTCATGTCTGGAGACATTGGCTCTTCCGGAGTTGGCCAATGCCACGGACACCACCATCTGCTCATCCAATGCCGACTGCGTCATCTGCAAAGCCGTAAAGACATCATATTCTGCCTGCAGCTGGGCAGAAACAAGCAACGGTTCTAGTTTCCCCTCGACAAAAAATGAACCCGGCTGCAGCACATCTACGTCATCTACGTCTAACACACTTCTTAGTCTGCCTAAGCCGCACCTGCGCACTCGATGCCAGCACGACCAGCAGGAGAGAAAGCATCTTCAGGTTCAGAGCTCCTGTCCGGCCATCACAGGTCATAAGAAAGCCTGCAAAGCCGATGAGAAATCTGATCTTTGTGGAAATTCAGTTGCAGCTCCTTGTGGCAATGCTGGCGAGCTCTGTCTTCGTTTGAAGATCAGCCCCGCTCTATATGTAGGTTCGCTGAGCCCAATGGCTGTTGCACGGCTATCGTCACCGGGAGGCAGTAGCTGTCTCCATATCTGAATGAAACTTCTTGCCTGCAAACACTCTGGAGCCTTCAACAACTCTCCGAACAGCTACAGCTACAGCTTTGGACCCCCCCCGCCACAAGAAAAGGCACCGATTTTGGCTCTCAGCATCCGGGTCCGAAACGTGGCATAACCTGTCGAAGAAGGAGAGAACGTGAGGAATGAGAACCGAGCGGTTATAGGGTCCAACGGGACGTCGCCCTTCAAACGCCGAACCTTTTACCAGCATGGCCCTAAACCCAGCCTGAACCTGGACCACCTCAACCAGCATGCCTTTGAAGCCGTGGACAGGAAGGGGCAAGCAGGCACGCCTCCTGTACCAAACGGCCTGTCGTTGCCAGTCCTTGCATGGTGCAGCCGCATATATGAGGCAGCTATGAAACACACATCGCGCGCAGGCAAACGCACGCGCACGCACGCACCCCCACACACACACACACACCCACACACACACACACACACCCACACACACACACACACACCCGCGCGCGCGCGCAAGAGCACGCACACGCGCACATGCGCACAAGCACACGCACGTAGGTAAAACACCTGCTTTCTGCAAACATCTTTGCCACAGTCTCCATCTATCCATTCATCCGTCCATCATTTCATCTGTCCAAAAGTCCATCCATCCGTCCATCCATCCATGCGTGCATCCATCTCTATATATCGTTCTCTGTTTGTCTCTCCTTCTCTGCTTCGCTCTTTCTTTCCCGGGCCGCCCGTCTGTTGGTTGGATGCACGGTGTTTGGTGCATCAGACTGCTTGACGCTCCGCGGGGCTGTTTGACAGCTTGCAAAGAAAGCAACAGAACATGCAGCATGATACACCATAGATTGAACATAGAATTGTTTCAACTCGCCCCGGGCTGCCAGGTTTGGGGCTTGCGACAGGTGTTCTGCACTTGCCCTACTTCGTCTCGGATTAAGACACACATGCACACACAGTCACCATAAATGTTCACGAACACAGCTGCAGTACAGTTTAACGTTGGCACGTCCCCTACTACTTACTAGGTAGGTAGGCAGGTAGGAAGGCAGGTAGGTTGCATACGTAAACCACAGTGAGGTGTGGGGTTGCATGGTTCACGTTTGCCTTAGCTCGAGCCCGGAGCACGTCGGCGGCAATGAATTTTGAACAGCAATGCGCTTAGCCGCCCCCCAAGCCCTAAACCCCGCTGCTTCAGGCGGTCCTTCGCCAAGTCACTGCACTTCGAGGCTGTGCCTCGAAACGGCCCATAAAGCTCGAGGTATAAGGTATGTAAGACATTTCGGGGGGTTGGGTTCGAGGGATTTAGGATTGAAGCTCGAGCGTTTGGGGATACTGGTGTTTAGGGAGGCTGTGAGCACAGACATGCGTGTGGAGCTAGGCTTTGGGATCTGGGTGAAGAGTTTCGACTTTGGGATTATCGTTTAAGACTGTTGCTTTGAGTGAATATGGAGGAAACCTTGGCTGTAGCGGGATTAGACAAGGCAGAACACAGGTCTGCACGACCTCTTGCTGTAGCGCCCTGTGATGCAGTCTGCCGGCCGAGGGAGCCCCACACCCCGCAATCTGAAAAAGAACTGACAGGACCCTGAATCGATACCTGAGCTGGCAGCCCAAGAGTCTAATCCCGAAACTATAGGGAATCACCCCAACGGCGGCGCCGAATCCCACATTTCATCTGCTTTTGTCAACCCTTGTGCGGCTATCCAATGACATGCAAGGCTAGGTCTTGTTGATCGAACCCTTCCCCATCAAAGCCAAAAGAAATCCAAAGCTTGCCACAAATGAAAGCCGAAACCGAAACCGCGAGCCCTAAACCCAAATCCTGAACCTTCGGCCCGAACCCGCAGCACGGCAGCATCCCAGCCCCGATCATGACAAGGTTTAGGGTGCAGACAGGGTGCTGGGATGTTTGAAGCAAAGTCTTCACACCCGAACCTTCTTCAGCCAAGCCATACCCCTGGAACACAAAGCAAAGCCCCAAGTCCTCAGTCCGAACTCACCGACTGCTGAGCTTCCTGCTTGCAGCTCGAAGCTTCAAAGCTCGACTCTCCAAGCCCCCGAGCACAGTAGCGCCTTCGGGTCTGAGCTCAGAGCTCAGGGTTCAGGCGGCCCCTAAATTCTTGGGGTTCAAGGGAATTCAAGGTCTCGTTGACTTTCCAAAAGCAGGTTTACTGAAGGGTGTTCCATAAGCTTCTACACTTCGTTTCGGATGCAAGTTTAGGAAGAGCTCCAGGGGTTCTTTGTCTGGGGTTTAACGGTTGAGGGTTTCGAGTTGGGGCAGGCTTGAGGGTTTGCGGTTCGATGTCTTGGGGTTTCAAGTGTTGGGTCTGGTGTTGAAGGCGATCTGCGCTTCCGATGAAGGACTGAATAGTCAGTCAAAGCACCGAGGTTTTCAAGTCAAGAGCTTTGCCCCTGAGTCCCTACGTAGTCTAGACGAGTTTGAGAGCAGCTCATGATGTTCGGGGCTTGGTTCCTTGGGGTTTCCAGGCTTTGCGCCTTTGCGCTTGGCGGCGACTTGCGAGTTCAGCTTCAAACTGCAAGATCCACTCGGCGCAGCGGAGAAATCTTGAGGATCTTGAGGCCTCGCTGCACCCACTGCATAGCATCGTCCTGGTCGAAGCAGCTACGGATGATTCGAGCTTTGCTGTGTGTAACATCGTCATACCGTTGCAACCTGAACCGAAAGACTGCAACCTGCGGCCCGCATCTCATGATTCGGAGATGCCGCCTCAATCCTCCTGAGATCCTCTGCTGCAACAACGCACAGCCTGGCAGGAGCATCCATGAGCATGGCAGATTTGGGGTTTGGAGATCAGGGCCTAGGACCTGCGGATGCAGTTTCACAGCCTAGGATGTTCGGACGTGGGATTGTGAGGAAGCCTTGCACGCAACATTAGCCCGTCAATATCCAATTCCATTTAATTAGGTCCCAAAATCCCTGCAAAATCAAAATCCTAAAAAATCTCAACGCCATCAAGATGCTTGACAACCTGAACAAGCAACGCTAAACGCAGAGAAAGACTCCAAAACCTTAGACACCCTTGTTGATCCTTTCGCTGAGACACATGAACCATCATGCCCAAATTCTCAATCCTAAATACATAAGATGATGCACAGTCGTGAGCACTCCACTGAGCTCGACACTTCAAACCCTGGTACAGGAAAGCGCCGTAGGCCCCCTGAGTCGATGCCTGGAAGAGGTTTTAGGGCTACGGCCGGCGTGCAGAGCATTCGAAGGCTTGCAGGCTTATGCAGGCTTCAAGGCGTACGTTCGAAACGACTGCGAATGCAAAGTCTTGAGGCTCCGAGGTCTTGTCTTCGGGACCGAGGTGCCACGAGGCACCAGCACGATGCTTGCGATTCAATGTCGCGGCCCGCTTAATTACAATCAAGACCCCAACCTCCTCGGCATTCCAGGCGACGGCCTGTGCCAGGATGCAACATGTCAAATGTAGCAAGGGAGGCATGTCCTGCAGAAATGCATAGGCAACAGTACGCAAGTGACTAAACGAGCAAGCTCTACAAGAATCTTGAGCTTGATGTGCATATCTCGGCCTGACGAGAAGCTGCCAGCAGTAGTTGCCAGGCATCCTGTGGTGTCCACATGGAGGGGAGTCTCAGACTGCTCCCAACCGCACTGTAAACTTTGGACCTCAAGACTCAACCTGAAGTGGTCGAATGCTCCAACGATGCCCTGGTCCTCATACAGACCGCACCTACGCAGTGACTTCGCCAGCAACAGCTGCACCTTGAAGGAGCTCACCGGCATTGGCTCAACCAACCATACAAGAACAATGATCGATAGCATGCTTGAGGTTACTATGCCGGTCTTGACTTTTCTCGCGGTTATGCGTCTAAGCGTTCATATTCGTACTATCTATCGTACGAGTGTCATTTCTACTCGGTCACATATGTGTGTCGCACCCATGCACTAGGTCTCTAGGTACCACACCACGGTGCGGCATTCCAAGGCCTCACCGCTGCTGCCGCCCCACACCTGAAGCCGTGGATCGACAGTCTAAAGCAGCTCTCGACTGCCTCTGCGCTCCGACATCCCTCTGTTTAGTCCACTGCCTATGTATGAATATGATATGCCGTGTTATGCTGATGTTCGCCTGCAAATGTCATGAGTGACACTTGCCGGCTCATCCATTTCAACATGTCACATGTCCGGGCAAGTCGGCGATCCGGCCTTCTTGTGCAGGAGTACTTCGGGATCAAGGCTCACCTGAGCAACTTAGAAGGATTGGCCTTTTCAAGAACTACAAGGGCTAGAAGTGCGCTCACTCTACAGAACAAGGTCGGCGGTATGTCAAAACTCCACGAGTTGCCAACAGTGGCGAAAAGCGACTTGGAGGAAGCTGGCCGCAGCAAGATCGGCAGGGCCCGGAAGCGGTTTGAAGCATGGAAGCGAACAGAACCACACTCACGATGGCACTGGGCAATGCATCCACTCCGACCATCCAAGACATGAATGATGATCCGGTGCTTCTTCCATTGAGCGGATTGGAGGATCGGGAATGGCGGCAGCACAGAGGTCTCAGGGCCGCACCTGCAACTCCCTTCCCGTGTCGCCACATAAATCCAGAGCACGTCGGGCAGACAGCACAGCCTGGTCAAGGCGCCACAGACAGCACAACCTGCAGTCTAAGACGATGTGGTGGAGAAGCAATGAAGAGAAGTCCGAAGGCCCTACGGAGCTTTTGCATTTGCAGCTTGGTGTGTCACCAGTTGTCTGAGGCGCCTTCTTGTGGGCGAGCTGGGCATCGTGAAGGCTCCACCTGAACTGATCGAGGCCGGCACCGTCGAAGCGCAACGCTCGGCCTCTCAGCCCTGAGGCCATGGCAGCTCGATGAAAACCTCAAGCCGGTTGCTCTCAGAGCTCAGCGCTGCCCACACCCTGCCACCACTCGCCACTCGCTGGGCTTGTTCTGAACTATCGTTTCGGGTTTTGCTGTTCGGCCCTCCCCTCTTTCGGCCGCCACACGGGAGGCACACAAGAAGAAACAATGCATGATGGCTGCTCACCTGCACGAGCATCCGAAGCGGAAGCTCAACGAGAGCGGTCCGAGGTCGGACGCAGCCAAGACTCTCCCCAGGAATTCATGGGCGCCTCTCTGCTTCTTCCAATTCCCCTCGCATCAGATGCAGGCGGCCCTGGCAAAGCCTCGGCAACTCCAACCGACCGAAGCCTCGCAATCGCCTTTCCCCAGCTACAGCGACACAGCGACACTCGATCACAGCTCTGACGCGTGAAAAACCCGCACAAGATGACGAAACTGCCGAGCTCGCAGCTTGCCAAGGAATGCGTCCTCAGCCCGTGCACCGTCATGGGCCGCAATCCCCAGGTGTGGGTCGAGGGTCCGGGGTTTGATAGGCTTCACAGCTGCTGCATTCAAAAACTTTGGGGTTCTGTATTGAAGAGTTCAGTGGTTTGGGTTTCGGATGGCTCCTCAGCTCCACAACCATCTATGTCAACGCCCGACCTTGACAGAGGCGCGCCTCTACGGCAGCTATCGCTTGTGAAGCTCGCCATGAGCTGAACAAGCTCCATGGGGATGCCTGAGGTGACCACATGGGAGAGGGTTGAGCTGGGATGACTAGGACTACCCATGCAAGATAAGTGCGGCCCATTTGGGCTTAAGGATGGCTTGAGGCTTTGACTCCATGGCAAGCAAGCGACAAAGTAGATTCAGGTTTTTGCCGACCCTACCTACGGCTCAAGTACCAATTTCTTTGCAAGTTTGAACCAACCTTCGAAAGCCCAGGTATAATAGGTCTCCTGCTGAAGCCGCTTGTCGCAGTGCCGGACCAAGTGCAACGGACCAACTGGCGTCGGGCTTGAAGCTTTGTGGAGGAATCTAACTACAATTATGAAAGAGGTCGGAGATGTTGGACTTGTGTTTTCAAACGGAGTTCAAAGGCTTGCTGCTAGGGCGCGTCGGGTTTTAAGGCTCGTGGTGCTGTTCGGCGAGCGACTTCAGCTCAAAGCGCGGTGTGTTGCAGTGGCCTTGTCCGATGCTGTCCATGTAGGCAGTCAGGCAGGCAGAGAGACATGTAGGTATCTCGGTAAGTAGATAGGTAGGCAGGCAGGCCGGCAGATAGGTAAGTTGGTAGGTAGCTGGGGTCGGTCGGTAGGCTATGCGGCTGGGTAAGGATTAACACGAGTGCCCGAAAAGTTGATCGTCCGAGTCTGACGACTGCGTGAGGCAAGCATATGCTTTAGAGCTGAAGGTCCCAACAAACTCTTGTCTTAGATACCTCCCCGAGATCTGACCCGTCCACCGATACGATGCCTTGCGGGCTTCGCAGGTCGTGCCGCGGCACCTGCAAGCATTACGGTCGGATCCTGATATGTGACAGACCTGCCAACTTCAGCCCGAAAGACCGTTCAACTTAAGCAGTAGCCCTAACTACGCCCTAAACTTTTGAATTGAGCCTAAACCCCATACCGTGAACATCCCAACATGCCCAAAGACTGAAGTCAAAACCCTGTTTCCTGATTTTCCTGGGCTGTTCGAGTTTCGGGTTTACCGGTTCGGGGTTTCGGACTTGCGGTTTTGCGCGAAACTATTGTGGACTTCGGTGGACTTCCCAAGTTGTCTTTCAACAAAGTTGTCACTTAGTTAGCCGTATCTTGTTGTACAATTCTTGTTCCTCTTTGGCTTGATAGCTTCAGCTCAGGCCTTGCAACTGTGGGCACTGGGCTACTACAAAACAAGGCCAGCTGACGCCAAGACAGGAATCCAGCTCCGCTTGTAAGCTTTCAGCACAAGGGGAACCATCGCATCCCCCACCGGTTCCACACTCCAACACGCCTACTTGCATGCTGCGGCATGAACAAAATTTCCCTTCATGACGACGCATGAGCAACTTGCAGATGTCACATAAAAAGGCTGGAATGGCAGGAGGCGGGGCTCCCATGCGAGCCGGGACGGTTGCTTTTCTGGACGGCCCAAAGAGTCGTATTCTGCTCGCCGAGCAAAACGTTTGTAGGTTTGCAGCAACAGCAATTCAAGCACAATGTCGGTCCTGCAAGAGAAGGAGGCACCACTGTCGTTAACAAACAGAAGGCGCCCTGCCCTCCACCAAGCAGAACTGTGCCACACAATGAAGAGCTGGCCGCTAGGCGCTTATGGAATTTCGGGCTCAGAAATGGCCTCCCGCCCCCGAAGTGAGGCTAGTTCCCGTGCAACCTCAACTTTGCCCAGCTGCGGAAACCCCACAACCCTGAACCCCTAAAGCCCAGAAAACCAGATATCCACAGCCCCTCAATAAAACACCCAAGCCGGAAGAAGCCACGCCCTCTCCTCTGGCCTTCGGCCCGCCAGGGTGGAGAGTCTTCCCAGTTCCCTGCGCGCGGTTTTGGGCTTCGAGTTCAGGGTTTTCTTTTTAAGTTCAGGGTTTAGGAGCTTGGGGTTTCCGGCAAGAATGTCTCAGCTTGAGTTTAGAGTCTAGAGCTTTCAGGGTGCAAGGTTTAGGGGTCATGGCTTAGGCCAGCGACTGAAATTAAAACGAGGTTTCGGACTTTGTATCACACAACCCTGAAGTCTAGCATTCCCTCAGCGATAAAACCTAATTGCTGTTCGGAGCACAGGCACGCATGAATTTGACAGTTTGCGGAATGCATGGGATATCTGCTGCATCAAAAGCAACATCTGGACGTCAACCTTTTAGTGCGGGAACCCGGAACTCCAACAGATCATGACCGAGGTGCCAGGGGGAGCGCTTCCCAGAGGAGGTGGATACCTTGGTAGCACAAGGTTTAGCGGCTTGGCCAAGCTCTATAAAATAGTGTGTGAATACTGTACAACCTAGCAGTAGCTTATAGCTATATACATCATATACACACTCACACACACAAGAGAGATGGAGAGAGAGGTGTAGAGAGACAGAGAGAAAGAGAGAGAGGCAGAATCAGTGCAGGGCCTGTCTGCTGTGAGGATTTACAGGGGTTGGGTTTGTTTGTCGTTGTGGGTTGACGGCTACTGGTTTACTGCTTTCCAGTTTGGAGCTCAATCAACGGGTTCATGGATTCGCTGCAGCAGTGCAGGCTCCAAAGAGGGGCCAAAGTGTAGCTTGAAAGGTTCAGTCACACGTTTATTCGCAGATAAGGGCCCGGCGTAGCTTCCGCCGAACCGAAACCGACAGGATCCGCCTCAGAACGGGGTCCACAAACAGCAAATCGACACGGCCTCCAACAGCTTTATTTTCGGGCGAGATCAGAAAAATGCCCAAGCCCAGTCCGTAAACCGCAAATGTTGCAAACCCAAACACCTTCAACATCTCGATCAACGAGCCCACCCGTCTGAGTACCCTTAAGCTTGACACACAAGACATGACCTCGGCAAACGTCAATCCATTCGTACGCTAGAGGGACAGCTTTCAGAGAGACATCATGCAATGTCATATTTCAGCGAGTGGGTTGTGCTTGCATTAATTGCGCTATCATGGTATCTGCTCCATGTATTGGAACTTGTGCCTGCATTAGATGGATACTCTAGTTGGCTATGTATATTATAGCGAGAGAGAGAGAGAGAGAGAGAGAGAGAGAGAGAGAGAGAGAGAGAGAGAGAGACACGATCGCACACACACACAGACACACACACAGATACACACACACACACACAAACACAAACACAAACACTCAAGCTCCGTAAGCTCTTGGTGGCGGACTTCGGCAACTCCCGAAACCATTTGCTTCCCGGACCTCAGAATCTGGGGCCGCATAAGTTTTCTGCAGTTGGCTGCCAGCCGCCCGAAATAGTGTGTTGTACATGTGCCGTCCTGGCTGGTGGGATAAGGATGCAGCTGGTTATCACGGCCCGGCCAAGTCCGGCCGGAAGAGGCTTACAACTGAAACAATTGGGCAAGGGGCATTTGCAGGCTTTGAGGGTGGATGGTTTCGTGCTTGTTGGCGAGATCTTTCGTCTGTGCATTACGGAATAGGACAGCCAGCAGCTCTGGACCGCTCCGTCGTGCGATCGCGCCTCGCCTACTTCTGCCGCAATCCTAACCCGTCGCATCACCTTGGCTTGCATGTCAGGTAGGTGCATTCTGACAGTGTGGTAGTACTCGGCGCTGTGATCCAGCGCTGCAAATTGCTGCACCCTTGCCACCAGGTTCCATCGTTCAGCCATCAATTTCCGGACCTTGAGGGGCCTCACAGCACTTCTTGTAAAGGCTTCTGCATACACCCATGACCGACTCACACTTGCTGCGTAAGCCGTGTCTTGCCTGCCATTCGCAAAGGCTTGAAGTTCGCGAAGCGGGTGTGGCTTGGGGCGAGCAACAACGATCCCGAAACCCGCAAAAACCTAAATCCTCGTTCTCAAACCCTCTAACTACCAGTATGGAAAAGACTCAGGCTCAAGCCTTGCCGGTCCATCGCCATAGCCCGGAGGGCGACGGTGAACGAGCTGGTCAGCGCCTGGCACCACAGCCTAACCTTGAGGAACTTCAAGACTTAGGGCATCGGGGGCTCCAACACGTGCAGCCATATAACTTATAGCCCTTCGTCCTTGGTTGCGGAGTAGAAGACTTGAGGCTTTACGGCCGGGAGTTTTTGTTCAGGTCGGGCTCTCCTCATAAAGGCTCGAGGATTTAAACACTAAGACCCAACCGTCAGAAGTCTCAAACTCCCAACTTGCCACAGAGCGAGTTTGCCCGCAACCAGAAGCTCATGTCGTCCAAGCTTGCAGCTCCATGAACGGGTGGGACTAGCAGCAGCAGCTCTTCATGCATGACGTAGCAAGGAACAGACCAAGAAATTCTAAAGCAGACATGACCAGAAGGACATGGGCGACTCTGGGAGCAGAGGTCAGAGGATGCCCCTCCCTCCTCCACCCGAACTTAGGCTCCCACTTTGGCTTTTACCCTTGCCCTTCGTCTGGGCAGATGGCCCTGGCAACTGGCTTCGGACTTAGAGATCTAAAGCGGCAGTGGTAGCTTTGTAATTCTTCTTCAGTGGCACCCATTCTGCAATGGGACCTTTAACTCTGAGCCGCTCTAAAATTCACGATCCCTTGTGAAGCGCTTCTCTGCGATAGCACGCCTGAAAGATACCATGCGCCGCCTGCCTATGAGGAAGACCGCGGAGAGATGCGACTTTGGAGTCTCTGTGAAAAATGCAGAAGCAACCGTGTCGTCGTTGTCATGTTGCGGCCCACAGCGTAGGGTTGAGGGTCCAGAGCTTTGCAGGGTTCGTTCCCGGAACTCCGAGCTTGGGTTTCGGCTGCATCTTTCGGGGAGGTTGCTGGGGCTTTAAGGAGCATTTTGAGGTGGTTTGTTTCTACACCAATGACACAACCACGCGCACACGGAAAAGCGGGGTCCTTGTTCAGCTTCAGCTGCGAGCTCCTCGTAGGGCAGTCCACTGCGACTGCCTTTCTAGAGTCTAGAGGTTTCGGGAGGGGGGGCCTTCGGCCTCCGTCGAGTTCCGGCCTGTCTGCACGTTGCAACGATTGTCCCAGGACTTGATTGAGGCGCTCTTCAGACGTTTGGATCAAGGCTTTCTCGAGCTGGTCGGCCGAGCGAGGCTCAGACTTAAGTGACTTCCTGAACATCCTTGAGCCTAAACCCACGCCCGGCTTGCGTGTCCTTCTGAGCCTTGCCGGAAGCCTGGAGCCAAACTGCGTTGGAGGCATCGTAGATCCTCCCGGGGGAGCGACTCAACTTGGGATTTACCAGGAAGGCTCATGGGGAATTGCTCGGGTACTCAAAGTAGGGCTCCAAGCTCAAACAGCGAGTAAGGTAGTCAAGACCACGAATATAACTGCCCCGAACCTTCAATTTAAACGAATCCAACCTGCGGTTTATCAAGGTTCTGAGGCTTTGCACAGGCGGAAGCGCATGTGCACCATAGTCGTTGCTGTAACTTCAAACCCGATCTCCTCCGCACGTTCGCTTCTAAGTCTGCCGCCTGAGCTACCACAATGAGCTCGACCGGTACATACTGAAGCCTCTGCCTGTTGAGTACACTCCGTGAGTGAGCTTCAGCTGTCTTTGCAACAAGCTACTCTGAATAGACTACTTCCGATATCTTCCAGCATCGGGATGCGCGCCTTGTTTAGGACATCTTTGGCCAGGCGCCTAGGCACAAAGTCAAGGAAACGGCGCTATGTTCCAGGAACTGATATCTCTCCAGAAGCATCGCAGACTGCGACACAGCTGCTGTAGGATGCCCCGCTGTTTCGTAGTACTTTGGTAGCTGCTGTCTTGGACAGCAGGCCACACCTCCTGCATTCGATGGTGTTGGGGTCATTACAGATCCCAGATCCTAGATCCCAAAACCGATCGTCCTGCAGCGCTTTGGCAGCCGGTAGCGGATAACCTCCACTAAACTGGAGCAAGGCGACCTTGCGCGGTTGAGCATAGTACTACAACGACCGAATTCGAGCTCTCCAAGATCTCCCAACATGTGTATAAAGCCGCCGCCACCAGCCAATTCAATAAGAGATGCTATTACACGAACAAAATTTCAATGATGCATGGACTGTCAAACTATGAACATATTACGTGTTTTCCATGACGGCGAGCCTTGATTAACTTTCTAATGCCAAGATAGTCAGCTTTGTATGAAAAGTTTTCTAGAACATTAGAGAATAAGACTCAGGAAGTCATTGCAAAAAACGTCCCGCTCAACGCGAATCTCTAAGAACTTGCTATACACCTTAGTTAAAAAGCTGTCCGCTTAAACCACATCAAATGATCATTCAATACATTCAAACTTACGGATAGAACTACAAATACTGCTCAAGGATAATGAAACCATGTGTATATAGTTGTGCATATATGTATGTATGTATGTATATATATATATATATATGTATATATATAGACTCGAAAATCAAATGAAGCTCGCGTGTTAAAACAATGCCAAACTCATAGTCTTATCATCCAAGATTCAACATACCCCAGCCACACCACGAAAGGGCTAGACCCTGCACGAAAGGACTAGTCACGTCCCTGTTGCATATGTAACCTTCGCTATCGAACCACAACCCCTAAAACCTCAAGCAAATAATAACTCAAATCGCGAGACATATTGTGAACCAAAAGCAATTGTAGCTTTTCCCATCAATCTACGTCAATCCAGTCGAACAGCCTTCACTTTTCACCCCCGGTGCAACTCTTCCAGGACGATTTGGCTTTATCGGCTAGGAAAGATACACAGTCTACCAAACCAGATTTCTCCGACCAACCACGAAACACACGTCAAGAGTACGCTTCGTAACGCCGGTGACCACCCATGAACGGCTTACCGCCGGTGGCTGCTTGTCTAAAGATAAGCCGCTCAATGTCAGTGACCACATCAAAAGGTGAGCCCCGTCACGTCTGTGACAACCCGATTCAAAGGTATGCCGCGAAACGCTGGTGACCACCACATCCGAAGGCAAGCCCCATAAGATCCAAGGTTCCGGGGCACCGATAACCGCCCTGTACAATGGCAAGCCCGCAACGCCTCATGTAAAGGTAAGCCCAGAAAAAAAAAACACTTCAGGAACCGATCTCTGACAGCATCTGATGGGGTGCTTTAGAGAGTGGATCATTCGTTACGGCATCTGTCGGGGAATGTTGGCTAAACTACACTAACCCTAACCCAAAACTCGGCTTACTTCCTGCAGACCTCCTTTCCAAAGAAGACCACGCACTCGTTGCTCACAGCGCTTCAGTGCGTCGCCCAACGATGGTTAAGCGAGTGAATTCACTGACGAAGCAATTAATTGAGGCTGCAAGGCCACAAGAGTTTCCATCATGCAGCTAAGCTAACCTCGATATGTCGATGGTTAAGTGCGAAGTTGTCGTCGCCACCGTCCCTCCGCCCACACCCTGCCCTTCCAAATCCATCACAGCCGCTGCAGCCCCACCAGTCCATGCCCACACACCCCACTCACCTGCTTGAGCCTCGAGTGTGCTGAGTGTGGGACGTTGCATAGCGATCCCTCCTTGCGGGTATTGCCAGCTCTTCGTGGGAAGCCTGACTCGCCAGCATCGCGCCACGCCACCCGCCGCGCCCCCCCATCCTCAGCCCTCAGCCCCATTGTCCACGAAGCTTGACACTGCTCAATCCCACCACTTTCGGAAGGCAAGTGCGCGCACTGCCATGTGCCCAGCACATGTGCATGTGTGCACTTGCCTTCTGAAAGTGGTGGGATTGAGCAGTGTCAAGCTTCGTGGACAATGGGGCTGAGGGCTGAGGATGGGGGGGCGCGGCGGGTGGCGTGGCGCGATGCTGGCGAGTCAGGCTTCCCACGAAGAGCTGGCAATACCCGCAAGGAGGGATCGCTATGCAACGTCCCACACTCAGCACACTCGAGGCTCAAGCAGGTGCTTGGGGGTTCATACCTCCATTGATGTAGAATCAATGGGGCGGAGGGACGGTGGCGAGGGCTTGGTCGAGGACCAGCGGAGCTTGCAATGGCTCAGGATTCAGTCAAGCAGGGTGGAGTTGTGACGAAAAAGGGAAAGACGGCTGTCGAACGAGTCTGGCTGCATCCACACCGCCTGCCTGGCATGAACAGGCAAGGAGCAGCGACGCTAAGCCCTCGTGCTGGTGATGAAAACCACCAGCACCAAGGCCCAGCATCACTGCACCTTCCGCAGCCACCCAAGCTGCGCTGTGAGAGCCACCAAACAAGTCCGACAGCCAGGTATCCCAGTTCTAAAGTCCAATCATACGAGATACAACCGTTGCTGGATCTCGTGGCCTTGCATATCCGTTGCTGCAGCTCTCTGCTACTGTCCCCTGGCCAGTTCGGGGATATCAGTCCAGAAAGAAACAAGCACCATACCACTCCTTACCACTGAATGACTTAGTGTTGACACCAACATTCGTTGATCTACGCTCAAGTCACACCATTCTGTAGTCCCTAGTCTACAACGTCCAGAGTAAAGCCTGTAACTATCTCGCCTGGAAGGACCGGCTGGAATCGTCTTCAGATTTCCGACACCTGGAGTTGAATCATCTGTCCTGAAGCCATGAAGCCTTAAACATCCCTAAATCCCTCCTTCCCCCTTTGACGCCTAACCGCCAAACCCGAAAAGTGTCGGGTTTGATGATTCAGATCCTGATGGAAACCCCAATACAACCTAGAGGGAGTCTATACACCATGCCATAAACTCTAGGTTTTAGTACGATATCGTATATGATAAACCCTACGCGAAACACCGTGGTTTCGGCTCAGGGCTTCGAGAAGAGTACACCCTGAACCCCAAACCAACCCCACGTAACCCCTTAGCCCAAACCTTCTCGTTGGTAGCAGACTTTCTGGTACGGGGTATCTTTCTTATCGTGCTTTCGTCTCTTATCTTCTGCTTGCTTGTGTTGTCTTATCTTGTGTGATGATATAGTCTTTTATGAGATGGTGTCTTAGGCTATGTCCTCTCAGCTTACCTTCTGTAGTATGAAGCTCAGGCGGTGTTGGCCTATGGTATCTCGTAATCCCTGAAGCTTGTCAAAGAGCTCCACTTGCTTTTTCTTGATGTGCCCTGTACCTCCCCCAGCTCCCAGCTTCTCCCCCAATGTGTAGGTTTGAAGCCAGAGCTGTCATAGCGGCGATTGGGGAGTGCTTTCGGCTTGAGTTGGCAACATGACGGTGTTTTCAAAATTCGTGGTCCGCCCTGGAGTCCCGCCATTAAGGACGATCCTACCATACAAGGTCCGGAGTCCAAAGGCTAAATTGGAGTAGCTTCGTGCCTTCTTTTCTGGAACTCCCAGAAACCCGCCCTGACACATCTTAAGGCCAGTGGGCTTGTGCACATTCAGCAGGCCCGTGGTTCCAAGAAAAGCGACGGTCTGTTGTCCGGTCTAATCGCAGCAGCTCACGCGGCTTCGGGGTTCTCGGATTGAGACAGCAGGGTTCGGCGAGATGGAACATGGGCACCTAACCGCTCGTCAAGCGCAAGGGCAGCGCATATTTCCGGCAGCCAGGTTGTGGCTGATCCTGCTTGTGCGTGGGCAGGCAGAGACCAACGCGTGTAAGGGATCCGGGTCATCACCAGGATGGGTGGCGACTCCACCAGCACCGCTTGCGCAGTGCTGCAAGAAGTTTTGTAAAGCAGGAAGATCGAACAAGTCTGCCAGGCTTGTGGCAGGCCTGCTGCCTTCTGCGGCCAGTATCAACTTGGCATTTGGCTGGCTTCCCAGGCCTTCCATTTCAGCCGCCTTCGGCACACTGACGACTACCGAGCCACCGGATTAAGCGCCACCTGCTCCGATGTGCAGCTCAGCATCTAGTCAGCTACCATCGTTGGGTCGAGGACTTCTTCGAGGATGCCTCCCTCGTCTGAAGCCATCCTGCAGTGCACCAAGAGCTGATTGGTGAAACCGCTGTACTGCCTTCGGCCTCCTTGCATATATGCGCAAGGACAGAAAACCCTGTAACGCCCCAGGGCAATGATTGTTGCCAACACGCTGCGTTGACAGAGGACTGGAGTATGTCTGCTGCAATTGAAAGGAACCGGCCAAAGCAGGACGGCTTTGGAGTGTACGGCCAGTGCCAAATCAACAGTGTCCAGGGGTGGAGCTCTGCCGATTCCCATTGCAGTTTGTGTCCTACATGAAAACTTACCATAAATTGGACCTTCAACTGGTCCGGACGTGCTCAAATCTTGATTGCAAGTCGCGTCTTTGGAATATCTGCTGAAAAAGGCTTGAGCCGGCTGGATCCAGCTTTGATCAGCTTTGCAGCAAAAGTTAAGCTCTCCAAACCTGAGCTGCATCCTGGGCCAGGGGCCCAGAAGCCCACGGCCGGCTGCACGCTGGCGGGCACCAAGGGCAACATACCCCGGAGGTGAGGCAGATATGCTTGGCATGCCTGGCAGATGGACGAAATCTTGAAAAGCAGGAAGGATCTCCAGCCACTGCCGTTTGCGAAACTGGCTGTTTTTGGTACTCGGATGATTTACGGTCGATGGTGTAGACTTTCGTGATCCATGTTCCCGACAATGTGTCCCAAGCACCAGCAGAAACCCCTGGCTTTAACTCGAAGGCCGAGCTCCCACGCAGTGCGAGGCCTCTTCCCTCCCGTCGTAGTGAGCCAGGCGGCCGCATTGGTACAGGATCTGGCAGGCCGGTGAGGCTGGAGATGGCATATGAGTACCAAAGTCAGGGGGAGTCTAGCAATGGTGGTGGCAACATCAACATCAAGACACCCAAAGAATGCGGTGAGCAGCAATGTTTAGACGAAGACGAACTATGCATTCAGAGAATCAAAAATGACCACCTGATACGCAGAGAAATGTCAACACTCAGAATCCGCGCAGAACCTCGCACATAGCATCCGAAACTCTGTCCACATACCTAGACAAGGGCCTCTCTCGAGGATCTGTACGACAACTCTGCCTTGGTCAAACAATACTCTGCCGCTTAGGGCTTGGGGGTTCCCTCGCTGCCTCCCTACCTCACCCGCGAGCCTAACACTCTGCACCTCAGTGACGGATGCTTGTTGTTCGCTTAATCAGAAGTCAGAACCTTGGGATCGATGACAATGCAGCCCTGGTGGTCTTGACAGCTACCACAAGCAGCCGAGTGGTAGGGATAAAGGGATAACTGACAGCTGTTGACAACCAAGACTACAATGCCCACGCCTTTGAAATCCTGGGTCCTAAGAAAAGCTTGGCTTATGAACATGCCTGGCTCTTTCGATCAAACCTGCGGCCCCGACCGCTGCCAAGCGCCAGCACTCGTCCCACTGCCCGTCAAGAGCGAGAGCCTCTCCCCAGCACAGCGAAAGTAGATCGAAACACATGAAACACGACACGATTTCCGGACGATACATCGAGTACTATATACTCTGACTGTATGCTTTGTGCCCTGAACCCTGAAAGCCTTGAGTGCGAGGCAAACAGCTCGTTGCCATGGGATGGGAAAGGGGCGCAAGGCGACTGCGGCAAGCAGAGCTGCCTGCAGGGGATCTCAGATCTGACTGCGTAGATTTCTGAAATGCAGCTGCATCGAATATCAATCTATTCGCTCATTGCGTGTCCCAGCATAATGCTCCTGCAGACTGTGTCTGAGGGGTGCCAAGAGTTGCCTGACAATTGTTGGATGTACTGTCTACTACACAGATTGACTATTCAACCGGTGTGAGTAGGGAGGTCAGGGCTCGGAGTTGTTCACCCGTTTAGCCCAAATCTAGCAGTTGCAAACTCCCACATTGACATGGATATGCTGCTTGCTCTACTTGTGGGTGCATTAAATGGCCTCTTGGCATCAACAATAAGATCTGTAATCTAGGGTGAAAATCTCTACAACACTTGAAAGACGGTCATCACATGACCCGCATCAAAACCCGATACAACTTCGATGCAACCCGACTACAACTCTGAGAGAACACCCTATTTGCATCAGGTGCCGGCACAGGTTTCATTCTACGGTCTAGCACATATGTTCCGCCAATATTATTAGCTCTTTAGAATTTGTGCAGTCAGTTTCATTCTGAATGGTGTCATCCGTCCCACGCATGCTAACACATATCCATCGATTCATTCATTTGCATCTTTCCACAGTTAGAACTATGCGTGCTGCTACGACTACATGACCACATGTCTGGTTCTGCTTGCACTCCAGTCGTCTGTGGATGGTCAGCTGTGCTGTTTGCCGGCCTCGGCAGCCCTGGCAGGTCGCTTGTTTCGATGGCGCAAGTGGCTCCTCGGTGCCAGGAATTCGTCACAATTGTGTGTGTGTGTGTGTGTGTGTGTGCGTGTGCATGCATCCATTGTGTATCTCCGCGTCTACCTGGATCCAGCTCTGCATCTCTGACTTTGCAGGCGCCTGCATCCATCTCACACTTTCTTTTGCCAGGACAGCGGTGGGGGTACAGTTGGTAACCCCTCTACTCAGACAGATGAAAAGACGGGACAGAATAGGTAGGTAGATCGATGGTTGCTATTTCGATAGATAGACAGGCAAAGAGGCAGATAGGTAGATAGGGTGACGCGAGATAGCTTGATAATCTGACAGCCTCGCTAGCTTGCGGCTAGCTTGCTAGGCAGACCGATACACAGACAGACATGTATAGATGTAGGTAGATAAATAGATAGATAGACAGACAGATAGACCGATAGACAGATAGACAGAGAGATTGAGATATGTTCGAGAATCTCGTAATCTACATGGATGGATGGCTGGCTGGGTGGCTGGCTGGATGGCTGGCTGGCTGGGCGGACGGGTGGATGGATGGAGAGTTGGTACACTGCTGATCACACTGATGCCTACCGGCCAACGCCTGACTTCTGCTTCAAGTTCCACATGCGTGCTCATGCTCTCGCCTCGGAGTGGGGTGTGCTGAGGCCGGAACCAGAGTATTTCCAGAGCCAGGACTTTGGAGGAGATGGCCCGATGCACCACGCCTTCTTTTGCTGAGGACTTGTCGTCAGGTTCCTGGTCCAGGCTCCTCACCACGGCACCTGCCGAAGACAAAGCCTCCTCGTCCAGGGACACCTCTGCCAAAACCTTCCTCAAAGCCTCCGTGGCAGCACGGCGTTCGGGCTTTCCTCCCTCCAAGAGGTGCTTCGCAAAGGCCGGGACGGAAAAAACATCCACCTCCGCAGCGCGCGCCGCGGAGGTGCGGTCTCCCAGGTTGGCCAAGCAGCGCAGGGCCAAGGGAAGGTCCTCGGACGCCTTCAGGGCGTCCTCGCAGCAGCGCCGTGCGCGCTGCTGCATCCTGGGCCTCTGGAGAAAGTTCTGCGAGGCGGCGCAGAGCAGCAAAGCCCATCCCATCCATGCCAGGTACAAGCCATCGGGCCGCAAGGCGCACGCCTCCTCCAGGCAGCGCAGCCCCTCCTTTCACGAAAGGAGCGTTTCACCCGGTGCAATTCTAATGACCTGAGCCCTCACGAATCCACACTTCATCCACACTCCTCGAATTGGCAGTCCAGCACCAGGAGCCGGCCCAGACCTCACCGTAGGAGAGTCCAGTTTAGATCTAGACTCTTGGAATTTGAAGGCGAAAGCATGTATTCCTCAACTCCACTACCCAAAACCCTGAGCGGGCCCTGAACCAAAAAGAATACATCGAAACCTAGACAAAAGGCCCAAACTCAGCAGACGAAAGAAAGTCAAAACCTGGACCTAAACCCCAGGCCCCGCGCCCTAAATCCAAAAGATACAGAACATCAAGCCTCCACATCCAACTCCCTTCAAAAAACAAACAATAGCAAGGAACAACGACAAAAACACAAACACACACACACAGAGGGAGGGAGCCGAGGGCGCTACCGAAGAGCGCTTCGTGGCAGCCGGAGCGCTTGGCAACCAAGTTCTGGCACGGGCCGGCGGGCCGGTTCAGTTTTCGGCCTTTCGATTCTGGAGTTAGGATTCATGCAAGGCTAGGCCCCACTGCATGCGGCATGCGTTTGGTTCCGATGTTTGGGTCCTTTGACGGTCCGGTAATTCGGCGGTTCCCTTAGCGGTGGGTCGCCTAAGTAGTTGCTTAGTAGTCAAGGCGTATGTCCCGATAGTCTCCAAAGGCACGTTTTCCCGCCCCCCCTGCGCCCCCGATGCGGCTCTCGCGCGAAGGCCTCGAAGACAGATCGACAGTGCTGTCCTTGGAGAGACATCTGCCCTGCTGCTAGTCCACTCGGCTGAGGGTGTTTGGGTGTGAGGCCTTTAGGGCACCGCGATTTAACGAGCTGGGGCTTAAGTGGTGAGGAGCTCCGAGGTGCAGGCTTTCTGCTTGCACGGGCGAGAACGTGAAGATCTTCCACGGTCTTTGGTGGAGGAGGAGCCTCGGTGTCTGCAGTTCAACCGAGGCCACAGCAAGCCCCCTAAATCCTGCAAACCCTATGCCTTTCGACTCCAAGTCCCCTAAACCCTAGAGACCTAAACGTTGCCCACTGCGGGTAGTGTACGGAATTGAAACTTCCCCGAGCATGCGGCCACTCCAGCGCATCTGCATCCTCGAAGCGAGTTCACTAAGGGTTAGGCCTTCTTCTCTTGGAAGATCTTGGGTGTCCACTGTAGCCGACTGGTGACCCTTAAGCCGCTGAAGCGGTTGGACCTAGCTGAGCTTGGGCACAAGCAAGAGCTCAGGTGATGTCATGTCAGACTCCTTCCCAAACAAAACACCAAACTTGCCACTGTCCGGTTCGGAACTGAATGCTCTTCAACCATCTAGAGTCTAAATCTCTCAGACTCCCAACTTCATGCCAATGCCAACCGAAAGGCAGAACCCAGAAAATCCCAAACCTTGGTGTTAAGTTTGGGGTTTGATGTGGTTTCTCCTGAGTTCGCCCCACAACCCCATGAGAAGGGAAACAACACTCACTGACGTTTTGTTGCAAACAACAGACCAGAGAAATGTACCAAAATAGCGAGCTAACAAGCGGGGAACGGTGAACGGAAACCCCTGACCCCCAAGCCGAACCCAATTCCAGCCTTGGAAGATGGACTGCGAGGTGCAGCTGAAACCCGAAGAAGCCACCAAAAGAATCCCCCATCTGGAATCCCGGCTCGCAACACCAGCCGTTGGAATACTAGCTCGCAATGGCAGGCTTCGAGAACGACCGAGTCAAGACTAGCATATCACAAGTGCCTGGGTGATAGGAGTACGAATGTCAAGGAGCCGGTAGCCTAGTCACTGTACTGCAAAGAGGATAGCAACATAGCAACATGAAAATCAGTAAACGTTCAATGCAAGGAATCCTCCAGGCAGTCGTAGGACGGCTCGAGGTCGCACTCGGCCATGGCGGCGCATCGGCTCGCAACATAGGGCTGCTTTAGCTTCAACCAGGGCTCAGGATGCGCAGCCATAAGAACTGCTAGAGGCTTCTAGAAGGTTGGACTCGGTGTGGGTACAGAATTATGGTCTTGCAACATCTTGTAACGTGCTCCGGAGCCCGGGCTGCTCTTTCCACATATGCGGTCAGCGGTGGCCTTGCTACGAAAACAGTGATGTCATGGTGCAAGTGCAATGCACAGCAACCTTTTGATTGCAGGTGTTTAACTCCTTATCATCGGACCCTGAAAACAAAACTCTGGACTCCTTCCCCCTCCAAGGGCCTCGTTGACCCCAGGACCGAAACTCTAGTGTCAAGGAACCCTGAACCCATTTTCAATTCTCTGTTGCCGTTGCAAGCCTCTGCTCTGCAGAGGGCATGCAGTGTGAAACTTGAACATCCTATGACCAACCGCTAGTACCTCCGAAGCTGTCAATCTCATACTAAAGATTATAGCGAAGCATGAGTTTATCACTAATGAGCAAGAGTTGGTGTAGACCCTTCCTGAACCTCGACTCAAGTCAAGCATGGACGAGCTGAGCATCATCCAAGGCTCAGCATCAGGAACGAACCTGGAGCGACCAAAAACACCTAGCTCAAGCGGAAGCTCAGACACTACAAAACTGTGAACCCCGCCACCCAAAGCCCTAAGCCGCCCCGGGTCGGAAGCCCTTGCAGCTGTTGAGGGTTTAGTCGCAACAACGTTGAGGACTTCGACATTTGGGCTGGGGTTTGGGTTCGGGATTGATTGGAGCCTGGATGGTGAGGCCCCTATACTGCCCTTTCAGAGTGGTGGTTCAGGGAACAGAAAATGCAGCGAACCATGCTGAGATTCTCATGGGTCTGCTAGCCCTTTACACTCTAGGGTTGGAGAGGGAAGCACAACCAAGGGCATAACAACCGAGTAAATCCAGAGTTCAGGGCCTAGGCTGTTACAATGTACGGTCCGGATTAAGGTCTGGAAGTCTAGGATGCAGAGTTTACAGTTGTGGAACTATCCTGCACGTTTATGGATTTCGGGAGGTCTAGGGTACGACTATATGGGAGCTGCACTGTGCCGAGCCGAGGCCAAGGCCGCATCTGCACCTACGACATTCTGGATGGCCTGGTTCAAAAGTTCAGAAGTTCAGGATATGCTGGGACTTGCCGAGTTCAGCTCAGGCCATTCGATTGATGACCGAGTTACGGTTGAAGATTGAAACACGTGGCTGAGTAGATAGAGATAGATATCTATCCATCATCGGTCCGAGCCGCTCGAAACAAACGTGATCCCCTTCGATGTACTTCGGGTATATATATATATATATATATATATATGCCTGCTCTCCAAGGCCCGAAGCCAACCAGGGTGGGACAGGGCCAATTTGGCCGAGGCTTTCGCCACAAGCTCTGAACCAAAAGCCTCGAAACCTCATAGTTTACTGCAGGAGTTTCGGGGGCGCAACCCTGCGGGGTTTCAGTCCAGCCTTCTTCAGGGTGCTCTGCATCCCGGACGTCCTTGTACAGCTTGGCTAGGAATTCAAGATTTCGGGATGGGCAAGTTTAGAGCACCTCAACGGACCGAACTTGGATCAGGCGCGGAGTCTTACAGCTCAAGGCTGATCAAGATCAGGAGCGGCTTAGAGGGCAAGATCCTTGAAACTCCGAACTCCTGAAGCTTTAACGCTGGCAGGGGCTTGGTTTGGGCCGAAGGAATCCAAAGCATCAAGAAGATGAAGCTTCATGATGAACAGCGCTGCTCGTCGGTGCTTGCAGGTTAGATTTAAGGGTTTGGATGTTCAGTGTTCGGCGGGTGAAGCATTGTGAAGCAATGGAAGAAACCAACCAAGGCAATGGTAAGAGTCGGTCTGCAGAAGTCCCCGCAACAGTGACACCAACGTTTCAGCTAGAAAAAGCGCTATGCAACAGAATCAGCTTGTCCAAGTGCGATCGTTGTATCAAAAATGCGCACAAGCAATAGTTTCGGTAGGACTAGATAGTGGCCAGCATTCCTGTTTGAAGCAGCATGGCTGCTGGTTTGTGCCGCAGTCAAGCGAGACCCGCCGTTGCGACACGTTGGAAGGTCGGGAAAAAGTTGCTAGCTGTTCGTGGACAACTTACATGTTTCACGAAATAGTGGTGATGCTGGTGGCCAGGAGCAGCGGCAACAGCAGCAGCAGGAGCAGATTATTCTATTACCACAAATATTATTGTCGATATTAACAATAGTAGAAGTAGCATTAGCAGCAGTAGCAGTAGCAGCTGCAAGCAGCAACAGCAGCAGCAGAGTAGGAAACGTAGTAGTAGTAGTAGTAGTAGTAGTAGTAGTAGTAGTAGTAGTAGTAGTAGTAGTAGTAGTAGTAGTAGTAGTGGTAGTAGTAGTAGTAGTAGTAGTAGGTAGCAGTAGCAGTAGCAGTAGCAGTAGCAGTAGCAGTAGCAGCAGCAGCAGCAGTAGCAGTAGCAGTAGCAGTAGCAGGTAGCAGGTGCAGGTAGCAGGTAGCAGGTAGCAGTAGCAGTAGCAGTAGCAGTAGCAGTAGCAGTAGCAGTAGCAGTAGCAGCAGCAGCAGCAGGAGCAGTAGCAGTAGCAGTAGCAGTAGCAGTAGCAGTAGCAGTAGCAGTAGCAGTAGCAGTAGCAGTAGCAGTAGCAGTAGCAGTAGTAGTAGTAGTAGGCGTCGTCGTCGTGGCAGTAGCAGTAGCAGTAGGCGTAGCAGTAGACGTAGCAGTAGCAGCAGCAGTAGCAGCAGCCGCGGTAGCAGTAGCAGTAGCAGTAGCAGTAGCAGGACTAGCAGTAGCAGTAGCAGTAGCAGTAGTAGTAGTAGTAATAGGCGTCGTCGTCGTGGCAGTAGCAGTAGCAGTAGGCGTAGCAGTAGACGTAGCAGTAGCAGCAGCAGCAGCAGCAGCAGCAGCAGCAGCAGTAGCAGCCGCGGTAGCAGTAGCAGTAGCAGTAGCAGGACTAGTAGTAATAGCCAATCGTCGTCGTCGTAACAGTAGCAGGAGATAGCAGGGGTAGCAGTGGCAGTGGCAGCAGTAGCAGTACTAGTCTTGAAGTGGCAGCAATAGCAGTAGCAGCGAAGCAGAAGCAGAAGCAGATAGTGATAGCAGCAGAAGCACATCAGAAGCAGGAGCAGGAGTAGGAGCAGGAGTAGGAGTTGAGTAGGAGGAGGACAAGGAGGGCAAGTTGTAGTCGTCGTCCGCCCCCCAGCAACAGGAGCGGCAGCAGCACTACGTGTTACAGACGTATATTTACCGTGAACCTTGCACTGATAGACTCGAATGAACTGTGATGTGGAACAACTTGAACTGCAAGCATTCTTGTGGCAATTATCATCATGCTACCGGAAAACACAGTGGACGCACGGATTCTTAAACTGAAGTGATCTCCAAAATCTGGAAGCCTCAACTGTAAAACGGTTCAGATTAAATCCTTAAACTCGAGCCAAAACCAATCTCAGGTTGCGACCCGACTTCTGTTGGCCGCCCATTCGCCATGCCTGTCGCGGCGACGATGATGCGATCGCTCTTGACCCTGAGCCACAGATTCAACTTCCAGGCTTTTGGTGCTTGGGCAAAGAGCTTTGTTTTGGGGCCTGGGCCTCACCGAGGACTTGGGGAAAAGTGTTGGGGCGCGGTTGCTGCGACCACTCCCTAACATGGCCAGCTTTCGAAAACATGCATCATCAAGGTCGTTGCGGTTGCGTGTTTTTGCGTGCTTTTGCCACCACGAATCGATGGAACACTGGGCTTCGGACAACAATGTCCTGGACCCGGATGGCGCTGTGTACACCTCGGGCCCAGACGTGCATCTTCAGCCAGTCGCACCTCTTCCATCTGTTCGAGAATCAGAATCAAAATGCACGAGATCGAATACCTTTTTAAATCCCAGTTCGCATGCAAGCCTTCCGACTTCGATAGGATGCTTGTACGATGTGACAGAGCGAAACTGACTCGGCAATTTGGCCTACCTCGGAATGGCGCACTGGGCATCACTCCTTCACCCTAGAACACTCTTTTCCGGACCTTGAACATCCAAACCAAAAACGGAAATCGCTTGAAGAAGAGAAGCCCTTACTCATACTCTGAGTTGATCAGCGTGGACAGCAAGGAAATAAGCTTCGGACAAAGTCGTGGGTCGGGGTAGATTGATCCAGGAAGTCGCCGGTGTGCGCAGACTGCAGCAACCGTGCTTTTCTGAGTACGGCCTTGCTAACGAGACAAGAATGACTCATTTTGACCAGAAAGAAAGCAAAACGTAACAAACAATCTTGAAATACTTGCAGTACAACGACAATCTCAGTAGCAAAACAGACACAACAGCAATGGCAGGAGAAAGCGATGAAGGCAAAAGAAGCGACAGTACCATGGAACAGTAAGCCTCAGTGATGATTCTGCGCGGTGGTACTATTGTTCATAGCCGTTGGATCAAAGCCACACTACCAGGAAAATCGGGCACAGCAAGCGGAGCAGAAGTAGCGAAGCTGCAGCACGAGGCATGCAGGCGATGAGAACGAACAACTACAAAAATACGTCATCGAACGTCATCGTTCAAGGAATACCACTGCAAGTCGTGACATAGTTGCACTAGTCTTGCAATAAATGCAAATTAACAAACAGTACTGCATCTTTCGTGCTGTAATGGATCATCAACGATCATCAGCCCTGCCTTGGCGAAAGTGCAAAAAGTCCCCCAGCCCAAGCCCCTAAACTCAAACTCTACGTACTCCATTCTACTCAATTCCTTAAAGCTTACACACCTCTTGGCGTACACAGTGTCCTCTGCGCCTGAGCCCGTGAGCCCCTTCCCTGAAACCATTAACCCTGAACCGTAAGCTCTGCCTGTGATGCTTCTGCACTCCGGTAAAGCGCTAAAGGAAGCAGACCGCGCTCCCTGCCACAATCAGAGAAGTTGATTCTAGTGAAACTGGGCACAGGCACAGGAAAACTGGTTTTTTGCGGCTTATGGCGGGTTTGGAGGTTAGGGGAAAAGTTGTGAACGGAATGGTCAGATCATACACACAAACGGCGTCAATTTTGGAGTATGAAGCGTGGGGAACATACTATTGCGTTCCAGACTGTGTGCGAGTGTGTCTTCGTGCCTTCTTACAGATCGAAATGGATTTGAAACTACGCTACAAAAGCAGATTCTTAGACTCTGTCTTTCGTATGCTGCAAACTGCACACACTACGTTTGGTTTCTGATACACATCTGCTCCAACTTTCCAAACGACACAAAGATGGCTCCTGCGATTTGGGGGTGCAGGGCTTGCGGTAGAAACTCCGAAAACTCTCACAGGCCTGAACAGCCAGATGGCGAAGTCCTGGAACCGAGATTGGTAAAACACCTCACTGTTTGACGAGGGCTTCGGCAGTTTAGTGCTTGGTCTAGGGTCTCAGTCGGTCTCAGTGTCGATTTAAGCCTTCGCGTTCACTGTCATGGCCCTTTATCATCCAAGTGGTTTCGCTTTGTGATACTATCGGCTGCTGAACAACGAAATACTCCAACATGCATCGAACCCAACCCAACAACTATGCTCGACACTGCAAACCCTCGACACTGCAAACCCGGGGCGCTACATGTCACGAAACCAAAACCCAAAGCTCAAGAACTTTGTACTTGTGCCGCAAACACAACCGGGTTTGACAAGTTGAACCAGAAGGGAGGGTCGACAGACCACAACAGCCTGCAGAAATCCGGGGACGGAGCTTTTGGCACATCGATGATCATCATGGGTGCCTCGGACAGGCTCTTTGACTCTAGGTTCTACTGACTCTAGGTTCTGTTCTACATGAATGGGGCCTTTTGATTTTATATGTTTGTATGTATGTGTATGTGTGTTCTTTCTTATCACGCTCACCCTTTCTTCGAGAAGAAACGATCGATCGTCTGCTCGACTAGTTAAAGCACATATCCTGACCCTGACGAAATGGCTTTGTCAGCGTGCAACGTGGCCTCGATCAGTGCATCGACCATGTTGATCAAGTTCGGGTTGTACCTTCGGATTCGGAAGTTTCGGGGCCTAGTTAATGATGCAAATTTGTTTCAGGTGGTCCGAGCTTGAGAGTTTAAGGCATCTGCACTTCGGCAGGGTTGTTGCAGGTTGGATGCACTATTGCACTTGTGTAATTAGCGGGTTAAGGAAGTCTCGGCTGCGCAGCAGAATACGAATCCCAAGCCCACAAACTGGAACAACCCGCAACCAAACATAGAAGTGCCCGCAAACCAGACTCGCAAAGCCGGATGCCATGGCTCATATCGCACTTCAAGAGAAAGCTTGCTTCCATGGGCGAGTAGTGACTGCAGCTTTCATGGCACAAATGTCTTCTTCTTGCCTTCCACTCAGCTGATGCCTCTGACAGTCTTTGCAGCTCGTGCTGTAGGCTAGGAGCCCCGCTGCAAACTGACCTACTATTCTAGGACCAGGCTGCATCGAACTGGCAACCATGGAAGTGACCGTCGATGCGTAGAACACCTGATCGTTCTTTTGCAGGTGCCCAGCACGGACCATTATCCCAAAACACGGTGCAGCTCAGGCAAAAGTCCTGCTCGAAATGCTAAGCAACTCGGAGCAATTGCCATACCGCCAATGACCATCATGTTTCACTATGAGGCAGACGAGCCTGGCCGCGAAGATATCTGGGATGATACTTGATGTCATGGACTTCCATGTCCTGTTACGAGTGCAGGCACAGCAATGGTACACGAGCACGTCCAGAAGGCCCGTCTTGGTTTGCAGGCCGGTACGAACTGAAGCAGGCGAATGCTTTATGTGCACACAATACTCTGGGCCTGGCAGTTCTCATGTTGTGTGCCTGTGGTTTCTGGCAACGTTGTGTTTGCTGCCCGAACTATCGCGGGAGCACACTTGCCGCTTGCAGTCTCGTGGCTATCGCAAGCCCGGCCCAGTCCTCGTACCTCTCGGTGGAGATGCCCCCATCCAGGCTCTCAACATCGATGACAGGCCTAAGGATTACGAGAACGGGGCGTCGGGCTTAGGGCTTGGGGCGTAATCGCAATGGTGTGATGACGACATTCTCTCGTCACGGGGGGATACTTCCAGTTCTAGACTGCTATACATGGCGCAGACTCACGAGAGTTGATGATGCAAGATAGCTTTGCTTGGACTTGGCAGCTTCCATATAAACCAACAGTGCTTTTCGCTAGACCGCAGCAAGGGAGTCTATGTCAAAGACACGAAAAGGAGTCGACCAACAGTGTCTCGTGTTTCCTGGCAAGCCGGATGAAAGAACACACCCTTCAGAAACATATGATTTGTAGATATTCGAAGGCCCCCCCCCCGAATAATGACACCCTAGCAATGCTGTGCAAGTATTGGTGTCATGGTAGTGATATACCGGGCCATGTTGATGCTCTGAGCAGCAGGCGGCGGCTTGCCATCCAGACCCATCGAACGAGCCAGAGCCTTTATGCTGCATTGGGGGCATGGGGAGAGCACAACACACCCCGATTAAGCACGATCCAAGGGTTCAGGGTTTGGGGCTTGCGGTTTAGTGTTAGCAGTGTGATTGACATTGAGGGTGATTGCTCTGAAGCCCAATAGGATCATAGTATACCGCGCCTCCCAGAAAACATCTTGCAAGAATCGTCCATGAAAGGGATCTCTGATTCTCGAAACTCGCACCGGATGCCCTTCGCCCGAGTGGGCCTTCGACGGCCACAGCCCCAGGGAAGAAAGCCAAAAATGTGCTTCTCCATTCACGGCTTCGAGGCTAGCTCATAATGGAAAACACCAACGGCTTCAGCAGTAAGAACACAACACTGTCTTCGGAGCAATGAGACTCTGACATAGTCGGAGCAAGACTAGATTTGGTGCTGGAGTGCACAATGTCTGACCCCGATTCTTGAGAGCTGCTTGGTACAGAATTCAGGGTCGAAGATGTTTTCGGGTCGGGCCTTGCTGCGGTGGAAGGCGTGGCTGCGCACAGAACGAGAACAGAGGCCTTAAACCTTCAAAGCAAATCGTATATGAGTCGCAAAGCCCCGAATCTTCAGTTCGGGCATCAACGTTATACACACGTGGGAATGCAGGACTCAGTTTGGGACTTTCGTCAGAGCCGCATGCCCTGAAGCGCGAACAAAAAAAGGCAGAACCCCGAAGCTCCAAACTTCTGAAACCCCGAAAAGATTAAAAAAGAACTATTGAAGCCTGGCATGCATGCATGCCGGCCTTGGCGCCCTTCATGAAGGCCGTCAGCGCTTGAGGAAGCTCGGGAGGCGGGCCTGCCGGCTGCAGAGGAACAGGAGCAAAACATGGCTAAATGTACCGTATATCTTCCACGCCCACTATAGACACCAAAGGACGAACAGATACATATATATGGTCCCAGCCCCCCCCCCCCCCCCAATGGTATGGTCTGCTAGGGGTGGGGCGGGGGGGGGGGGCTGGCGTGTGCGGAAAGGGGTCGGCGCTGTTGGAGCTGCCACTGGATGGTGGGGTGGTGCTCGCGGCCAGGGCTCGCACGCAAGCCCTTCGCAAGCAAGCCGTAAACCCTATAACGCAGCGCGTGCTCCTGTTTTGAGTAACCTTAACTTGTACTTCAAACCCTATACCCAACCCTAAACCCCACCTAACTGCAGGCTCTAAGCCTAAAGCAGAAGATATACACCGCAAATCCTCCCCAAGCCCTTGTCGACTCGAAGCACTATACCTTGTAACCGTAAACCCAACACTCAAAAGCTTAATGTAAACCCTAAGCCCCAAAACCCCACAACCACCCCACAGGGGGAAGAGGAACCCCACACCCCACACCACAGGGGAGGGGGGGTCCCACCCTATATCCGGACCATTGACCTTTGGGGGGGGGAGGGGGGGGGGGGCCGCGGAGCACGTGACCATATATCATATATATATATATATATATATATATCCATATATACACACATACATATATGTATGTATATACATGCTTAACGAACCTGCGTGTGTAGATACACTGTACGATCAATCATCATAGAGGCACATAGACATTGACAGGCGCTTGCACTCTCTGATGAAATGAAGTCAATCATTGTTCTCAGGCTCGACGGGATTGTGCGGAGGGCTTCATCCAGTCTAATTTTACGAGAACTCCAGCCCAATGGTGAACCCCACTTTCTCCGAGGCACATTGGTACGCACACATGCAGTTACAGGCAATGTATACACCTACATGTATACGCCATCCCATCAACACCTGCACGAATACAACACAATATAGTATCATCAACTATGAAATCATATCATAACATCTCACACGAACAATATCTCAGAATAGACTATTACAGAACAAAAAGAATAGAAAGCTGACATTCTTGCTAATATTATTATTGTTATTACTATTATGAGTAGCAGTAGTACTAGCAGTAGTGGTAGTAGTAGTAGTAGTAGCAGTAGTAGCAGTAGTTGTCGTCGTGGTAGTAGGGGTAGTGGTGGTAGTAGTAGTAGTAGTAGTAGTAGTAGCAGCAGCAGCAGCAGCAGCAGCAGTAGTAGTAGTAGTAGTAGTAGTGATAGTAGTAGTAGTAGTAGTAGTAGTAGTAGTAGTAGTAGTTGTTGTTGTATTAAAAGTTCCTCTTAAAATTGTTGTTATTAGTGATGTCTAATGCGACTATCATTATTATGGTTGTTGATAGTATTATTCGTAGCAATAGTAGTAGTAGTAGTAGTAGTAGTAGTAGTAGCAGTAGTAGCAGTAGCAGTAGAAGCAGTAGTCGTCGTCGTGGTAGTAGGGGTAGTGGTAGTAGTAGCAGTAGTAGTAGTAGTTGTATTAGTTGTACTAGTTGTATTAAAAGTTCCTCTTAAGATTGTTGTTATTAATGATGTCTGATGCGACTATCATCATTATGGTTGTTGATAGTATTATTCGTAGTAGGAGTAGTAGTAGTAGTAGTAGCAGTAGTAGTAGTAGTAGTACTAGTACTAGTACTAGTACTAGTACTAGTACTAGTACTAGTACTACTAGTAGTAGTAGTACTAGTAGTAGTACCCATGCGCGCCTCCTGGCGCCTGGTGCTTTGCTCTGTTTTCAAGTGTTTCGGGGAGGTGTTGGGTTGGGGGGGGGGGGTTAATAACGACATGGTCTACCGCAATGGTTTTCTTGTTGCCAAAAACACTGGCAGTGCCAGTACTTTGGAGTGTTTTATGGGGCCTTTTCTTCGACTGGGAGGGGAGGGTTTGGTGGGGGTGTCAATCACGACTTGCTGAACCGCGATTTTTGCCGAAAACGCAATCCCCACGGTGTGGCTCGATTTTCGTGTGTTTTCGAAGCATTTTCTTCCACTGGTGCGGGGGCATCACTAGCATCATCATCGTCATCCAAAAGTGTAATTAGTAGTAAAACAAAGTCGTTTTTTACAACGTACCCAAACTGCGATTTTCACAAAACCCTGTAAAAACCGATACTTTTGACCTTCGAACTACTGGCCGTAGTCCTCAGTCCTAATATTGGCTTCCAATTACATGCACATCGTTGGCATTCTCAGCATCTTCATCATCATCATCATCAGTAGCATCACTAGCATCATCATCGTCATCCAAAAGTGTAATTCTTAGTAAAACAAAGTAGTTTTTGACAACGTACCCAAACTGCGATTTTCACAAAACCCTGTAAAAACCGATACTTTTGACCCTCGAACACCTCCAAACTACCAGGCGCCAGGAGGCGCGCAAGCCTAGTAGTAGTAGTAGTAGTAGTAGTAGTAGTAGTAGTAGTAGTAGTAGTAGTAGCAGTAGCAGTAGCAGTAGCAGTAGCAGTAGCAGTAGCAGTAGCAGTAGCAGTAGTAGTAGTAGTAGTAGTAGTAGTAGTAGTAGTAGTAGTAATAGTTTTAGTTTTAGTTTTAGGTTTAGTTTTAGTTTTAGTTTTAGTTTTAGTTTAGCAGTAGTAGTCGTCGTCGTCGCAGTAGTAGTAGTAGTAGCAGTAGCAATAATATTTTTGTTATGACTATTGTCATTATCCCGTATAGTACTTTTTTTACACACCATATATGTCTATGTCAGTCTATGTAATTCTGTAAGCATGTATGCATGCACGTATTCATGTATACATGCATGCATGTACATACATGTAAGTACATGTATGTATGTACGTATGTATGTAGGTAACTACGTATCTACATGTATGTACACATGTATGTATGCATGTATGTACGCATGTGCGAGCGTATTCGTGCATGCGTGTATGTGCACATGTGTGCGTGTGTGCACGTTTATGTGTGTATGCATGTATTCATGTGTGCCCACTTTGCCATATGTAATTATCTATTGAGCTGTTTGTTTACTGACTCAGGGAGTTGTGAGTATCAATGTACACTGTTTGCTCATGCATTTTTGTAAGGACAAATGTGATCGTGAACACCATTCAACACAACTATAAATACGAGCATGGACAGAAGCACAAATGCCAAGGTATGTTCAAGCATAGAAAACAAGTGCTAATGTAAGCAGACAGAGCTAGATATTTAAGTACGTGCGTGTTTACTTACTGACTTGTATGTACACCCATCAAGCAGCAGTGAAGTTTTCGTGACGCCGAAAACGCTACGGTGCCCTTCCCTGCCGAGCCCTGCCGGCCTACCAGAGCCGTAGTGAGCAGAGGCTCTTCCTCCGAGAGGCGTCACGAAAACAAAGGAGCCGTCACAGCCAACTGCCAACCTGTTGGGGCCGTCATTGCACATCTGAGGGGCCTCAATGAAAACTCTCTCGGGCGGCAGGAGTTCACCTCGGTCTGCACAAGCCAAAACAATCTGGATGTGTCAGCTTCAACTGCAGCCTAGTCCTGTGCCCTACCTGGCAACGATAGGCCAGAATGGAAAACTTGGGACAACCGAGAGCTGGCAGCTGGAACCCAAACCCGAAAAGCTGCGGGACCTTTCAGCTCCTCAGCTCCGAAGCCTCTCGCAATGTCACGGATCCGAGAGCGACGCAGCTGCCGGGATAGGCGTGGTCCGTGGTCTCGGGAGCAGCGGCGTTACACAGAGCTCTGAGACTTCACGAATCAGTCACGGCTGGAATTTAATCGTAGCAATTTGGATGGAAATGCTCGCATGAGTGGCAGGAGTTTAGAACGTACAGGATTCGATTTTTGCATTGAAGCCAGTGACCTTGGGTCTTGCTAGACCCTAAACCTTGAACCATATGCTTCGACTGTGAGCATTGCTTTGCATGAACTGCCACGGAGGACCCGGTGTAGGACAAGGTTTGGTATTTAGACCGGGGTATATATGAATGAGTAGGATCTGCGTGTTCGTGACACTTCGCACGACTGATATAGAGGTTCTGATTCTGAGGGCTCTGGTAGGGTTTGGGGCTGAGTGCTTTGGTGCCGTAGTGCGGAGTCAGGCCCAATCGTCCTACTGCCGGCATTTTAAGGACAAGCACGCAGGTGATCCAAAACAGAATCCATCGCCTAAATGCCAAACGGCCTCAACATTCCTAAGCCTTCGAACCCAACCACCAAACATCTCTACAGGGGTTAAGTCGGTTAAGTGCCTTTGAATGGAGGGCTCGAGCTAGCTTTCACGAGATCCATGCCATGCAACACTACACTGGCTTGCATGTGAATAGTCTACAGGTGCTTACGTATGTGTACAAACGTGCATACATACATACATACACACGCGTAAATGCGCACATGCACCCAATAAGGTCCCAGAGCCTGTATGAAGTCTCTAGACTCTCAGCTTACTTTCGGGAACCAGTAAATCCCAAACCCTCAAAAGTTTAAACTCACGTCGCACATCCATTGTTCTCTGAGCCCGGTGCAATGGGAATTACCTTCTCGAAGGGCAACAGGTGTGATGCCAGCGTCTGCACACGGAATTAGAAGTTCCCGAAGCCGGTGCTTTTCTGTTGTCCTTACGAGGATCCCGCCTGGACTTCCAGGGCGAAGATTCGGGGCTTCGGTTTCAGGGCTTAGGGGACCAGAGCTCTGCCGACTGGCTCAACTTGTTCGGGACGACTGCACGCGTGAGTATGACGTGTGTTGGTATCTAAGTCCTTATGTACAAGCCCTGTCTGTATGTAGGTGGGGAGGGAGGGAGGGAGGAAAACTTCCTTGCAGATCTCTTCGATGGAGTGATGGGGAGTCGCTGTGTACACAGACAGCTTCTGTAGCACTGTAGCACTGAAGCAGCTCTAGTTATGCCACTTAAAACTTGAAACTTATAGGGATTTCACAGACCTGCAGACCCTTCACTCCGGGTTGCCCACCGCTGCGAGCACAACTCGTGCATCCGCCGTTTTCTTGACCTCCACGCAAAAGAAACGAAGCCCAGTCATTCAATTCCAGGACTGCCGGCTTCGTCTGAAAGATTTCTGGCGGGAGGTCAGTCATGCGAGATTTGGGAAGAGAGTCTAGGGGACTCTAACACCCTCAAGGGCCTGAAGCCTAGACCGTAAACCCCCACGTCGAGGAGGTTGCGACCGTCCTGGAAGTCTCAGCATCTCAGCCCAAACCTGTAACACAGCCGCCTGTTTATTGAGGAGCACTGCAGCAAGTTAAACGTTGATTATGTGGCTAGGGACATGCGGTTGCCATGGGCTGAAGCCCGTACCCATCCTACGTCATTTGGCCTTCCCGATGGCTCCAGGGTGGGTCCTGGCCTGAGCAGGCAGTCTGAGTTAGGATAGAAACTTGCGAAATGGCTTGATAGTCTAAGGAGTCTGAACGTTGGACAGCACCTTGAACGACATGATTTTTGAGGGGTGGAGGACTCGTTTGGCAGCGAGCATCTTGTCAACTCTGCATTCGCAGCCCGGGTATTTGTTTTGCTTCGTTGAGGTCTGCGTAAGAGGTTGGCATTGAGGAACTGGGTTGGCGGCTAAGAGTTCGGGGTTCAAGACGTCGAGCAAAGGGATTGGCCATCTGCTGGATTGAAGCTTCAGATTCACTTCCTTTTACATTCAGGGCCACTTTGGGTCTAGGGCGAAGTAGTGGCTGCTTGGCAGAGCTGCCGCGGGCAACTCTTTTTTGCTTGATGGCATGGGAGCCCAACGATGAACATGAGACAAAAATGCGGACAGCAACAACACTAACCTAAGTGCATGGCGATGACGACACCGCTGCAAGTTTCGATCCCGGCTTTGATCAAGTCCTCTGCACCTGGGCGCAGAACGATGCCGGTCTTCTACTGCAATGACCGAAAATGCTGCAGCTCCAATCCCCCTTAACCGTAAAGCTAACCCCTAAAACTGAAGTCTAATGATCTAATGCCTGGCGTCTATGACTCCCTTCCCACATGGTCGCAGCACCGCTAAGACGATCCTCTTTGAGGAACCAGCGGAGGGCCGAGCCAGAGACGAAATAAACCTTGGCGGGTCTCGGGTTTGGGGGCCTGGCTTCGGGTTCTATGCGATTTCGAGATAGAGTCATTGCATTTAGGTGGCTTATCGCTTCAGGGTTGCTGATTTGGCCAAGTATCTAAGAAGGCAGCGCCACCCCAAACCTGAAGCCTTCTGATGACACTTCACAAACAGGGGCCCGTGCTCTTTCCATGTGGCAGATCTCGTGCCAGTCTGAGGGCCTTAGAGCAGGGCTTCCGAGGTGGTCCGGGGCTTCCGAGATCCTCCGAGCTTGAATCACTTGAACTCCTGGGCCATCGACTGAAGCTCGCCCATGAACACGACAGTGGGCTGGCTGCCCTGAGCATAAGGAATGGGTGCCAAGAGCAGGCAGGGCAAAGCCCAGAGCGCACCTGGTTCAGCTCCAACCGGTCGTCTCTGAGTGCCTGCATTGTGGCATCGTAGGCCACCGTGCGGCTACCCTGCTCAAGGCTCAGGTCTGCGGCCTTCATGAACATGTGGATGCCAACAGGCGCACCGGTCCTGAGTAGAAGTTGGGGTGACCCGGGTACTGATAGCCAGCTTCCGCCAGCTTCCTGAGCCCCCGTCAGTTTGGAGCTGCCGACGGCGATGCTGCTAACTTCCGTGTCCTGCTTTATCCGGCGAGCGGAGCGCGGTGCGCGGAGTGCGGAGCGCTTGAGTCATGTCGACTTCCCTTTGGTAAGCTGCCGGCACTCACGAAACAGACCAGGATGTGTCCTCACACGCAGATGCGGCTCATCGACATGAATCCTTCCCACCGGCTGTCCCATCATCGGCGGAAGAAGTCCTCCGGTGCTTAGCACATGTTTGGGGGGTCTGCGCCTCGTCAGAAGAGTCCCAAGAGTGTCCCAAGCATCAATTAACTCCGGGACCCGAGCTCTCCCATAGCGTCACGACGGCAACCTGATCACAAGGGCTCCAGCAGCGGCAACGACTTGGGGTTCTTCGTTTCCTGGAGCGTTCTGCGTGGCTGCCAAGAGTGTCTCTCAGAAAAGAGGCTCAGACCCACTGTTGCACACAGAACCGTAAACCCTATGACCCTATGTACACCCAAAGCACAAGCTACCAGTACAAGCTCGTCTTGGTTGAAGCCGAGCCCGGCATCAAACCGTCAGGTCGTCCAGGCTCCCAGCGGTCCAGCAGAGCCTCGAGCTTCTCGAGCTCCTTCACAGTGCTTGACAGCACTCACAGTCCCACAGGCCTGGCTTAGGGCTTAGGGCCGTTTAGGGATAAGGCTTCAAACCACGCGGCTTTAGAACGATCGCGGAAGGAAGCAATGTTGGCCCGACTCCCAAACCGCCCCGAAACTGAAACAGTCTCGCCATCATCGCAGTACGAGACGTGGGCAGAAGTCCTTGCAACACCACAATGAACTCGAAGACGAACAGCGACGAAAACTACGAAGACGAGGCCGATGCCGCCCTGCCACGACCAGCAACACCAAGGCTGGCACCATCACGACCAAGGATGAGGCCGCACCAGCAGCATCAGTTACCAGAATCGGCTGGCAGCAGCACCACCAGCGCCCACCAGCGCCATCCACAACAACTGCTGCTGCTGCTGCTGCTGCTGCTGCTGCTGCTGCTGCTGCTGCTGCTGGCTTGTGCTGCTCTTGTGTTTGACATCACGAAGATGATGACAGTGGCAGTCACGACGCATGACGATGATGGTGATGCCGGTCGCGCAGCAATGAGCTGCAGCAGCAGCAGCATCAGCAGCAGCAGCAGCTGTTTGGAAGTTGCAGCTGGGCCGGTAAGGCGGTAGCTGGCCCGATACCCCATCTACACCACAGCTCTGTCTCCTGCTTCTTCTTCTCCATCTTGTCCAGCGCCTCGTTCGCCGCCTGACTTTGCAACAGTGCTACACCTGTCATGCCTGAATCGATTTAGACAGATACTCAGGAGGGTGGATCGATGCTCGGTAGACAGAAAACAGATACCGTTGAGGCAGGCAGGCAAGCAGGCAGGTGAGGCTGACTGGCTGACTGACTGACTGAAGAGCCAAAAATAAAAATTGACAAAGACCTGCCGGGACAGCCAGCAGCTTCTTTGATACCAAGGTACGAGAGATGCAAGTTCAAAGTGAGAAGCAAGACAGAAAAGGAGAGAGAGAGAGAGAGAGAGAGAGAGAGAGAGAGATGGAGGCAGACAGAGAGAGACGACAAGAGAGGTCTATCAGCCCTAGACCCTAAACCCTGAAGCCTGTGCTTGGTGATGCAACTTGTGGCCGCCGAGCCTTGCCGAGGAGCTTCTTGGACTCGCCCTGCGGGCGAAGGATGCAAAGGGCTCAGGCTTCCGGCCGCGTTGCGGTGTATGTGCTAGGTATGGATTTGAGTGCCAGAGAGATGGAATGTGTTCGCTGGCAAGAAGGCCTCCGCTTCACCATCCGAGCCAAGGTCCTCCTCTTTGTTGACGAGGTTGCGGCGCGGAAACTGTCACAGGCTGGCGGAACGATGATGATAGCAATGCGAACCAAGGACAGAAGCAATGACACCCATCGCGCCATAGCGGCATTTGAAAAAGCAGCAAGGACATGGCCCGGACCTTTCTCTTGTAGGGCTCCGTGTTCGTCGCGGAACCGATGAGATCGGGATGAAGTCCTTTCCTCAGTGGAGGGGCAGCGGAACAGACAGCCACGATAGACGTCTGCCCCTGTCAAAGGCTCCCACTCCAAGAACCTGCACGCAGGTTTGCGTATCGGAGTTCATGATTCTCTGCGATAGTGGAGAGGAACATGATAGCATGCTGAATGCCAGCATGAGAGCACCATGATAGGGAGAATGATGGTGATGAGGATGAGGTGAAGGAGGAGGATGCCTGTGGTGACGAGCGACGAAGGATGACGATCACTAGTGAGAGCTCTGCTGCTCTCGATAGTCAAGATGATGAGGAGGATGATGACGATGACGATGATGTTCATGATCGCAATAACATCAGGAATGACGATGGCAAGCCTTGATTGGCATGGTACCAGCAACAAATTCACCACTAAGATGTACTAGGATTCTTTATGCTACAACTGATAATTTTCACATTATTGCAATTGGTGTTCGATGATTGTCTCCTGTGTTGCTATCAATATGTGTTGCGGCGAGGCACGGCGTCGAGAATCGAAGTTACCATACATTTCCACTACTGTTGAGAATGGTGTCATCCTAAATGCCAGTGGTCAGTGTTAAGTCGCAGTTCCCGTCGTAGTTCTCATCACACGCATGCCTAACTGACTTTTCCCGACACTAGTGGTACCTGTCAGTCATCGTGCTTAGTAGTATGAGGGGTGCTGTCTGCATCGGTGACGGAAGACACTGGATAATCATAGCATTCAGAAAAACATAAACAAGGGTGTCAAATTGATACCATTGATGCTTGCTGCTTACAAATTCTTTCTATCCTTGCCACTGCCAGTAGTGATCCTGCCGTTCCGACGGCTGTTACTCGAAACTTCCTGCAGTGCTGCGCAGCACTCTGGAGAGATGAGCCTCTTCTTGACCCTGAGCATGATGTCCTCGTACTGCTCATCCATCTCTGCCTAGGATAGATAGGCAAGAAGCAAAACATCCTGCACCGGCTCGTGAATCGCAAATCACCAGAAACGAAAAGCCTGACCTCATGCAGTTCAGTCTGCCCTCGCCTTGAGCTGATCCACCTCCCTTGCTCGATCCTTCTCCTCTGCCTGGGGCAGTGTGCTTAACCTAGGGCTCAATTCATAAGCGGAAGCCCCGATGCTCATATTTCCACGAAATTGCGTGGAATCACGAGAGCGGACGTTCGGCATCTTAGTCCAAATCCTGAAGTCTTCTGGGTTGGCTTTTTGTGAATGAAGCTGTATTATCGAGAGCTTGGGGCGCAAGTGTTGGGTTGGTTTGGGGCCACGTGCGGATGCAAGGGTCCCCTCCGAACCTGCTTGAAATAAGATTGCCACCCTAAATGCGTACCTCTGATCAAACACCAAAGTGCTAAACAACCTTACCTGCAACTCTAAAACTCTAAACCGCAAAACTGCACCCTCACGTTGAACTTGGCAATCGTTTTCCAGCCGCAAAGGCGCTTCACCTCCCTCTGTACACATGTGCGGGGCTTCTCAACATCGCGGCAGTAATGTCGACTTGGAGGTGCAGGGTGAACGGTCACAGCAATCGCTGCAGCTGGCAATGCACATCGCAGTAGCATGGGATTGAGGTGATCAAAGCGAGGCGAGGGTTTATGAAAAGTGGGAGTTAGAGGTTTGTTCGTGGACTGTTGAAGAGCTAGGCAGCAGTCACAATATGCAAATGGAAAAGCCTATGAGCATTCTGAGAAGCTCCCACTGAAAATCTGTACAAACCGCTGGCCGCCCGAACAGTCGGCGGGAACAGATGCGCTCGACTCGGATCGGCACAAGGGGCCCAACTGCTGGAACTCCCCAAACTTTGTTGCCCACTGCTGCCGCCGGCCGGTTGCAGCGATTCTGGGTTCAGCGCTTGCGCCGCCGCTGTGTTGCTCCGCGAGACACCTCTGTTGCAAGCACGACTCACTAATTTTGCACTTGCATGATGCTGACGACACGATGACGGTGAGGATGATGAAGACAGTGGCGACCACAACGAACGACCGTGATGATCATGGGCAAGCTCATGCAGAGTGATCACGAAAGCGACCCTCATTATGCAGACGATTGCACTGATGATGACAAAACCTATGTCAACGACGATGGCGATGACGACAATGATGATGAGCATCACCATCATCGACATGATCTCACCATCTCAGGCATGCCCTAGATCAGGTTGTAAAGTCGACGACCACGCGGAGAACGTGCACCAGAACAGTTATTCATCCAAAGCCCTGGTCTGCGCCACCATCACCTTTGCCAGTATCATCATGAGCGGGGTGATACGGTGCTGATGCTGGCAACGATGGTGACAGTTGGAGATCATGCCGGTGGTCATGATGCTGACATTGAAAAACTGCTGCATTTTTGCTGATGATGATGGCGATATGTGGGAATGAGGATGCGAGCGAGGCTCATGTTGCTGCTGATTGCTTCGACTACGGTGCGCAAAAGCAGAGTATCGTGATAAGTATGGCCATCGTGACTGACTATGCTCGGGACCACTGCTGTTTTGCATATCGCCACTGCCCCATGGCCATCATGACTCGTCGTATCAACCCGCAGTGTCTGAATGGCATCCAAAACCTTTCAGTTTGACCCACCATGCAGGCCTCTGGGCATAAGCGTCGTCGCTCCAGATCATCCAACTCCGCATCCTAGGCTCTTTCAGGGAGCCCTGGGCGGGCGGATGCAGGCAGCCACGTCTCGCAGCACTGGAGGCTCCTAGACAAAGCTGTGCAGGTCTTTTTCCTCGTGCCTTAGCCTGCCTTTGACAAAGATCTCCAGAAGAAACCGCCGACACGCGATGCCCCTCAAGACACCCGATGCAAGTTGCGATCCAGTTTTCGAGCCAAGAATCTTCCCCCACCGTCGCAAGGACTTGGAGGGAAGCCTGCAACACGTCATCCCTGCATACAAACCTGTCCTCCAGAAAGCAATGTGTCTACCTAAGAGTGTCCTTTGCGAAGTATTTTGGAATGAGATGTTGTTGCACGCAGCTTCTAGCTCATCAAAACGCAGCTTGCTGAGTCGCGCACTTTGTTGGCAGGCACCCGCACAAGCGGAGGTATGGGCACACCTGAGGTGGTTCGAGATGACAGTTGAGGGATATTTTGCCTCCCAGACAAAGCAGCTACACTGCTACACTTCTGCCATGACGACACAGATTCCATTTCTGCACTCCGCATTTTTCAGCAGCCCTTCCCTGAGAACCTTAACCCGAAACCGACAAGTCCTAGACTCCCAAACACACCTGAACCTGAACCTGAACTCTCACGACGGCCCTTCCTCGAGGCTTCGAAGGGCCCCCTCCCAGCTGCTGCGCTCGCTGCGCCCAGGTCAGGGGCTTCGCCCCCTCCGGGCGGACCAGCACTGCACCGCTCTCCTGGAATTGTCGACGCTGAGGGCTTCGGAAATCGAAGGTCTGGGGCTCTAGGATGCCAGTGCGCATTGAAGCTTGAGGGGTTGCACACTGAGAGAAGTTGGCCGACAGAGTACAGTCGCCAAACCCCGCCCAGCTCCAAAAAAGGCCTTCAACAAAGGGCCGAGAAAGCTTAGAGAGAGCTCCTCGTCAAAGGCCAAGTCAGGTTCTCCGATGTCCAGCCAGGAGGACAGCGAGGAGGTTTCGCAATCAACGAAGTCGTCCAAGGCTTCCGGAAGCGATGGCCAGCCGGATCTAGGATGCAAAGAAAAACATCCCAACCCAAAACAAGCTCGCACCACCAACCTTTTGCCGATGCTCACACAAGCCATCGCTTCAAGATCAACTCGTTTTGCCTCGGGCCCGAACCCCGACAGATGCACAGGTGTCGAATGCCCGCTTCGCACACCGATCCCTGGGCCTGGCAGGGTGCACCCAGATTGTAAGCTTCAGATACAAAATCGGCGCTGACTATACGAACAGTTCTTCGAGCCCCTTGTACTACTTACCCACACATCCATGCCTGCGCTTGTAGCAGCCCGGCAGCTATCCCCAGAGCTGTCCACGGCTTGATCCTCCTCTTCTATCGTGCTGTCCTCCACGCAAAGGTCCCAGGCCTCTAAAGCATCCTTGCGTCACAACCGTTTCAACAACTAGTCTCCCAAAGTTCAACACAAGTGCTCCCAGTAATGCGCTCAACCACTCATCACGTCTCCAAGCGCATTAGAGTGGCGATGGATGCCTTTTCCATATCCTTGCAATGTCCAGCTGGCTTGGACGAAGCACCTCCAGGAACGGCGGAGGAAGAAATGCAATGTGGCTTTATTGTTGTGGGCTGGGCTTCTGGATTATTGGACGGCAGAAATTTGAGGTGCCTTTCAGTTGTAGCCCACCGGCTTCTTCATACTGAATGCAGCCCAAACCCTGAGTCCTAAATCTCAGAGTCCATCCTGAAATCAGCTGCAATCAGGCCTAGCATTACCTCCGGCAAATCCTCGTAGCATAGGGTCGGTCCAGCCGGCTCGCGCCGCAGCTCTGCCTCGGAGCCGGGTTTAAGCTGGGCTGACTTCCCGCACGGTCTCCTCTCGTGTGCAAACCTTCAGCTAGATGCTGCCACATCAATGGCCAAGCTTCCCAAGCAAGCCTTAGCAACTCCGCAGATTGCCCCTGTCCTCTTGCACTCTTGTGCCTGACCCTTCAGCCGCGATGCAGCTGGTGGGCTCTGCTCCAGTGTGACGCGCGGCGGCCGGCTTTTGCACATGGCCTCCACTGTGGCCGACGTGGCGTGCATGGCACACGGGTGCCGCACCACACCTTCGAGCCAAAATACTGCATCGCGTCCTGCATGCCTCTGCATCGGCATCGATCACCGCGAGTGTGGCATTTACGAAGTAGTTGCGTCGGTCGAGCCTGCGCAAAGTCTGCGATGTTGGCAGATGCTTCGCCTGTCCTGAGCCAGAAGAAGCTTCAGAAAACCGACGAAGGTGCTGCGACAAAGCGGTACAAATGCTGGGCTGCGCACTGGCTATCTGCAAGTTGCCTGCAAGCGGGTGAGCCAGTCAGCATACTTTCGGTGAGCTTGAACCGAAACTTCGAAACTACCAACGAACCCTGCACCCTTAAAACTATTCCCTGCATGACTCTGAGTTGGAAACAGTAAACTAAACCCGTGCCGGCCCGAGTTCAACATTGACAAGGCTCGTGCCTCGCGCTAAGAACAAACCCCGGATACAGGTGGACTGCTTCCAGAAATCTGCAAGACACTACACAAGCAGGAACACGTTCCGCACAATACCCACACAGTGATTTCCACACATAAATCACTATTGCCGTCACATGCCAAGCCTCAGCGAAGGCAGCATATCGTCCTTCTTCTTCTTCCTCTCTTCAAGCACTTGAAGCTTCACACAAACTTGTATTTGTTGGATAGTGGTTGCGCTGCAGCATTGTGCCAGGACACCTCATTGTTGTGTGTTGACTCCGCTGGTCTCTACTCATGGCCAGATGCGATTGCACAAGTGTCAAGGACAAGACGCCAGAGTCCCAGTCCTTTCGTAACCAGTCTGGTCACAGCTGCTACTGACCCCGCACAAACGCATGGAGTTTCTAAGGTCCGAACCCAGCCAGGACCTGTCAGATGGAACAATACTGACATGCGCTGATGCTTGGAGGAATCGACAGCTGCGTTCCAGCTCCACATGTTCCTAAACGTAACATGTGCTATCAGGTTTGTCAAGGAACAAGTTGATTCGGGCATCTCGACTGAAGCTCTGGGTCCATCCCTGAGGCCATCCCTCATCCTGCTGCCAAAGCAGCAAAAACATCCTAAACTCATGAAACCCCCAAACCCCTGCAGAGCACCAAGGTGACCAATGTGGTTCATTGAAACCGATGAACCTGGAGCGCTTGAGTAGGCTATCAGTAGAGGTACGGGCCGGTAAGATAGGCCTAAACTTGGAAAGGGCTTCAAGCCGCGAGTTCCGGAATCTGGTGTTTTTCTCGCCTTCTGCTGCTGCTTCTCGAAAAGCGGCAGACGCCGAGGCATCTTCGCTCGCCTTTTTGTCGGAGTGGGAGGCAGCGTTGAAGGCTTCGGGCAAACGGCGGTCTGTGTGGAGCTAAATTTTCTGAGACGTAAAGTTCAGGTTTCGAAAAGAGAGCCTACCTGAGCCTCTGGATCACTAGATGCGATCTACTAAATGGCATCGCAGGTTGAGAGGGGGAAGTCCTCAAATTCCCATGGCGTGAACACATGGAAACCCGAAACTCGAACATGATATTCGAACCTCTAAACTCGGCAGGGCTGCAGGCTAAGAGTCCGTGTCGCTGTGTGTGCTTTGGGGCAGTTGTTCTGACTTTCGGGCCGCAGAGAGTTTCCGCGCCTGAGACAAATCATAGGCCGTACTAGTAGGTGGTAAAACCTTGTGTAGCCGCGAGGTTCAAGGCATCCTGAAGCCATTGAAGCCCAGGCACGAAATCTTCGGATCTTCCCCAGGCGGGACTTGCTCGATTTTGTCAAGCTCCGGGGCGATGAAGACCTAGCACCCGGGTCTCCCACAAGGGGGGTTTAGGGCCTTACGCGTTGGGGCTCGAGCCCAAATCCTAAACCCTAAACCGTGCCAACAAGCTGACACTCAGCATCGCACCCCAGCTGTGCGCCCCTCGACCACTTTGAGCTCGAAGTCCGGACCTCGATTCGCGCTCCACAAAGATTTCCACGGCTGAGGAGCTTTGCATATGCCATGCCACGAGGTTTTTGCGTAAGCAATCGGCCGGGGTTAATCAGAACCTCCCTTTCACCTCACGGACGGGAGTCGTCAGTCTTCATCCAGTCAGTTTGTGCTTGGGATTGCTTGGGTTTACAGCGCTTCGGGCTTCAGATTCCAGATGCGAGGCTCGAAGGTTCTCTGGCACCGGGGCAATTAGCGGCATCCTGCTGAACTCGACAAATTGCCTGCCGAGTTGTTCCTTGTACCTACATGTGCGACTGTGGGAATAATGATCAGGGCCAGGAAGGGGCAAAATGCACATCCCCTGCCTTTTGCATGGCCACGACTGGTGTTCAATGGCACCGTGTCGGTGATGCCTTGCAGGGTCAGTCACGCACCCTCTCCTTTGCAAAGCAACCCAAAATCCTCACGTAAGCCCCAAAACACCGAAACTCGTGCTCTTCAGATCTGAGCCTCGAACAATCTAAGCCTAAAGCCCCAATGCGCACTCCATTCCTGAGGCTCGATCCGATCAAGTACGTGCTGCCCTTGGACCGCACCATCACGTCCTGTTGTTGCTGAGCGACTCTGGATTCAGGGCTCAGGTTTTGAATCTCTTTCACTGGGGTGATACTTGGAGGACCACTGATTGGGACTATCCGACTGTCCTTCTCTAAACTCTGCTAGCACTGAGGGCTTCATGCTGGATTTTTTGCGGGACGCAGGCGTACCTGCAGACTGGTTATGTTGATATGTCCTTCTTTCCAGTTACAAGTAAGTATGAAAACGAAATGAACACATCAAAGAAGCACTGCCGGCAACAGATGTCCTCAAATGCGTCGATGAATGTGTAGCCGCTGTATCCCGTGGAAAGCGGCACCTGCAGTCTATCAAGAAGCTTTCTAGCTACATACTGTATCTATCTTGTATGCTCGGACACTTGTGTGTGTGTGTGTGAGTACGTACATGATATGTATGTACATGGTACTGGGTATGTCTGTATACGTGTACGTGTATACATACATATATATATGTGTATATATATATATACATATATATATATATATGTACATATATATATATATACATATATATATATGTATATATATATATATATATATACACGTGCTGTATACGGTACATAGTTGCATGTGTGTATAAACAGCCATACATATATTTCCTTAGTTTGCTGATTTACGGTATCTAGTCATTGATTGGTGTATTTGTTCGTGTGTTCATCATGTTCGTGTTGTTTAATTGAATTTACCTATATTCAGATTCTTTATCTGCACACACACACAGAGACCATTAGACCAGGCTCTGCGACTGTAAGGTTTCGAGTTTCAGGCTTTGTGGTTTTAGAGTTTCCGGCTGTAGAGTTTCAAGTTTGGGAAATCAGAGTTTGGCACTTGGTTTACTCAGTTTACTCGCCTCTCCTCGGATCCAGCATGCGCGAAGGCAAGGCTTCTTCGCCACTATGGCGGGAGATGTGCATCCGAAAAAGAACTATTGTATCTGAGTTGCCGTCAGGAGATTTCCGGTTCTCGTGCACTGATCTGTTTGGAAACCCGTCACACGACAGACGAGAGTCACATGAAGGAAACATCGTACTTGTAGCCTCAACAACGAATGGTCATGTCTACACGTTCGCGATAACGGCGATAACCACAGTCACAAGCGGAATAAGCAGAGGAAGAAGCAGAGTGGCAATGAGAAGTGCGCAAGAAGAATAGAATGGTTTCAAGCCCGCGGTAAACTTGGCAACACGAAGATCATCACAGAGACAGTAGCAAACAAACTGTTGCAGGACTTGCCAAAAAGCACTTGCAATAACATAATGGCAGCAGCAGTGCAGTCGGGAAAGTTGTACAACTAGATGCAGTGTCAGTGGCATCGTCACTCGCTAGAACACAGTCGTGATCCCAGCAGTCCTGGAAAATCCTCCAGACGTTGGACCCGTACTCAACCTACAACCTGAAGCATACAGCACCACACGAGACTGTAAGTCCTAAACGCCATCTCAGCTGCCTCGTAGAGCTCATTTCCAAGTCCGTGCTCGTAGTCGGCTGGCGGAAGAGCTCAATTCCCATTCAGTTGTTCCGAATAGCTTTGCTTACTTACAGTCATGATTAGGAGGTTGTGCATTACGGCTTCGGGTTCGGGGACAAGACGTGGGGAGGCTTGCTTTGATGATTCGCAGGGATGTTTCTTTCTTCAAGCTAACCTGATCAGGACGAGCCAAGATCAGGTCCCTTGGACAAATATTGGGGTCCATGGCTTCGCCTAGTACGGGAGCCTCAACCCGTAGCGACGTTGATCTCATGTTAATCCCCTTCCGCTGACAGAAGAAATGACCCCGAGAACCTTGCTCGACGCTGCTTCTCTTCTTGGAACTTTTTGGTATCTTTGTTGTCAAAGCATGTACGCATTAGGCCTAGACCTTGAATCCTTTATCCCCCTTAAGCCGAACGGAGCTGCAGGGCTGCTGAGTGCCGTGCAAAGCCAGTGCCGCCGCGTGCGGTACATGACATCGGTGCCCTCGCCTCCAAGGTTGGGACTTCGGGCTTCCGGCGGAAGACAATCCCAGCCGGGCATCGTAGGATTTAGCACCGCGGGCAGCAAGGCTTGGTCGCTCGAGCGCTGAAGTGTGATGCATGTCGGGTTGCTTTTGGTGCTTTTGAGCCTTGAGCTGTCAAGAACCACCTAGCGCAACCAGACCTGTAGAGTGGATATCTGAGCTTCCTGCCAACAGAGACGCAAAGGTTGCTGATCATCGTGATGGCCCCAGGAAACATGCATGCCTGCGTTCGAGGAGGACTTGAGGATTGCAGCTTCGGGCTTCGGATTTGGGGAATCCTGTAACTGGCTTGGCATACACCGCACCTTTCCCAAGAGGCCCATCTTGATGGCGTCCACGCCTGCACAACAGCGTAACAATAGCACTTGCACAGGCAAGGAAGGTCATCTAGGGCCCCTGCTGACAAAATAAGAGTTGGGCGTAGAGCCAGACAGGACAGACCCTCGGTGCCTGAGCTGACAAGCTGCGAAGGATTTGGACATCGCACAACTTGCTGAACGTCTCTGGGACCGCAGCTGAGCACTGTGAAGAAGGCCTGCCATGTTAGTTGCCGTGAAAACCGCATGCAGCCGGCATGTTTAGCGAACTCACCTAAACTCTGTTTCTTGGGCAAACACATGTTGCGCGGATCTTGCTTCCAGCTGCGCAAATGGCGTACGTGCCTTCAGTGCAAGCCGCAGATCTACAGTATCTACAGGGACGCAGAAGGCGAATGCTGACCTGTGCTGTGAGTTATTCTGTAGTAGTGCCGGTGTGTGTAGGGAAACTCGATTCTGGGTGCCGGGCGCATAATGTTTGCCTGATCGTCGCTGTCCACTTCGGACGTCATCATGTTCGGCAGGATCTGGGCCCAAGATGCCCCTTTAAACTCCCACAAGCGCTACATTTCCCCGACACTCCCAGGTTGCAAAGAAACTTAACCCTCTAAACCTGCACACCGAAAGCCAAGATCACTCAAACGCCCGAAGCTTCAACCCGAAACCCGCAACACCTATTCCGAGCTCCAGGCCACTGCGGTCTTTGCATAAGCCGCAGCGACTCTGCGGCAGTCCGCCGGCTGGAAAGTCTGGTCAACAAGCTGGGTCATAGGATGGAGTGCTTTGAGTTTAGGGGCTTGGGCTGAAGGGTTGAGGATTTAGGTCCTACTGTATGGTTTATTGTCTTCCAGCAGGTGTTTACTAAAGGAGTAATCATCATTACCATAGCCATCAGCATGGCAATAGTCGCATTGACGTGCCCAGGCGCAGTGTTTTGTTAAGCTAATGCTGATGCCGCTACTGTAGCAGAAGCACCACCGTGGGGACATCTACGATGCCAAAAGGAAGAAACATGAGAGAGAGAGAGAGAGAGAGAGAGAGAGAGAGCGTGCAAGCAATTCAAACATCAACATCGACACATATCCATTTCTGTGCCTGACGTATCGAAGTATGCATGGCATGCACTTGAACTAAACAAGACCCCACACCGCCCCACACCTCTCCCTTGATAAGGAAGACTCGGCTTCGAAACCTTGGCGAGGTGGCAAGAAAAACAAAGAGGAAAGCTGAGACTTACAAGCAGCTGGGGAAAGCGTAGACACGATGAGGCCCCGTCATGGAGGCGTCCTTGAGGTCAAGCAACCTCAAGAGGATGGGATTTCGCGTTCAGGTTCGGGGTTTGCCATGCGCCCCTTTGAGCCCCAGCCTTCGCAGGTGGGACAGTACCTTGGCATCCTCGAGGAATACCACAACATCGCGGGCCTAGTTGTTGCTTCTTGGTCCAGCCCCTCTTTCCCCGGCACAGCTGCAGTTTGAAGACTGGCCTCGCGCTCGAAGTCCAAACCACCCGCGAAGTGGTTTGGATGGTAGTACTGCCGAAAGCAGGCTTGCAACCAATATCGGCAGCTTGGAACTGCTATCTGCGAGCCTGGCTACTCTAGGAACCACTCAAAAGCAATCTGGAAAAGACACAGCCTCAAACAGAAACTCGATCAGAGTCTTCGCGGTCCTGCCATACTTACACATTTAATTCAAGAGCAGCAATCTCCCTGTGTTGCAACTCGTGGCCAGCATGAAGGATAAGAGTCTGAACGCCTCTGTCAGCATCGGCATGCCCAGAACGATGTGGGTTTGATGACACAGTAGCACTAGCTTATCACTAGGTTGCAAACGGTGCCGGTTGCTCGGGCTGCCAGTAACGATGGTGTGGCCATCACTTCGGTGTTGCCTGGCCCGGAACTCGCGACATTCAGAGATCGGGCTGTGGATGCATCAACTAAACACGATGTGAAGCAACATATTTCTGTGACAGACCATCCAAGAGATACATACACACATGCACAGACACATACGCACACATATACATGCCTACATGCATGCATACACAGCTGCACAGAGGCACGCATACACTCATACACGTACACACTTGCATACACACATCCTCACATACACACTTATGTACATGCATACATGCGTACATACTGAGAACGTAACATGGGGACTCCTTCGCAAGTAACTTGAGAACATTGAAGGGTCCCCTTGCTGTGAAGGCTGCGGCCTGCTCTCGATGGGATATCGCCTCAAGGAAGTGACGGGATGCTGGAGTCTCTAGATTACCAGCTTGAGAGATCTTCGCTTTGAGGAGACAGAGGAGACACAACATGAAAAAGCTGCTACTGCCAGCGAGGCACCCAACGAAGCTCGCTTTCCCTGTCAAGGCATTGAGGCCCACAGGCACTATCCTGTTCAGGAATCATCGAAGGTTCAGACATACTGCACAGTGGCTGCAAGTAGTGCGCCTGGCCATCTGGTAAATGGCGACACCCAAACCGAAGACGGCAGCTATCTGCAGAGACAAGCATGTGCGGACAGTAGACAGCTATACGTCACGACCACCAGCATCTGGAGCAACAAACAGCATCAACATCGGCATTCTGATGACCATCCTCGTCGCAGCGCAAAAGCCATTAATATGGCTAGCTGTCATGATTTGGACACTATTGGATGTGGCTGATGATGATGATGACGAAGACGAGGACGATGACGAAGACGATCACGACGATGGCGATGATGATGATTGTGATGGTGATGGTAGCAATGATGATTGATGGTGATGGTGATTGTGATGGTGGCGTGTCACTGCCAGCTGTCGAGCAGCATGTTTGAATTCGTCGCACAGTGGCACTGTTTCTTTTGCCCATGCCTCCACAGAACTAAAAACAAGGAAGAACGTGACGACTACCACCAACATGCTTAGTGGCCGGAAGAGTCGCCTTGCCGCTTCTCCCGGCCCTCTGCAGGCCCGGCCCGAAACCCTTAGCTTTCGACACAAGCCTGGCCAATCGAGCAGCTCGGGGTCCGCTCCTCGGCCCGGTTCGGTCTTCTCTCGTAGGCTTCTGAATTTGAAGTCGTTGATGTAGGGCTGAGGTCTTCTCTTGAGGAGGCTTCAACGGGTTTCGTCGTCGTGTTATGATATGATCTGTGATGTGTAGGTTTTAGGCCTTAGGGCAGGCCTCGGGCTTGGAGCTCTTGAGCGTTTCGGGCTTGGGGGAGGTTTCGGTGTGTTCGCGTTGCGGACTTGGGAGTGGAGTGGAAGGCTCCAAGACCTGCCGACGGGCTAAAGAATACCCTTAAAGGGTTTAAAGGGCCTGCAGGGTCTGTGATTTTGTAGGAGTTCCAACACTCTCAACGTCTGCAACACCAGAGCCATCGTTGGTCAAGAGCACAGCGTCACATGTTGAATATTCTTGATCGAATGTGGGCAATGGTTATAGATGCTGGCATGACTAACAGTAAAAACAGGTCCACATTATCTCAGCACTCATCACACAAGACTACACATTCACACAGTGGCATCGAGGCTGCCATTCCGCACAAAAGATCGCTGCGACGCAAAAAATGCATCTGCTAAATGGCTGACGTCCAGCCATTCGCAGTGCCGCATGCGAGACGGCTATTGACGATTCGATCGTCTTGTTGTAAAGTTTTCGGTAGGTTGCGGTTATCCTGGCGACCTTCTCCCCACTAGCAGCATCATCAGAGCGCCCCACATCATCAAGGACATCATCGCCATCACTTTCCCCTTCATTATCACGCGATGGAAAACGTCCGAGCACGGTGCTAGTCTGGCGAGGGACCCTCAACGAAGTTGATGTTAGGATGGTGAACATAGATCCGGCGATGCCGGATGTAGCAAAACAAGCTGGCCCCCCGACTCAGAGTCCCAAAATCCGACAGCTTGAAGCAGAAAGGAGAAAAACCTAAACCCCAAAAGGATCCAAAAGGCCTGAAACCCCAAACCTTCAGCGCCGGGCACTGTTTCCCAGCAGCGTGAACAGAGAGACTGACCACACCTGAAACGATCCATGCACCGGCGACTATTGGGCGTGGTGGCATGGGCTCAGGCTTTGGGAATTGGGAGTTCGAGTTCATGCTGGTGCGCTGGTCCTCCCAATTTAGGGTTCAGGAAAGGTGGGATGAGGTTCTGCCCTTGGTGCCGCTGCTGGTAACTCCAAGTTGTTCAAGCCTGCATTGATCCAGCATGCTGGGCATGCGACGAGACCATCGGACATTGTCCACGGATACTCCACGCCTTGGCCCATCACTCACCCTGCTGCCAGTCAGTCCAAGGCACCTGCGAGAACATACAACTGAGGCCCGAAACCCGAACGGTAGTGATGCTCCCAAGATAACATGCTAATTGAACAGTTACGGGGCACTGGCACTACAACAACCACAACAGTAATCATGGCAACGCCCCAATGGTATAGTGTCTGGAGAGACAGCATCAATCGCAGTATCTCTCAAGAACCAGAGGCAGAACTGGAGCCCGAGGCTCCCAACCAGGCAGCCGGTCTTGCGCGATGCTGCCTGGACGGGCTTGCAGAGTTCAAGAGTTTGGGGTTTAGGGTTTGCAGTTTCAGTCTAGAGCTTCTCGAATACCGCTCCTTGTAATCAGCAGATTGCACTCTCAGTCTCAAAAGCCCGAGGCAGTGTCAAGGGTGTAAAGGTGTACAGCGAAGGAAACCGTGAGGAAAACGAGCTCTGCCTTTGTCCTCGGAGCTTTGTAAACAACCAATTACTATGAAAATCCGTCCCGTGCAAGCGAGCTTTAGAAATACCCAACTTGGCCTCGAGGCTTCAGCAGTTTCAGCTTGCGGTTGACGACTGCTGCAGGGTGTGGAGCGTTCTAGATTCTAGGCCAGGCCTCAATACTGCTCCAAAACTCAAGCAGGAGAATGAGTAGCAGAGTGGCAACAGCCATCGCAATTGACACCAGACTGTTGCTGGCAAGGTGGTTGGTAGTCGATAAGATTTCAGTTTCCTTATATCGTTGAGATGTTCTCCTTGTCAACAGCAGTGTCACAGAAGTTGTCACGCAGCGAGTGTCTAGTCGTTTGGCTTTGCTGGCAGTAGCTTACGAATATCACTTTGCATGAATATCCTGACTACCTTTAACGCAATTCGGATGACTGACACTTTCACTGCCATTTGGCTCACTGCGATGACGACAAGTACTTTTCCCTCCTCCTTTTCCGCCAATGCTACTGCTCCTACTCCCAAAGCCAATCCTGCTGCTACGGCTACGGCTACCACCACCATCACTACTACCGCTACTCCTGCTGCGGCTTCTGCTACTAACGCGGCGACGAAGCCTGGCTGTGGCCCCAGGATCTCGAGCGTCATGATGATGGCCGCGAACTGCACAGAGGCTCTCTGCTTAGGGGCTCAGCGGCGACGCCAAATCATCAGGGGCTGCCCAGTGAATCCCCACAATCGCATCTCTGGTTCCAGGACATCTTTCCTCTCGCTGAGTCGCAGACCAAGAACATGCCGTTGAGAACTGTCATCGAGACATAGGCGATTTGCCTGCCCAGAATGACCCTGGCCCGAAACCTGAACACTGCAATCACTGCAAGCCCTCAACCTGAACTAAACCCCGTGCTTCAAAAGCTGCCTTTTGAAGTTGTCCTGGCTCTTGCTGGTGTCCGCTCTGGAGAGGCACGACAAGCAGCCTGGGATGTCACCCCAAGCAAACCAGCTTGATGATCCTTTCCAGGTTCGTAAACAGAACTGGTAGCTGGTGAAGCAAGTCTCCGGTTTTCGGTGGGACTTGATCGCAAGCGACATCATTCTAAGGGTTCCTCTCGTTGGAAGAACCTTCCCCTTAAAACTTGCGGGACCCGAAAATCCTAAAGTAGGACCCAAACCGCCGAAAACCTGAATACATGCACCGTAAACCGAATCCCAATCGAGAAGTGCGGAGGTCCTGCCTGCTCTTCGAGGTTTGGCGTGCGTTCGGGGCTCGGCACGGGAAGGCTTCGGGGCCCCAGGGTTTCGAATACCCGAAGCTCGTGGTTTGTGAGACCCGATTGCATCTGGAACCTGGTACCCTTAACTCCAAAGCAGCTCCAATGTGCCACCAGCGGACGGAACACGTGCGTGCTTGCCAGAAACGACAGCGACCACCATGTCCGCTTTTCTGGCCGTCGCTTGGGGGGCTGTATGCTTTGTTGCCTCAAACCAAAGTCCGTGTGATTGGGACTTTATGGAGCCGTCCCAAGTTGAAACTATTCTGACATGCTCAATAAGTCGAAGGTTCGGAGCCCAAGTGTCGTTATCGTAGACATGCCCGGAACAGAGGTAGTAGTGCCAATAGTAGTAGCAGTATTGGTAATTGTAGTACCCGCAACAGCTGCAGAAGTCGTAGTCGTCGTGGTGGTCGTCAGCCGGCATCGTCGTCGCGGTAATGTCTGATGAATATTGCTATTGTAGTACCACCGAAACACTTAATTTAGGAGGTCCGCCGCTGCCGTCTCCGGGAAACTGCAGGTATGATGGGTGGAAGCCGCTGGGAACCAGAGGTTTTGCGCAGGGGTGCTGAGCAACCAACGCACTCGACTCCTAGTTCACCGCCCAGCCTTCTCCTGGAGGTCCAGCAGAGATTCCTCGCTTCTCGTTCCACCATGCTAGGGCTTGCGAGATGGGGGAGCACATGTTGGGTGCACGGGGACCCAGATGCGGAACAAGGACTGGCAGCAAACGAAGTCTACGAAAAGACCGCACCGTGCAGATTCCTTTCACGGCAGCCGGCCTAAACCAACCGTCGCAGTGCAAACAAGGCAGTCAACCTCAGCCATCCGGCGCTTTACAGGTTGCTAGTTTGCCACAGGAATCAGAAAGGTATTGGTCTTTGCATGAGGCGTGTCCTTCGTGACATGTCGACTCAGTTGGTGGGATTATTCTTCGGGCTTGGGGGCTACAATCTTGCTGGCACACGGAGAAGTAGGGCTCTGACGAAAAGTGCTCCCCGGAAGCTGTGAACCATCAACTGTGGCACGAGAAGATTCGGGATGATTCTTTCCAAGAATGTGCACACAGACTTCTTTTGCAACATTGTCACAACAAATATTGGGAACAAACTCGGGTGGCGGCAAGAATGAGAATCCAAGGGGTCAGGAAGAGTAAGGGATAAAAGGCTGATATCAAAGCCAAGAACCAGGCACGACTCCGGAAAGCTAAGCCCGATATTGATCAGACTCAACGTACCAGCACTGCTGAGAACGACACGGAAAGAAGCCAGGGCTTCAACGACAGAACTCTTACAGATGCTGGTGCTGATGATACCGCCATCAGTACAACGTTGCTACGAATGCTAGAACACTTCCAATACGCTCAGCCTACTGATACGATCATGCTGTAGTGCGTCACCACTGCGCGTGTACGCGCACAAAGCACTGTTCGTAAGGCGTACAAGAGTAGAGGCATCAACCGGGCAATGCCACGAAGCTCAACAATCACCACTGCGCACAACATCTCTCTCCAGCGGTGTCTCGTTTTGAAAAAGTTTCTCGATTCGAAACGCTGCTGTTGGCCTGCCGGAAGCCATCGCAGCACACCTCCGAGGACAGCGTCACCGTGGTTGACTTTCTATTTCGGAAGGTGCTTGTGAGCTTTGCTTCTCGCCACCAGCTCCTTTCAAGATGATTGGGTTGCGGATGCAACCTCATTGGCAACATCGCGAGTCTTGCTGCTCTGGTGGTGTAGCCGAAACAGTAGCAGCGGCAGCAGCAGCAGTGGTGATAGCCGTCGTCGGCGACGACAATGGGCCATATTGCAGTCTCAGCGAACGCGGAACCCCAAAGCTACGCCTGACATTGCAGGTGACTCTGGGGACTCTGCATACGCCCATCGAGAGGCCACATCGATCAGGGAGATGAGAGTGCCTTCGGTTGCCAGTACATTGTCAGGGGGCACTCAATGCTATAGCTGTGCTTGAATCAGTTTCGAGACTCTCGGCGCTTGGGTCGGAACCTGAGGTCTAGATGTCTCAAAATTGGAGAACAGCAGCGTACCTAAAGAGTCTAACGAGAGTGACAATGCCTTTCTTGTTAGGGTATCTGTAAGGGGAAATGGGACTCCGAGAGGCTGACCCAGCATCTCGAAGGCGTGGAGCAGCGGATCGACAAAGCCCACCTCAGCTGTGGAGAGAGCCTGGAAATTGTCCCTTAGTGGACCCTATGCCTGAATCCCTGTAGCCGAGAAGCCAAGCCTACAGCCACAAACTGCAGCCCATGACAATCTGAAGTTCCTGAACTGCGTAATCTGGGATGTGGGAGCTCAGCACAACAATCAGACCTTGATGCTCGGCCCATTAAGTGTGCAACCCCTAATCGTTGCAAAACAATATTTTCAAACAACTAAAGCCCAGAACCCGCTGGCCTTATCTCAAGACCCTTGATCCTACGCCGTACCTCATAAACAAAACTGGAGACCATTGTTGGGGAGCCGGGAGCACAGTTATGCACGGTTCAGGGTTTACGATCGTCTTGGAACGTCTTTGCCAGAGATCTCAAACCCTGACTTGAAACCCCCTTCTTTGCATGTCCTGGGCTGCGGCAATGGAGCGGTGCACGAAGGTGATACTCTGTAGCATGTAGATGCCTCGCATGCAGGGTTTCAGGTATCTCTTTCAAGAAGCGGCGACATTTAATTGGCTATTGCTGAGGACCCACTACGCCCTCCATCTCTGAGCTCTGCATCTGTCTTCCCATCTTTGTCACTTTGGATCCCACCCGTTTCATGATCTCATCGCCCTTTTTTTCCCGTCCCTGTGGATCTGAGCCTCAAGGACCTCGTGCGACTATTGGAGAATCGAACAGGCCTCAATTGACACCTACGGCAGCTAAATAAGATGGACATGTTTGGACTTCCGTATGAGAAGTGCATTATTGTAAACTCCGACAGCAACAATCCTCGTCGCCACGGCCACAGCAACGATCGCGTTAGAGCATGCTTGCAGCACCGGCTCTGCCAACCAACGCCACTGGCAGACATGTTCCTACTAGTATTGCCAACGTGGCCGAGAAGAGCAAAAGAACTGCGAATTCTGAGAGATGCTTCTAAGCGTGGAATCTCGAACTACTCACCAAGAAGACAGAAATCTGAATAGTAGGTTTACGATCACCACAAGCATTGCAAGCAATAGCAAACTCATATTACCGATGCTCGTCGAAGCAACACCGGTAAGAAGCCTGTTAAGCATAAGCCAGCACCGGTCCCTGCCGAAGCCAGGCCATACCTCGGGTGCGGGAGAGTTCAGGGATTTTCAGCAGTGTCCAAGTCCTGCCCACAAGCCTTACGCTTTGCACTTCAGGGTTCAGGGCTTGTAGAGCTCAAAGCTTTCCCCTTCAAAAACTGAAAGTTTCTGCACTCTACCTTCAGGCTTCAGGTCCACGCGCTCTGTGTAGTGACATTTGGGTCTACTCACAAGATGATGGAACTTGCCTCTAGCACGTAGGGTTTTACTTGAACACCTTAGGGCTTTGGGATCTTTCTGCCAGCGCGCTGGTAGCGTCCGAAAGTGCCCCGGAAGTCAAAGTCGATAAACGGCGCCAACGTTGTCCACAGAACTTGGCAGGCAGATTCCGGGACACGGGAGCCCGTGGAATTCTGGGCTGGAGGATTTGTGGTTTAGGTTTCGTCAATGAGGACCTGCTTCACCCCTATGCTTCAACACTCAAAACATAACATACGTAAGCATGTCGAAGTCTGCAGTGCCCTAACTTGAATTTGTACTGGTTTTGACATGGTCTACGTTTACTCGATTTTACCAGCCCCAGAACCGACTCCTATGCCCGAAACCTGTCGTGGCCCTGCGAGGCACAGGCCGCCAAAGAAGATAAAGACGACCCAGAGGCCGGCCTGGCAGCTTTCTCAGGCTGGGCTGCAGCGTTTTGGGAGATGAAGTCTTGGGCCTTCAGGACAGGGATTCTGAGGTTCTTGTCAGGTGCCTAATTATGGGGTTGTACCGGACGTGATATCGGCAGACAAGATCGTCGTGCTAGCAGGATGCAGCATGATACTCCGGCACCTGCGTTGCACCATAAGGAACCAACTGGGCAGCACAAACGTTTGCCACGTGTAGTTTTGGAGGGAAGAGCACGTGCATGCGACAAACTGTGTGGCTTCGTAGAGGTGCCTGACTATGCTTAGGATCATTGATCATGCGTTCAGATCACAAACACTGCTTATTCTTGAGGGCCGCGCACCCGGCCGCATGTGGTGGCTTGCAATATGAAGACGGAGCCAAACCATGGCAGCCATGGCATCAAACAGGTCGAGGATGCCGCCACCAGGACTTGGCCTTCGACTGATCATCATTCAGTATCGGTGTTTTCTGAAGTTGCAATGAGTTGCATATGTATCACCGCGGAGAGAGCCGTGTCCCGAGCGTTAGCTGCTTGATGACCCCATCCCACGCAACGCAACAGGCCTGCGGCATGCTCCCAAGTCGGTACAGCGCACTCCTCACATCACGTTCGGAAGAGCTGATTTTTTTTTAGGTTCAGGAGCTGCCCCGAAGCTCATAAACTCTTCCGTACGAGCGACACAGCACATCCATCTTTGGAAATGGAGCAGTCATGAACAGTCCGCACCTCCACCGTCTGGCATCCCCAACTTGTGTCAGACATATCATCGAGGGCGAAAGCGGAGGAAACGAGGTAGGAAGCTACTCTATGCTCCAGGCTCAGAGTTGGTGAGGGCTGCTCGACAAAATTGGCTACAATCTAGCCTACTATGGCAAACAAGATCTTCGCAACCGCAGTACGGGAAATGTTTGTTGTAGTAATTAAAAGTGGCAAAAAAACTAGAGCTGAAGCCTCTAAAGTCGATCTGGCACTGGCCGTCTCTGAACTTGATTACCATGTCTGTTGACTACAACTTGAGTCGAACGGCAGCGAAGATGCGCAAAGCGGATCGACAAATTTGGAGCCTGACGATCATATGCGTTGTGTGTCCTTGCTCGCTTCACCACTCGCCATCTTCTTGTTCCAGCGAAGAGAAGAGATCTGCTCAGATGGACACGTTCTCGATCGGCTCAAACGGCAACCGCACCAAACTCCAAAGTCCCTAGCTTGAAGGCCGCCGCAAAGCGACACAACGTCCAAGGGGTTGCCTCATCCATATCAGCCGGCAGAGCGGCTGAGCTCTGAGCCTCATCCTAACTACGGCCAACGACGCCGCTCCAGTGGCTGCGTCTCGTCGGGGAGTTGCTCTGACACAAAGGAACATAGAGCGACCCTCCAGTGAAACAAGCAAGCAAACCGCAACTGTAGTCGACATGGTCACATCCTCGTAGTTGAAGCAGCATGAAGATAAGCCGGCTAACCATCAGCCGTACAATGGGATAAACTACAGCGAACGATGATGGGAACGACAAGGCAAACGGCAATGATAGTGCTAAGAGCAAGACAGGACACTGATATCAAAACAAAACAACCATATTGAAGCTGAAAGTATGAAAGCACACCTTGTCATGGTGAGTCATGGATGCTCCGATGACTATGCATATGACCAATACCACATGCAAAATGTTACCAATCAGTCACACACACACACACGAAACATCAAGCTTGGCAATTAACAGCAGTGCCAGTAACAGCATTGGTAATAACTATAACACTGCAGGAAGGATACGATAATTCAGCTTCGACATGAGTGGTGCAGGGGGCATGCAAGCAACTCGCAAACCATACTACAAAAGAACCCTGTCGTCATCGTATGAAGCTCGCAAGCACAATCAGATCTAAACCGGCACACGAACGAGCAGCCTCCCGGCCCAGTAGGCACCGTATCCTTTACTTTACCTCTATGGCAGATAGCACGCGCATACGGACAAAGATGCAGAGCAACTCCCGCGTCAAGGTCGTTAAATGCCAAAAATCTTCCTCGAGATTCGACGGCCCATAACATCGTCCCAGGGCTCAGGTGTAATACTTACCGGGATCTGAGAGTTGGGCTTTGGGGCTCTTCGATGCCACCTGGGATAGATGAGAGAAGCTTCATTTGCTCAAGGCGACTCGTTAGCTCGGCCTTGTGGCCGGGAAAATGCTCTTTTCCCCCTTTGGGGGGAGCCACGTTCTGGGCACAACAATACCTGTGCACTGATGCACCCAGCATAATTTCAAAGAGGGTTGCGCATCCAAAGCCGCGGAACCCTCTCAAGCAGTAAACAGAAGTCTGTCAGAACCGAAAAAACTATCGAGAGTTTTCTCTACGAGTCTTACGCAGTCATTACTCGGGGCACTCTTCCAGTCGTTTCGGCCCTGCAGTCATCCAAGGGCCGGCTAGCTAGCAGGCCAGAGCGACGAAGGCGACGATCACGGCCACAAAGGACAGGTGGCCTCCAGAGCGCCCTAGCTACCCCCAAACCCCAAACCCTCAGCCCAAACATCCGAAGTCCTCTAGCTTGCGCTTCTGGCCTCGAGACCGCAATCAGGGGCTCATATAGATCAGGGTCTAGGGCTTAGGGAGTATGATTGATCTACAAAGACATTCCCAAGGATCTGGCAGGTTCTGGCCCAGGCTTCACGCTCGGGATGCAAAAACTGCTTCGGGCTTCGGCCTTGTGGGGCGTAAGTCCGAGTTAAAGGCGAATTTTCATACTTCGAGGCCGAAAGCAGAGGCTTTCTTGCTCGATGTTTTGGTGTGCGGTTCAGGGCTTCGGAAAATTGGAGCCGCAGCTGAGCGATTGCAAGTTCTTTCCGCCAAGATGCTTTGCAGGCTCCCATCGATAAGAGCGCTGTCGTCGCCACCTCTGCAGGAAGCTGCAGGGCTAGATTCGCTAGATTTTAGCAGGCCATAAAGCAGTATAAGATGACGCAACATATGGGTGGTTGTCACAATTAGGGTTCCTTCTTGGGTCCCTAATATAGTACGGCACCTAATATTTAGGGTACCCAAAAAGGGACCATAATTTTGACAACCACCCATATGAGATTGACATACTGTGCATTCTGTATGCTTCTACTAAAGTTCAGATGACTGCAGATCATACCATATTATGTATTACAGTATGACTCATCATATAGCCCACGACAAGCAAGCCCCTGCGTTGCCTGTGGTCGTTTCAGTGGTCTCCTTAGTTGCGCGAGTCTCTTTCAACTCTTTCTGTGAACTGCACTGGGAAAGCAGTGGCAATGCATGGCTCGACACGCATGGCCCGATCTAAGAGAGAGGCATTGTTCGCTTGTGTCGTTGTCGTTGTCGTGGTACCCGATGCTCCCGACCTTTGCAATCGCAACCGCTGCAAAAGCCAAAAACATGCTGTTTTCGACTGGTGACGTGGTGGTGGTGGTCGTCGTCGTAGTCGTCGTTCTTGTGGTTATTCCAGCCTTGGTGTGAGAGCAGTAGCTGTGGCTGTAAGCGATCCCATCGGAGCTGTTCGTGCCTGCTGCTTCCGCTGTTCCTCCACAGCTTTCGACCGGCTGGTGCGAGCGGTGACAGATGTGTCCAGAGGGACGGCTGCCTTGCAAAACGAACGAGCATTAACACATGCAGCTGCCCCGTGCAGCCAGACATACTCCACATGCTTCTTTTATTCCCTGGCTAACAAAGATGCCTTTGCGTTGACTTTGCCGACGGTTGACGTAGCCTCGACATACACAAGCACGATCAGTATGAATGGCGAGCAAACATCTACACACGGCTGCAGCGCGATCATACACTGTTGCGAAGATGCTCTTGGGCCCCCTACAGATGCAAGCTCCTTGCTGCCACTCTTGGCCATGTTCTTCAAGCGTTCTCCCACTGCTGATGGGGCGACACCGGTACTTCCTGCGCCGCACTGGAAATGTTCGATATGAGTGGTCGCACTCCAACCAATGAACATTAGTACCTGGGAGACGCATGACGACAATCTCTGTCCTGTGTTGCTGACAGTATAGACAAGCTTGGTGGAGGATGTTGACAACCGTCGGCCAGACCCACCTGAGGTATAATGCTGTTCCGTTATTGAATCTGCAATTCTCTCAAGAACTGTGTCCTTGTCGAGCGTGTCAGCTCGTGAAAGCACAACTTGAATATCAAAGAATACCAATAAGACTCATTGCCGACCCCGCTGCCAGATTTCACGGCAACGGATGTTGTCAATCCTGCTGGCAACTGCAACACCTCAGCCAGCGCATTTTTGGATTTGGAATTTGAGGGATAGGTCAGGGAACTTAAGCATTCGTTTTGGGGCTACCGAGGCTCCATGGCGAAATGGCATGGGCGCTGCCAAGTGGCACTGTTGAGGGTCACTCGCGCTGTTTCGGCATTTGCAACCTGGGCTCAGAAGCTTCCATGCTGCCATGCTTGACGAGATGAATTGGTCATGCTGCCTAAATCGAAACATATCGAAACCATTGTCTGACTAGTGAAAAGAAGGGTGTGGTGGTGGTGGTGGTGGTGGTGGTGGTGGTGGTGGTGGTGGTGGTGGTGGTGGTGGTGGTGGTGGTGGTGGTGGTGGTGGTGGTGGTGGTGGTGGTGGTGGTGGTGGTGGTGGTGGCGGTGGGTGGTGGTGGTGTGTGGTGGTGGTGGTGGTGGTGGTGTGGTGGTGGTGGTGGGGTGGTGGTGGTGGTGGTGGTGGTGGTGGTGGTGGTGGTGGTGGTGGTGGTGGTGGTGGTGGTGGTGGTGGTGGTGGTGGTGGTGGGTGGTGGTGGTGGTGTGGTGGTGGTGGTGGTGGTGGTGGTGGTGGTGGTGGTGGTGTGGTGGTGGTGGTGGTGGTGGTGGTGGTGGTGGTGGTGGTGGTGGTGGTGGTGGTGGTGGTGTTGGTGGGGGTGGTGGTGGTGGTGGTGGTGGTGGTGGTGGTGGTGGTGGTGGTGGTGGTGGTGGTGGTGGTGGTGGTGGTGGTGGTGGTGGGGATGATGCTGGTGATGGTGGCAGTGGGGGTGGTGCTGCGGTCATGGTGGTACTGCTGGTGTTGATCATCGGTGTGGTGGTGATCTTTGCAATTATGGTGATCTTGGCGGGTGTCGCGGTCGTGGGCTGTCGCCTTGGTGGTGGCACCAGCGACCGCAGCGGTTGGTGATCCTGACGTGACGAGCATTACCGCCTGCTTAATCACCATATCAACCAGTATTCTTTGCCTTTGTCATTCGTAGAACTCGTCAGAATCGACACCATCTTCATCATCATCATCGTCATCATGATCATCATCATCATCATCACATCATCAACGATCGTCAGCACCACGGTGGTGAATAACAGAAAAGCACGTCACAACTAGTCGCCATCGCCCTTTGTCAATCACGACCATCATCCGCGAAATCGCTATCACCGCACCATCTTTATGATAAGTACCATCACGGCCAACACGAGTGCCCAGGATTGGGAAACAGTTTAACTCAGTTGCGGTCTAGGGCTGAGGGATTAAGGTTTAGCGTTCGCGGTGTAAAGGCTCACGGAAGGGCCTGTGGTTTAGGGCTTACGGTTTGGCAGCTGGGGGTTTGGATCTAGGGTTGGCAGTATGGCTGAACTTGTTGATCCAGGTTGGTTTTAACCTCATTAGGCCATCGTCAGCATCACCAACATCATCACTACCACATGCTGGTTTGATCAATATTAGTAAACCTCCTCCGCAAACAATTGAAGTTGAAAACCACTTGCACCCGAGCCCGAGTGGTCGCCATTCCCGTTAGGATGCCCCTGCACCCCTGCAATTAATGCCCAGAAGACAAGCCCATTGTCAACACACAATTTAGTGGGGACCATGTAGTAAGCACATGCTCACCTGGCAACCGCGTTCTGGGTGGCACTTTCCAAGGTCAAGATAATTTTTGAAGTCTGCTTTTGATTTTCATTGACAGCCGTAGTGTTCTTGCCCCCGGTGCCATACCTGGGCAGGGGAAAGCACAGCCGCTTGTGCCAACGGTCCCAACACGAAGCAACTTGGCGATTAACGGCATCAGTGCACTCCTGAAATCATCACGTGCTGAGAAGTGGCAAATCTTGGCAAGCACGAGCACTTGCAATTACAGCTCCAGTGGGACACCTCTTCATGTTCTTCCCCGGCTTACAAGAACCTTCTTTGAAGCAGCTCACCTCGGCCCACGTGCGAGCAGACATCTACGCCACATCGGCAAACCTCCTGCAGCCGGCGACAAGGAGTTGGAAGACTTGGTGCCGTTAGGCAGCTGTCTCGGACTCAAAGTTGCCGGACTTGTCCAAATTAGTCTGGATACAAGTTTTGTTGCCTCTGCAGGAAGATGTGGCTGTCAAAAGAACCACCTAACATCCTGAGACCCAAAACATACATCTTGAAGCTTAGCTTGTTGAGCCATATCTGCTCTGCCCAGTTCGAATCTGAAGTACCAGCATCGAAGCCTGAACCTCGAGATACACGCTATTCTTATGCCGCAAAGTAAAGACAACAAGAGACACTTTGCCTATCAATTTGTGCCCGATTCCTAAGATGACCCTTACTGTGGGGACCATTCTTGTCCATCTCCCTTCCGCCAACTCCCAGCGCAGAACATCGCCTGCTTGTTCGGCTTCAGGAGTGCAGGGTCGTGGGCAGGTGGTCGTCAGCTTTCCACTGAACTTCGATGTGCAGATCAGCGCTTTGGCCTCTGCACAACCATTTTTAGGGGAGGGTTCTGATTGAGATTGTGGAGTTGCGGACGAAGTCTGACAACGAGCTGCAGTCGAGGCACATCGTTCGGATCAGGGCAGCTGAGGGAATTCTTGCCACAGGGGCAGGGGTTGCCCGGTGCAACGCAGGCTGTCGAAAATCCGGTGACTTGGCCTGTGGTTGAGAAGTCCACGACACTGCAAGTCGTTTGTGACTCCTGGCAAGTACCGGCACTACGAGCATTGCAGCATTGTGTGGCTCGCACAGAAGGTCAAGCCGCCATCGCCCTGCCTTGCAGGGGCAAATAACATCGGCTACATCCTTCGGCAAGCACACATCTTCGCCAGGGCATTTGACCGTGTTCTTCCCGCATGGGCACAAAGCATCGGCCGCGACCTCATCTTGGCAGCATGTTCGGAGATGTTCGGAGCATCCGCAAACAACCGAGTCCTGTCACTGTTGAACTGTTGTGATGCTATTCAATGCTATTTGCTCCTGCGCATGTGACTTCCACTCTGCGGCAAAGTCACGCATACCTCGCGGTCGCTGATGAAGTCGCCACCGTCTGTGAAATCTGTCAAATAGCCTGTCAAGACTCGGATGTATGAAGACTTGCAGTAGTCCCCTCCTCCTCCTACTCCTGAAGCGGCTCCTGCTGCCTTGCATGCGGCAACTGCAGGACGAGTCACAAAGGAAAACTCTGGCTTTGCTATTGTCTTCTGAGCAGCACTTCTTTTCCCCCGCTTTGCAGGTGATCGGGCACCCCTCGCTCTTGCTGATACATCCCGCCGTTCCCGGGCAGCGTTCGGCTTGCTTGCCACCTCAGACACGACGATATGCAACGCTGATGAAAGAACCCAGTACTGGTAGAAAGTAGCAAAGTCTCGAGGCTGGCTTGAGTTGAGGCCTGAGGCCTTCGCAAGGGCACTCGGCCAGGCTGGCGGCACACTTCTTGGAGGGCGACGCAAGGCCCAGGTACGTTCCATCTGGCATGAAATCTTCGACCTGTGGACACGGCACTTCGTCCTCAGATGACGACAAGCAGTTGCAGTCAGCGCTCTCCCGTGTGACACAATGGACCTTGTTGCGGTGGGATCCTAATGCACTGAACTGAACACGCAAGCACACGCTACGCAGCACACACTACGCAGCACACACGCGGGCGGGTGGGAAACAAGAACACTCCAGCAAGCCTGCTGAGAGCACCTGTGGGCAACCTCCCCAACAACGACTTCCCAAGCGCAACCTTGAGAATGCACTTTTCAAACAAGCAAACTCCAAGCGAGTCACTCAACTCACGAAATGCACAGCACTCGCGGATCCCACTTCCTGTCCCTGGAAGGCCACCCCACGTTCAGATCAGATCTGAAATTCGGAACCCTTCTTTTGCGAGTGCCTGCCGCTTGACTGCGACTCAACAAACCCCCACCAACTGCCAATCGAGCATCAGCTGGACAAGTGCTCGGGCAGAAGCCACCAGCCAAGGGCAAGCATTCCGACCATGTTCCCCACCTTAGGCTTCGCAGAAGCATCAAACACGAGTGGTAGCAACAATGTTCAGGGTACTAGCCACAACAACATTCATCGTAATGACTGTCAGGAAAGGGATGGGGCTATGCTTGTCATTCAAGTATCAACCGTAAGCCCTTACACGGAGCCATGTTGCTGATACAGTTGATTGAGAGTGAAAACCAGCATGTGGACAGTAAAGAGCCATCTGAATAACAACAGCATAAAGACTATCTGTGCCGATCTCAAGTATCTGTGCTCTAGTACAGAGTACACAGTTCGTAGTCAGACGAATGACCATGATACCAACAGGAGCGGCAGCACTTGTCGCCAGAAACGTCATCGCCTTCACCATGATCATCCGTGGAATCCGTATTGCTTCACCACCATCATCAGCATCGATACTATTGAAAAATCGTCATGATACTCATTCGCATCAAAACGCTGATAATTAGCGCTGTGAAATCGCATGACATCGGCATGACATCTGCGCGAGGGTGCGACAATCGTGACCAAACCTTCAGGCGAGCAGCGACTCGGTAAAGTTGCACTCAAAGGCGTTTTGGCCCTTCGAGCAGTCGCAGCGCTGGTTTTGAGGCACGCAGATTTCCTGAGTACTCAGGAGGGTTAAAGCATGGCCCGGGCATCTTAGAGTTCAGAGTCTGGGATTCAAGCCTTCAGGCTCAAAGCTGGGTACACGGATTACGGATTCAGTGTGATGTGCCCCAAGCGCCTGCGTGCTGATCCAATCTCCCTTCGCATCATAGCTGGGAATGTAGCACGTGTTCTCGGTGTCCTTGCAATAAACCGGACAGTCCAGCCGCACATTGCTCCTGAGATGCCAGCTTTGACGCGAAAGACCGCAGCCAAAAAAAAGCACGGTCTTCTGCAGCCGTGTGACCAGAAATCCCACTTCGGGTAGCAATAGGAATCTCCGAAGAACGGATCCGTGCATTTTTGCGAATGCGTGCCGCACGGACATGGCGTCCCCTGTCCCAAGCTTCAATCAGCTGTCACTCTGCTCAAAGCGCATCCCACTTCCGCCAACGCATGAAGACGACCAATCACAAGACTAGTAATTGGTCGTTACTTTCCAGAAGAAACCACGAACGAGAAATGAAAGCGAAAGGTCCAAACATCCGTAACCACAACAGCACCAATGCCAGCAAGAACAGCTGTCAGGAAGAGGCAACCGCGACATTGCTGTGGGCTAACAGCAACTGCAGACTGACCGAATCAGAGAGAACGGCTCCTGAATGCAATCAAAGACAGACAACGTTAAACTACAACGAAGAATACAAGTGAACCAATCTTCGGCACAACTCCAACACTGATGGCGCAAGAAGTGAAAGGAATTTCAACCTCAATGGATATCGACAAGAAATACAAACAATAGGACAAGAGTCACTTCTGCCGTTACTTATTTATAGATACTTAAATATTCCCATCACCAACGTAGTCCGTCCCAGTGATGATAATGATATCAAGCGAAGAGAGCAAAAAGCTGCACCAACAACAATAGACCGCCTCATTCAAAATCAGAGCCATCATGATGACTGCGGCCATAAGACTGGCTTGGTCACAGTAGCGGCACTACTGGTATCCATCATGATAGCAGCTGAGAAAACGAACCTGTCACCAATACCAACTCGACAGACTGGCTATGTTCTTTTTCAACAGTTTTCCGGCGCGACAGCTGATTCCAGACCTGAAGCCTGAACATCAACCCCAAACTGACAAGAGGACGGGCACGTCTGAAAGGACTATCAGAAGCTCGAAGCCATCCACGGCTGCGAGCTACCAGTGCTGTAGGGCTACCACAAATCAGGCCTTCTGAACGCAAGTTTCCTTGAAGCTCGTCGGATAGCCCGTTGCGTTGTAGTCCGACTTGAAGCCTGCAAAACACGGTCGGGAAAGATGCAGAGGACCAAGCCCAGGCTAGACTCTTGCTCTGACTGCCTTCAATCTAGCCTCAGCCCAGCCACGTGTACTGCGAGCGATTCTAGCTGAAAGCAAGCTCAGCAATGAACCACAGACTCTTTAAACGGCCCCAAAGCCTCCTTGCACAAGCGGACATTGAGCCCCCATCAAGACTCCGAGCCGAGGAGCACTTCTCTTGGCTGCTGGAGCAGGTGACCGGGCAGGATTCCGCGCTTGGAATGCAGTACTCCTCACTTTAGAGTTTTGGGTCTGGGGATACTATGGGGTTTGGGGGTTCCGGGGTGTAGCGCCCAGTGTTTGGGGGTTCCGGGGTGTAGGGGTTCATCGTCTAGCTGCTCAGGTCGCGAGCGAAACCCTGAGCTGCGGTTCTGGGCGATTGGATGAAGGTGCAGCTTCAGGGCGTTAGAGGGCTTCAAGAGACCACGATGGCATTTTCATCGGACATACTCTCAGAACAGTTGGTTCGGCCCCGGCTTAGAAGTTTTAAGCCTTCGGCTTCTAGGTTCGGGTGCTTCGGTTGGCCGGCCACGCGCCTCTTCGGCACCAAAGTCGTCCGTCCACTTGCAAAGCTTCGCATTGGCGCCACAAGGGCACGTCTTGTCCTGTGCCACACAGCTTTCGTTGATAGGAGCATCCCAATCCTCGGTCGGAGGACTGCTCTGCACGGGTCTAGATTCTAGCTGCGGACAGATGCTGTGCCTCTAAGGCTGCCGAGCAGCATAGTCGCCTTCCGGCGTGTATGATACCGGATAGCAGATTTTTTGGTCTGCTGTACACTCTATCGGGCAACCGTAGTATGTTGCCTCGCAATAGGAGAAGCCATTTGAGCTGCCTGCAGCCATGGGCAGAAAACAGCGCAGCAGAGACAAACGGCGCCTCCCCAACTCAAAGACAACGTGTACTTGTCTGAGCCAGCGTGCATCTAACGCTGTTCTCTCCGCAGGGACACTCCTGCCCTTTTGGCGCGCACTTGTCTTTGGCAGACAACCAATTACCTGGACACTCAGCAAGGATCAGGACAAGCCAGGAATTGAAACGCCTTGACGTTTAGCAGTCGACGCACTTTGGCCATGTGTGCCTTTTGCATCGAAGTCCGTGACCCAGCACTCCTGCTCTTCGTCGGTACACTCCTGCGGACACTCGTCCTTGGCTGCGCGGTGCTCCATTTTCCGCGCAAGACACATCCTCACGTTTAGAGTCGAGATTGAATTTAATGGGGAGCCTACATCTGAAAGCCACCTATATAAACCGTGCATGGCCCAAAGCCCACCAATCCTCAAGAAATCATCCTCAGCTCTGCAAGTAACCATAAGGTCGGCAGCAATCGAACAGTGACCGCAACGATAATGACCGTGTAGCAGTACATTCAGAATAGCAGGGAAGCAGAATCATAATCACAGATCCTCCATCCTGAACCCCGAACTGAGGCCACCGACAGTGGCAGTCCTACAGATCACCTCTGAAAATCGAGCGGCTCTAGCAACTCTACTGTTGACAAGGTGCTGAAGCAGCAATGCAGTATGCAGAGAAACCCGAGCCGCACTTCTTCGCCGAGTCGGCTTTGCAGACGACGGGGCAAAACCAGTCGTCATTCCTGGCCGGGGACCAGGATGATCAGGCTTCTGTTAAGAAACGGTTCTTTGGTGTTCTGTAGGTTTCAACACGATTGAGAGTCTAGGCCTAGGCCACTCCCAATGAAAACTCGACTGATTTGATGGCGCCAGATTCTGAGGTTCGCAAGTGTCTGTCCAAGTCATCATACCATTGGCATCGAATCCTGTAGGCAAGACGGGTGGGCCAGGTTGGCCAAATGCTCCCAAACCAGGATTGCGCCCTGTCCTATTTCAGAGCAATACATTTCCGTGGCCTTGCATGTTATCGGACCTGAGATGAACAACGAGATGAGCAATGGAACTCGCAGCCCTCATCAACTTGAAAGAAAAAGTACATCGTCAGACAAAGTGCAGCTGCTGTACCAGTCCTTGACAGCCGATTTCACTAAGTCGCAACTTCTCGGGTCCAACAGCTACTGCAAGAAGACTCAAACACAACTGCAAACAGTCCTTGGGATAGCAGCGTTGCTTCCCGTCTTCCTGCCAGAAGACAACGCGCGCTGCTGCAGGACTTGGAGCCGCGCTCACACTTGAGGTCCGGCCCATTCCACCATCACGACAGCTACTGCACATGAACCTTCATGTACTGACCTTACAGTCTAAAAATTAAACCGAGAAGTGCGAAGCGACATGCCACGCAACAATGCCTAGCCTAGCAGGGCCTAGCAAGGACCGAAGACCCCGGCAGGCTCCATACATTCGTGCTCGTTGTCTTCGCACGTGCAACCACTGTCAGTGGCACAAGACTCGTTCCCGGAGATGTAATGGTAGCCTCAGCGTAGACAAACTGAGCCGAGGCTTTTACGTAAGGGGTTCAGCACTTGAGATTGAGGATGGTGGAACGAAGTGTAGTCCAAGCGAGGCAAGTGGCAGGTCTCGAATTCTCCGCAATCCACTGGGCAATTCTCAAACTTGGACATGCACCAGCCCGAACCACATGATTTCTCCCACTCAGGGTGGCAAGGACATCCATCCGTGGCATTTGCACAGGTCTCCTGCAACAGCGAAAGCACGGTGTTCGCCCAAGCACTTTAGGCTTTAGCCTCTTCGCATATGCCTGTGGTCCTGAGAACTGTAACATGTTGGCCAGTGAAGGGCATTGGCTGGCAGCGGTGCGTGCGCGTCATAAAAGGCACATACTCATCTCCTGCACAACTTTTTGAATGTGTCCCATTATTCGTCTTCCTTTCAGCGCACCACATTTCTGTAGCCGTCATCTCGTCTTCCTCCGCCTCCTCTTCCTCCTGCTCCTCCTGCTCCTCCTCCCCTTCGTCGTCCTTCTCTGCCTCTACAGCGTTGTTGCTACTGGTGCTGCCGGTACCGCCCCCCACTTGAATTTTCTCATGCTGCCCAACATTGATGTGGCAAGATATGTACGGAATCTGGGGCCTTCCACGTTCCGTACCAGTCGATTTCCCCTTTGTCGTCATACGGCGTCTCATAGCAGTACAACCTTCGTGCCAAGTGGCTCGTTTGTAAAACTGCTAGGTTCTGAAAAGCAGAAGCCAATGCCAAGCAGCTGGTCGGCCGTGCAGGAGACCGGACAACTGCCGTAGACCTTCGACTGGCAGTAGGACCCCCACTCCATCACGCAGAGCTCCTCCAACGAAAATACACAACGGGGGACAGCTGCGCATCCCATCCTAGAACTTCGGGGACAGCGAAGAACACCCTGCGAGGTTTTCAAACCCGCCAAAACGTCGGGAAATTCGCGGTCGGAGGTCCTCGTGCTCAGAATTGCAGGGGCAGTGCTGGTCCATACCCTGGCATGTCCTCAGATGGCATCTCTCCTCCTACACGGATTGTGGCAAGAGAACATTCCAACACCATGCGTATGCGATTTCCTACTGCCTTGAAGGCTGTGCGTCTGATTTCCTGGCAATGACCAATCTGGATAGCCGTCGTTGCCATAAGGAGTTGACCAGCACACCTGACAGCAAAGCGAACCAGGCTTCGAGCCTTTCCCGTTTCGAAAATCGTACTCGCACCGGCGCAGGGCGCGGACACTGATACCTAGAATCAGAATGCCCAAACCTTTGGTCGGGCTGTGCCTGTTCATCGTCGCCGCATGAGATTGGGCACGAATCCAGCTTCGACGTGCACCAGCTTCCCCATTCGTCAGTGCATTTCTGCTCCCAGGTAGGATTCTTAGCTGATGACAGGCTGGTTCAAGGTATTTCAGGGTACTGGACTTTTGTTGAACATCGTCCCTGCTGCCTGGTGATGATGGTGGTGATGGTGATGGTGATGGTGATGGTGAAGATGATGATGGTGGCGATAGTGATGACGATGATGATGGTGATGATGGTGGTGATGGTGGTGATGGTGGTGATGGTGATGGTGAAGATGATGATGGTGGTGATGATGGTGATGATGATGGTGATGATGATGGTGATGATGATGATGATGATGGTGAGGATGATGGTGATGATGATGGTGATGATGATGGTGATGATGATGGTGATGATGATGGTGATGATGATGGTAATGATGATGGTGATGATGATGGTGATGATGGTGGTGATGACCAAATCCCTCAAACATCTCTACACTCTAAACTCTGAACATCCCTGAACCTTCAGCGCTGCACCTGAAAACCTGGACGTGCAGCCACATGGCGCAGGGGCAGCCCTCGGCCAGTGGAGCACAACTCGTGTTGTAGTCGCTCATCCAATCAATCTCTCCTTCAGGAACTTTCCAGATGCAGTGTTTTGAGTCTCGGGGTGTGTGCGGCATTTTGGGTGACTATGGCTCCCGCTTGAAAGATTAGCGCCTCCGTCGCAGACGGCCCACGGAAGGTTGCTATTGCTATGGCTATCGGCTCTCGTTGCGATGATCATTCATGGCCTGCTTGTCATATGTTGTTGTTCTTGCTTCTTCCCGAACTGTTTGACTCATCACAACGAGAGCATGACCCCCCTTGACTCCATACCCGAAACCGGGCTCAACCGAAAAAGTATAACCCGTGCTGGAGGAACCTCACTACTGTATGTGGAACTCAAACTGAAGCTCACCACCCGCTTGTGACTTCCTGATGCATCGTAGGCATAGGTGTAGCACATCGTCTCGTTAGACGTGCAGAAGATGGGACATGCCCCCCATGCTTTGTCCCAGCAGTAAGCCGACCACTCGTCTCGGCAAGTATACTCCTGGGATTCGGCAGGGGAATGACTGCACACCTCCCACCCAATTCCGAATTTCTGCAAGAGTCGGTAGCATTGTCACCTGAGATGCACCCTTTCACAGCTTAAGGCCTCTCTTGGCATGCGAGAGCTCACGTAGTGCACGTAAAGTGGCATGTCGTATCGAAGGGATCGTAGCACCTCAGAAACGAAAAACAAAGGCTAGACACCACGCTGTGATATGCTGTGCGAGCCAGCAGCAGGGCCAAGTGCAGCCAAGCCACCCCTCGGACTTGGGTGTGCAGACCTGCAGCACAAAAGAAAGCTAAGTCTGTTATGTGTTCAGACTTCAGACGGTTTCGGATTCCTCTAGCATTTGCTGCACGTGAGAGAGATGTCGATCGGGGGCTCTGCCTTGTAGCCCCAGGACTCACAGGAGACTTCCCACTCCTCGTTGCACGGACAGCCCTCCTCGTAGGACGCGCAAGTTGTCTCCATGTCCGCTGACCAATCAATCTCTCCGCTCTCGTCGTATTTAAACTTAGTGCACATCATCTCCGCACAGTAGCCGTAGCCTCGCAGGGAATTGAAGATGCAGCACTGAAGCAACCCTGTCCCGAGAAAGCTTGCAAATCAGCACTGCTGCAACACATGAAATACGGGTGCGGGCGCACCGCCGGATGCATTGTAATCATATCCAGGTCCATCATAATCATAATCGTGTCCAGGCCCATCATAATCGTGTCCGGATCCGTTGTAGTCGTAGGACCCATTGTAGTCGTAGGACCCGTTGTAGTCGTAGGATCCATTATAGTCGTAGGACCCATTGTAGTCGTAGTAAGATCCGTTGTCGTCGTAAGACCCATTGTAGCTGTAATTGGTGTCGACATCTCCCTGGTCCCCATCTTCCTGGCTGGAGTTTCGGATCCGCTAAAACAAACCGTTTTAAAGTCTTAGTTTGCACCATCACCAAGGGCACAAGTCTCCGCAGCGCCTGCAACACGCCCCTGAGCCCTAAACTCCACAGCCTAGGCGTAGAACTTGCGATACCGGGCCAAAGCTCCGCGCAGACAATGGCCACAACGGCCGAGAGGAGCAACGCCCGCAGAGGCCCCATCTGGAACCGCACCTTTTCAGTCCATGCATCTGAGAACATGCACAGCCAAGGCACGTTGCCGGCGCATAGCTGCGCCTCCAGCACCAGCCAGTTGAAACAGCAGATTGCCGACTGCCCGAGCTACCGGAGCTACATTGGCTCTTGGACCCAGACATGCACGAATAACCCTGTGAAGAGGAGGCCCAATTCAGGAACAGCTCCAGAAAAGAAAGAGGTACCACTCAAACATGGGATCACGCAACATGCAGCGACAGAGCAATGCTCCATGTCATCAAACTCCACCAGAGCCTCCCAATGGCTAACA